CCCCCGGCCCTTTGCGTACTGTACTGACTTGTGAATGTCGAATACCGTAACTTCAAGCCGCTCGATTCAGAACGTGTAGAAAAACTCATCGTGAGGATTGTATTGGTTGTTAGGCTGTGGCAGACCGGCGGCAGGTACTACTGCTTCTGAAGCGTTAGCGACACTGGTATTTTAGCTGTCAAAATCTTGTGGAGGAAAACACACCTCTGTCGCCCTCATTCTCCTTGTAGCCCAGCATCTTATCAAAGTCCCAAGGATTGTCGAGGTCAAACGTGTCGCTCTCAGTCATGGCAAAATACTCCAGATGAGGCATCTCGGCCTGGTATGGCTGTGCGACGGTGGAGGAGGCGTAGTTGTAAAGCTGTCGTGGGTCTGGGTATGTGAACTGCAGAGGGAGGTGGCTCACTGCGTTGAGATCTTCAACCATATGAGACTTAACCCCAAGAACAGCGACCCTTTTGTCTTCGTAGTGGTCACCGAGAAGCTCCTTTGCTCCTCGCATAGATCTGTTCCCACCACTCCAAGAACCACCACCTGATGTTTCTTTCTGTCTCGCTCTCTCTTCTTCTCTTCTTCTTCTTCCTCTTCTTCTTGTGTGTGTTGTTAAACATCCCCCCACCCCCACCCCCTTTCTCTCTTCCCTTGTCTTTCTTTCCTTCTTTCTTTTTCTTTCTTTTTTCTTTTCTTTTCCTTTTTCTTTTTTCTTTCCTTTTTTTTTTTTCTTTTCAATTTGGTCTGCCGTCGTGTTTGTAGCGGGAGACTGAGCTTATGGTTGCGAGAAAAAAGCGTCCCAGTCTCCGTCAGAGCTTTGAGCGCCATTTGAGTTGTTGTGAACCCAGCCCTGCTGCCATGCACCCAAGAAGGCAGTTGCGTCTTGAGTTATTCCAACTTCAGGGTTCGGCATAGAGATGGGAACATTTCCTACGCCCATGGGGAAAAACTCATTGCTGAGTGGCCACTCGCCAGTTCCAGAAGCGAAACTATCTTGTGAAAGTTCTTGGCCGTTGGACAAGGAATAAGATTGGTCGGGTTGGTAGTATTGAGAATTCGAAGATACGGCCGTTTCTCCAAATGTGATATTGACCTGAGCTTGCGATTCAGATGGCGACACCATGGCAGCCTGGGCGCCAAAGAGAAGTTGTTCTTGAAGCGGTTGCTGGATTTGGCCTGCTGAGTATTGTGCCATTGTGTTCTGAGATTGCGAGTGATAGAGCAGTGATGCAGCCTCATGAGAGTGTACAATCTCCGCAGAGAGTTCACCAACAGGCTGGTGGTGCCATCCACTTTCAGAAACTAGACATAAAAGCTGTTAGGAAAAAGTGCTAAGCTTGAAGAAAGAAGTCATACCGTTGTCAGTGTACTCGTACACAAAGGAGGAACAATATTTTCGAACATCCTCTTCGCTTTTGCATTGGCGAAGATCGAATGCCATAGCCTCTGCGCCATCCAACACGTATGAGAGAGAGATAGCATCCCCTTCCTGATCTTGGACTGTCCAGTGGCCGCCGGGGCGTGGCTCCAAAGCTTTGAGAGCAGTAATTGGCGGAACTTTTGAAGTCGACATGGCTTTGAAAAACAATTTACTTCAGTATTTGGTGGAAACTTGATGCGAGGTATGTTGTGTTTGAGTAGTGATGAAGGAAGATCTCGAGAAGGTGATAATTTGAGAATCAGTGTGATGTTGGAGGTGAGGGGCCACCTAGACTGGGTGGGTACTCCGTCAGGCTGCTTGAAATGTACCGTCTACCGGTGAAATGAAAGTGAGAGATCGAGGTGAGCTGACGCTTGCGTCCATAATTCCACCTCAACTTTTACTCACTCAGCTGCATCTCAGATGCGGTGCAGAAATAAGTTGCAGAGCTTCCTGGGGGAAAAGGACCCACGGCACCTTTATACTTAGATGGTACGTTTACGTATGTGGATAGCCGCTAAATACGCCTGCTGTTTATGTTGGTTCTTGCCTGAATGACTAAATATTGGCTTCTGCCAGTATCCAAAGTCAATCGTCGTCCTGGAGCTGATGCAAGAGAAACCTACTACCATGCTGAGGATCTCTGCAAATCATCCTGCACACATCATTCTGTACACAATATTTTTTAGGATCTCAAAATCAGGAACGTGGAAAGAATATGCCAAAGAGCAGCAGTTCTTCCATGAACTTTGCGCGTCTGGAAAGCTATAAACTGCATATTCGCTCGTGTGAACGTTCAGACATGAATGATCCTTTGGCGAGAGGAGACAGACAAGGCGTGCTTTATCCCGCCGTTATATTGGATGTTGTATATCTATTCACTTTCACTTGAGGCAACTGGTGGTTTCATTTCTTGCAAGGGCTGCCAGGTTATACAGAAAAGCAAAGCTTCACGCGCATTCGGGGTGAGGTATTGCCTCGAACGTCATGCACATCCGGAGATCATACTACTAGTACTGCCGGTGTGCGAAATGAAGATATTTTCACGGTGGGCGTATCGTTACCAGCAAGATGCACACCCTGCAGATGGTGCCTTGAGTGGGACTGCTAGATTCAGCCCCAACGCCTCCGTTTGTTGGCTTGTCGTTGGCAAGGAGCAAAAGTCACTTTGTCCGCGGCCAGAAACCTAAGGTAGGGGGGTGCGGAAGGGAAAAAGGTGAGGTGGGGAGGGCGCACTGACCTGGCACTAAATAAGGAGAGGCTGGGGGGTATTCAGATTCACTCACTTGGCAGCTCTCAATAAGTGTAGACCAATAAGGTGAATCACCATGACAGATTTCCGTTCACTTGTAGCTCACCATCCGCCCATAGCTTTTACGAATCCCAATTCAAGGCACTACTGAGACGCCGGAAACATTTCTATATCTCAAGTCATTCCCAATCTTTGCATCAACACTTTCATCTCCCATCTTCACGACCCTCAGATTTTTACGATATAGCCCCAGAGAAAAATTGCATCCATCAACCAACACGCAGCTATGGATCTCGCACAGCCGATAGCCTCCCAAAACACGCAGACTGAAGTCTATCTAGCCGGAATTTGGGATGGCTTGAAGGACCAGATTAATCCTTTTCTCCAAATTCTCTGCATCAATGGCAACATCTACCGGATGTTGGATAGTTATGGGAGACGCTATGTGGCTAAGAAATTCATGTGAGTTGAGCGTCGACGACTCTTTTTTTTTTTTTGCTAGATTTTAATATCATCACAGGGAACATGCCAAGGAAGCCGTGATGTTCTGCCGTGATGGCAATGGAGAAGACCGACACTATCTTGGCGCACCACGGTATTTCATCGCCAATGGCGGTGTTGTGCATTCACCTGATGGCCTGGAGCCATTCTGGACCATGGATGACGGCTCGACTCGTCTCGAAGCCGCAGTCTGCTCGCCTTCAATTCCGGCGAAGCCAACCAAGATTCCGCGGCCTCCCAATGCGTACATCTTGTACCGCAAGGATCGTCACAACATGGTCAAGGCTGCCAATCCGGGCATTACCAATAATGAGATCTGTAAGTTTGTTGCACTGCAGCGAGCTTCATCTGCTAACCCATGCCTCTACGCAGCTCAAATCTTGGGACGAGCTTGGAACCAGGAATCGAGAGAAGTCCGGCAAAGGTACAAGGAGATGTCAGAGGAAATCAAACTTGCCTTGCTCGAGAAGCACCCGGACTATCAATACAAGCCGCGCAAATCCTCCGAGAAACGCCGCCGCGCTCGTCGCCCGCAAGGACATGCAATCTTGGTCGACGCCAGCCTTCCACAGCCCTCCCTTGAAACTGGTGCGGTTGAAGATGATCACTCCGTGGCTGCAGCATAGTTGTCATACGCCAGATACTACGGAGTTCGCCGTGAACTTCTGCAGCTGATTGATACTCTGCCTTATTGTCTCCATGGTAAGACCAGATCAAACAAGATCAAATCAATGAAGCGACATCCAACAGGCTAAAAAATAATTCAGACCCAGGCTGGATACCCCGGGCAGCTTCGTTTGCGGTGCAAACTGGATACCATGTTCTCGCAACAAATGAACCTTGCACCGCTCATATTCCTCGACGCCTTTCGGCAAATCTATCCTAGCATAATCACATCAGAGATTTGTAAGTGTACCTTCTTGTCTGTTTCACTCAGAAGGCAGAATTGCTAATCTATCGTTGCAAGTACAGTAGCCCTCTCCTCTGTGGTTGGAAGAATATACCACTCCTTATCAAGTCTTTTTAGAACAGTGTACGGGAGTAAAAAAAGGGACAGCCACACACGGAGATATCCAGGCTATAATTACACGGTCAGGGAGCCTCAGGCGAGGAAGAAAACAGACGGCAAGCTGGGGCTATTTTTACACCGGCTCAAGCATGTAGCTCAAGCTGCGTGTCTTAGGTGCCGAGTAGTTTTGATTCTGATAGGGTTCATGCTTCTCAACTGGTACTATACCGACCGCCTAGGTAGTGGGCACTTGTAGCCGTAGAAACATGGACGAACAAGAAATTCGCAAATTGCAGTCTCGGTTTCTCCTAGGTTATTAATTGAAATTGCTTCAATCTCTCATTATGCTGCCTTCTGCAACTTTTGGATTTACGACTTTTACTTCTCTGTCCGCACTAAGCGTCTCACCTTCTATCACTATGACAAGAATGACTATCAGCAGCTCGTAATAGTGTACTGGGTTCGCAATTCTAGTTAAAGAGACAACTGGCGCCATTGGGAGGAACCCCAGAGGCGAGGGGCCAAGATTCGCGAGGAGTGTTGAAAGCAGCAAGCACAACAGGACGTAGTCATATCGAGAAGAAAATGCCGCGTTCATGACGGCCGTCCCAGGCCCAAAATCAAGCTGTGTCAAATGCAACAAGCGCTATGCTACGAAGGTGATCCGTTCCAATCACTACTCCAAATAAAAGTTCCGCACCGCCACTCAGAGCCTCGTTCTTTTTCGCCGGAGGGACCCAGTGGCCGGGCACATATATAGAATGACCTTCCTGTAGCAAGCGTCAGCCACCGGCTTCTGTGCGCACGTGGTAACCTGAGATGCTTGAGTGCGATTCTCGCGGCGTTCAGGCAAACAAGAAGTCGTACCCAAGGGCGTGCCTCCATCACAGACTCTAGCAGCCAACACTCTCAACTAAAAGTAGAGGGGTGTGGGCAGCAAACTGAACAACGAGTACGAGTAAAGGGATTAAAAGTAAAAAGCATGAAAATAGCTCGAATTGCTGCAGCCACTTTGGAGCAGCTAATTGGACGAGTCGAAACAAACAAGGTAGAGAAGAAAGGGAAAAGAAGGGGAGGAAAGGCCTCAACTTACCGCAATTGACTCCAGGCCTCTTCGTGACGAGGCTGATGCAGGGTTCATCGTGTTCACATCGGGGAAGTTTCCGCCTTCCGAGGAGTTTCGACCAGGATTCCTTTGCTAAAATCGGATCAAATACCCTGTCAACTTCCATCGGAGGGGTGGAGGCTTCCAAAGCTGGCTTCACTGCATCCGGGGTGTCCTCTGGCCAATCATTGCCGCTTCTCTCTAGGGGCAATTTGCCAGTCGCAGAGGTTAGCTCAGTTTGGTGTGACGACAGGGGCTCAGAGGGCAGCGCTGCTGTTGTTTGCTCGCAAGAAAACGGGGCGCTGGTGTTGGCGCTGGCACTCATGGTGGCGCTGCCACCTCTTGTCCCCGTCACCCGCTTAGTGGATGAGGGCTGAAAAAAGCCCTGCAAAGTCGTCTGCCCTTTTGTGCCAGCGCGAGAGCTTCTGGCATTCTTCCTTTCCGTGGCGCCGAGACTAGTATTGCTGCTGCTACTCCTGCTGAGAGTGGTGGTTCGAATCGTAGGCGTGGTGCTCGTAATAGCTCCGCCGTCGATCAACTTGTTTCGCTTTGGAGACGGCGAACAAGCACGATCGACACCCCCCGCAGCACGTTTTGTGGACGATGGGGTCGATGGCGCCTCCGACCCCGACTGAGTTAGCGATTCTGATCTTGCGGAGTGCCTAGCGTCGCTCAATCCGAGCCCATGATCAGCAGCATGGCTCGTCTTGGTCTTGCTCCCATGCTGCTCTGGGCGCGCCAAGTCGCCTGCTGGCTCTCCTTCCGGGGTAAATTCACTGGCGCGCAGTGAGGGTGAATAGCTCGACTGTTTAGCGCCAGCCTTCTTCGTAAACATGTCCCGAATGCTCTGTCGCCGGTCAAACTCAGGAATGAGCTTGGCTGACAAGGGCAGAATGTCCTTCGGGTGCCATTCCCGAAGGCGTCGCCCGTCTCTGTCAACCATGCCAGCTGGGTTGACAAGACTCAAAAGCGACACCTCTTCTTCGCCAGCCGTCACAACGTCGGCTAGCGTGGCAAAGACTGGACAGTGATCAGATCCCATCAGGCCCTCTTGGATGTTGGCCTCTGTGACCCAGTCTTTCAGCCCATGGCTGCAGAGCACGTAGTCGATGCGGCTGCCGTTGTTGGCCGGTCGTGTGTTTCGCTTCGTGTCCCAGCATGTGTTCATGCCCTCTCTTGCGGGGTGGAACTCTCTGCACAGATCCCACAGCACAGGGTGCTCCCGCCCTTCGTCGCGATCCCCTTGCACCGTGCCTCCAAAGACCAGATGATTGAAGAGTCGGCGCGAAGGCAAGTTCATCCACTCGTCCATGCTCAGGCCTTCTTTTCGAAGGTTCTCGACAATGTTGGTGGAGTCGGCCTCGGCGCGACTGACGTTGAGGTCCCCCGCCAAAATTACCTGCTTGCCCTCGGCGACCAAGTTTCGCACTCTAGCGTCGAGGGCCTGCAGGAACTCCATGCGGAATTCCACCCTTGATTCGTCGCGGTTGGCTGGACTGTAGACACCCAGCAACACGAAGGCGGGGAATTCCAGAATAACGCATCTACCCTCAGAATCCAGCAGCAGTTCGTCAATATTTCCTGAGAGTTGCTCCGGCTTGGGGTAACCCCCGATCCGTTGGTCGTCGGGTAGGTTTCGAAACTGCGTTGATGATTTAGGAGGGCAGAGCACTCCCAGTATTCCTTCCTCAGCCCTGATAGGTGCACAAGTGGCGTTTCGCGTGTAGATGGCAACGCCAGAGTAACCTTGGCACACCCTGTTAACTGCTGCTCGTTCTGTAGTCGGGTGGCAACGCTGTACCAACAAACCTTTTTTGTGCCTAGGCAGACTAAAGTACGCATCCCATCCAGGAACCAAAACCATATCGTCTGTCAGGTCCTTTCGTTGGATCTTGGTCTCCTGCATCACGACAATATCGGCTTCAAGGAGATCAAACATAGCCTAGAGGAAGCGATGTCAGCAGCACGTCCAATCCTTTCTCGGGCACGTCCAATTTCATGGCTATACGAACCTGAAAAGTACGCTTTTCTCTCCATGGCTGATACCCGAATGGGTTCCTGTTATTTTGTGAGCATACACGACCGCTTGAACGCTTGCTGTGGAACTGTGATATTTTGATGGGGCGAGACACACCTAATGCCGTTGACTTGAGTCTTCATATTAGCGAGTTGCTATAGCCAAGGGCTACACCAGTCAGCCAGGAGGGCTTACCATTCCACGTCGTGATGCGAAATCCCATTTTATCTCGGAGGAGTGCTCAAATGTCGAGGTCTATAACAGTCTACCAACTCTTCCACGAGGTGTCGCGGCGAGGACATGCCGGTTCGGTAGGTTCACCGCACGTAAACGTATATCGCTGGCGGTAAGAGCGAATGCTGCTAAGGGAGGGTTTTCGTGTATAGCCGACGCTTGAAAGCGTTCAAAGATTGTTACATCAGAAGGATTGGTGCGTGTTGGTCGCTTGCACACGCTCGTACGCACTGCCAAGGCACTGCATCTCAAGGTGCAGGAGATATGGGCCGGGGAAGATGATGGAGCTGCCCCACGCATCGCGAGAGCTCGCAGAGGATATGCTCGCGAATACGTCACGAGATCACGTGACATGGTCGATCGCCAATGGCGCCTGGAGATTGAGGCATCCATGGCCTGCTCTAGCCGAGCTCCGTCGAATATGACCTGATCTCACATTCTGCACTTTATACCTGAAGACTCAATCGTCGCCGTCGAATTCGAACCGCCCACGATGTTTGCTGCCCGACAGATTACCCGCAACGCCCCGCGCTTTGCTGCGCAGCTGCGCACTCCCATGCAGCGCCGCTTTGCCAGCACCGTCGAGAACGAGTTCATCGCTGAGCGACAGCATATCAAGGAACACGCCAAGAGCACCACTGGTGAGTGTTAAAGGCCCCGTCGCTCCAATTGCGCTTGGGAGCAGCTTTTTGACTCTGTGTTTCTAGAGCTTTGGAAGAAGATCTCCATCTAGTACGTCTGCTACCCGTCCTCGACTGAGCGAATTTCTCCCCGCCTCGCCCACGTTCAATGAGGGGAAATGTCCTCGAATGCGCCGGGCTCGTTTGAATCACTAGGGAGGGAGCTGACAAGGTTAAAGCGGCGTTGTCCCTGCGCTGGTCGTTGCCGGTGCCAATGCCTACTGGCTGTGGAATGAACACTGGGAGCACTGGAGCCACCTCCCCCCTCTGCCCGAGCGCACCGAGTATCCCTACCAGAACATCCGCACCAAGAACTTCCAGTGGGGTGATGGTGACAAGGTGAGCCGTCCTCCCCATTGTCCTATTGAGCTGCATGCTAACAATTCTTACAGACTCTGTTGTAAGTCCTCCAGGCGCTCGTTACTCGAGAATGACCCCTTGATACGATCCACCTCTTCCCTTTAATGTACCCTGAAGCAGGAAGCGTGCGCTAACCACTTGGAACACGAAAGCTGGAATGAGAATGTCAACTACCACAACAAGGACAAGACCAAATAAGCTGGAATAAAGGGGTTGTGGTGGAAAACTGCTGATATCTGTAGACTACCCTTCTTGGGACCGCTGTGTATATTCTTGTTGGGGCTTGAATCGACTAATCCGAGAAGTTGTGATGATTGGCCCAATCCCACTGAAACTGACCTGCTTCGCAACTTCGTTTTCAGCTCCTCTTAGCTTCTCATACCTACATAGCTATGGGAAACCTTTTGTGCACGTAGCATCAACTTCAGTTCTCATAAACAAAGCCCATTTCTACAGACCCGAATAGTGAATGTACGTCATCTATGGGCAACTGGTGCTTGAGGCGCCAGGAAAGACAATCAAACGTGGCCTGTGAGCAAATCTTATCTATAGTAACTATGCGAACAGAGATTCCCGCTCGATCCTTCTCAGGACTTTGATGTCCAGGCTTCAGGAGCATGAAGTGGGTCGATGGTCGATATTCCGAAGAAATCCCGGCGCCAATCAGCGATGCAAGAAACTCTCCGTTCCTCCAAGATCTCATCACAGGTGCTCCTGCCCCAAGTTGATGTTGGGTTACATAAGCCTTTGGGGACCTACCCGATACCAAGGGAGCTGCTCGAATCGTGTCTTCAATCGCGTCCAGATAGCATCACGCACCTGTGCTTGGCTTCTCAAGCACGGAAGAACCAAGAGGAGACTGACCAGAGACGTCACTTGGTCTCTCCATTTCTGCTTTGTTCCTTTGTCAGACGGCAACGCGATATCCCACACGCTGAACTGCCGTTTTGTCTGTAATATGGAGAAGCCCTGAGCTCTATGTCCCGGGGCTTTTCACTTGTTCCATTTATCTGTCTTGGTTTGTTGGCCGCCGTTGGATGTCCGTTGCTCAACTCCAGACCAAGGAGCATACCAGCGCTAGCCAAGCATGGCGCGATATCTCACGCCGGCCAAGGTTGGCCTTCTCGTTCTGGTCGAGCTCTACGTCGACGAGGCGATTCCCAGCGATGCAGTCGTGCCTGTGCTGTCCTTCATTGCATCTCATATCATAGGCTACGACCCAAACGGGCCTGCTACAAGCCAGGCGACGAGGTGGACAAAGGCTGAACGTGCCGTCAGCCTGGTCATATCGATCAAGGACTTCGAGAAGCTGCTAAGCAGCTATCCGTTCCTGAAGGGCCTACCCGGGAAGAGGCTATGGGACCAATTCCTCAACAAGCTCTGGGGCATCGACTCGCTCTATGCCCTTGAAGGATTCTTCGACCAACTTTCGGCGGTACTGCCCAGAACAAAGGACGACCTTCGGAAAGAAGGGCTGGATCCGGACCAGCCTGAGCCGGGGGTCAAGCTCTCCCCCAACTCTCCCTTGGGTGCTTTCGTCCGAAGGGCCCGCCTCGAATACCAACGTCTGCACTTTCATGACTGCACCGAGCTCTGGAAGGACTTTGTCCGCTACCGACAGCCGACATCTCACTACCAGAAACGGAAGAATCCAGAGTTCAGCAGGTACAGCTTCGACAATGTGCTGCTGCGCGGAGAACTGGAGGATTGGGACATCGACAAGGTTGCGAGCCTGGCGTCTGTGGCATATGGCGACATGCTGGCCGGCGATCACACTGGGACTCTCCCCGTCAGCATAGACGACGTTGAGAATTTATTAGACTTCCAGATTGAGCAGATGCAAAGTAAGTCGGCCGACGGGTGCCCCCTTTTCGCTGGGCCCGCTACCATGAGTGCAAAGCTAACATTCAACCCTGGAGAATACGGCAACAGGATACCTATGGAAATTCGGCACCAGTTTCATGACCTTCTAAACGACAGCTTCTTGGTGCCTAGTCTCACGCACTACATCACGTAAGTTCGCGCTCTGCTTTGGCATCCCGTATCCCCAGACCGTGCTGAATTTTCCCTCAGCTTCCTCGACGCTTGGAGAGCCGGGGACTATCCAACTGCATTCGACTTCCTGCACAGGTATTTCGACTACACGATGCAGCACCGAGATCGGCTCTTTTACCAGTACGCCTTGATGAATCTGGCTGTATTGCAAGCCGACTTTGGCTGTTATAAGGAAGCCATGACGGCGATGCTTGAGACAGTAGCCACGGCAAGGGAAAACAGGGACATGACTTGCCTCAACTTCTCTCTCAACTGGCTGTTCCACTTTGGACAGGCACACCCGGATCTCATCCGGGACCTCCGGTCGGACAACTTGCTGGGCACGGGCAAGGAAACCATGGCCTTCCTCCGGGTCAAGGCAAGGGAGGCTGGGATGTGGACCCTCTGGAGCTCCGTGCTGCTGAGCGAGGCAAAACTCTGCCTGATCAACGGCGACAGCATAGCTACCGCTCTCGAGCACATGGTACGGAGCTCGCAGATCATTGTAGAGAAGAATATGAAGGGCATGTTTGGGGCACAGCTCGGGCTATACTCGTCCCTCTGGAGCAGGCTGGGATTGGGTTATCTCGCCTCCGTGTCGTGTGAGATCTTCCTACGGTGCCACACGTACCATTCCATGTTCGACGATGAGCTCAAAATGTTAAGCCGACTTTCCCTCGCACTCCTGGACCAAGGGAAATATCGGGAGGCCATGGAAACCCTCGACAAGGCTGACGAAAACTCGTTACGCTCATGGAAGCCTAACCAGTATTGGTACAAGTATAGGGGGTTCATCCGACTCAAGAGAGACCTGCATCACAACAACTTGGACGGCGCAGAACAGCTATTGGACCAGTTTCTCCAGTCCAAAGCCGACGACTTCGAGCCAGACCTGGCCCTCGTGATTGATACTGCTCACATAGACTACTTGACACGCCGTGGAGACTTGTCGTCAGCTTTCGGCAAGGTAGACAAGATGATGTCGGACCTCCAAGAAGAGAATAGGGACATATGTCTACGCGTCAGAGCACTCCTTGTCAAAGTTTCCCTGTTGGATCGATGCGGGCGGCCACAGCGTGCGTTTTCAGTAGCCCTACGAGCAGCGAACCTGTCCATACGTGCGCGGCTGATATCCCTGCTCTGGGCCGCCATCGGCGCAATATCCAACATCTTAGTATCCATGGGCGAATTTGAGGCCGCGGCACAGCTCCTCACCGCCATATTGCCACGGAGTCTCGAGTGCGAATCTCCAGCTCTCACGGCTACACTATATGCATACCTTGCTGATGCCAACATGGGCTTGGCTGGCCAGGCCGAGAGTGATACCAAAGGGGGCGACAGCGAAGCAGCCCTCGGACGAGAGCGCGAGATTAGAGGGGTGGATACGGCCAAGGCGGCTAACATGCGGCGCGATGAATATCTGAACAGGGCGGCCACGGCGGTCCAGAGGGCGTTTGACGAGTTCTCCAGTATTGAGGATGTCAAGAGCCAGTGTGAGATGATGGCGAAGAAGGCTGTCATCATGAAGGCGATGGGGGACATGGCTCTGGCAGCGGACTACGCCGCGGCATATGTCGAGCTCAAGCAGAAGGCCGAGTCTTGGGGTCTGGATAGAGGAGAGATGAGATAGCACCCTGGCTACATGGAGTCAGACAGGCCAAGGTAATATATGGTGTTGAAAACAAGGTTTTATCACGACACATCGCATCCTCTATGAAATGTAAACAACCCGAAATACACGGTTACGCTACCACTGGAATGTACAAGCATCGAATTCAACTGTGAGGATATCAAGTACACATCAGCCAACGTATAGTAGCGGTCGATTCGGCCGCTCTCTATTCCTCTTGATAGGAAATCTTCCGCATTTCGCCGAGCCGGTGTCTTGCGGAAGCAAGCGCATTTTCCAGTTGCAAAATCTCGACCTGCAGGGGTAAAGGCAAAAAAGAAGCCATCCGGTTAGCTCATCTTCACCAGCGTCATGCAGTAGGAACGAATGACGGCTTACCTGTTGCTCCATCTCGCGAACCTTGAACTCGTGGGCCCCAAGCTTGGAGTAATCAACCTGGTCCTCTTCCTGGCTTCGCTCGCGAATCATGCTCTGGACCTGGCGCACCAGCGACCGGCATGCTGCCCCGACGGCTTTGCTTGCCTGCTCCAGATGGTCCTGGCTCTTGGACATGAAGCCCGCCTTGACTCGGCTCGCCGCTACCAACTGCGCCGTGGACGCTGCCACGTCGTTGGATGCGACAATCAGCTGTTCCGGGCTGTTGCGGTTCGACAGCACTCCGTCCGCCGTCTCGATGAGCGTGTTGGTTGACGAGGCTACCGCTTTCGCCGCCGAGATGAGGCCCTCGGTCCATCTGTTGTTCTTCTTGTAAAAGGCCGTCCGCGATGACGAGCCTCGTCCAGCCTGCACAATCTCCTGCTGAGTGGCCGTTGCGGCGCGAATCAGCTCCGCAATGGCCGTCGTGATGGCTGTCGCGGCATCCAAGATGGAGTCGTGAACCCTGACCTCGTACGTGGTGTAGCCGTCGCGAGGCTTGTTCTTCAGTTTGGCAAGTCGAGCTGCCGCTGCCGCAATTGCGTCGGCCGCTTTGCTCAGCTCCGAGTCTACCAGGTCTCCCAAGTCTCCCTTGTTGTTCATCAGCTTTCCATAGCCCGGCGCGAGACCCTCGACCAGCTTGTTGAGCTTCTGCAGCTTCATCTGCACGTCGTTGTTGCTGTTGATGACGACATCCGTCTTCTGCAGCGGCTCCAGACCCTCGAGGCGGAAGCTCTGCAAGCCCCTGAAGAACTGCACCGTGGATTGGGCCGACTGCCTCGCGCCCTGCATCAAGGCATCCGCCTTCTTGTCGTCCGTTGCCAGGCGGACCACGCCCTTTGTATTGCTGCATACATCCGCAATAGCTCCGGCAAAGACATTGATGGCCTTGATCAGCTCTGAGTGCGTGCTATTCGGACCGTCGGCAATAAAGTTGTTGAAAGCGGTAGCGAACTCCATTGCACTGCCAGACGCCTTCTCAATCTGGGAGAGAACATATGATGGCGACGCATTCTGATTGCCCGCCTGCATGGACGAGTCCAGCTCGTACAGAGCGTCATCCACCCGCGAGACACCGGCCTGCAGCACCGAGTCAATCATGTCGTTGATTTTGTCCAAGTTCGACAAGATCAGCGCATCGATTTGGCCGTCGAGCGCATGGTCTGTCTCTCCTTGGCTCTGTTTGAGCTCGTTCAATTCGATGAGTGTCTGGTCCATCCCGGCCTTGTACACCTCAAGCTCTTCTTCCTTTTCGCGCAGGAGTTGCTCCAGGTCCGAATCGCCATTGCGAATTTTGCTCTGTGCCTCCTCCAACGCCCGCGACTTGATTCGCAGTGCCTCTTCCAAGTCGCTCATCTCACGGTTATACTTGGAGAGCATTGTGGACAGCTCGTTGCCCTTGCTGCGTTCAAGGTTGTCCGCTCTCTCTTGTGCCAGGCGCAGCTCTCGCTTGAGCTTCTCTACCTCGTCTTTGCTGCTCCCGGTCGCTCGGTCCTTGTCGTGCAGAGCTCGGTCGCGCTCTCGAATCATGTCGGCCAGCTCGAGGTTTTTCGTCTTGATCTCCCGCTCCAACTTCTCGCGCTTCTCGATGGCTTCCTGAGCGCTCGCTGCTTTGAGCTGCACCGCCTTGAACTTTTGCAACAGATCCAGGTGTTCGTGCCGAAGTTGAGAGTACAGTTTTGCAAGGGACTCGTACTTGGACCTCCAGGTGTTGACTTGCTCTTGCAAGGCTTTGATTTGGTCATCTTTGCTACTTATCTGGTGACCGTAGCTGTTCTGGATCTGCATCAGCTCGCCTTCAAGCGCCTTGACGCGCTGGTCGTACTGCTGCAGCATCAGCTGGTCACGCTCGTATTGGGCTCGCGCGTTGAGGTTTTCTCGCTCGAGTTCAGCCAGGCGACCTTGGGTTTGCCATTGCGCTTGTTGCGCGATCAGCGCCTCCTGTTCCCGCTGTTGTTGTTCCATCAGCCGACGCTGTTGTTCTTCGAACTCGCGCTGAGCCTGCTGCTGGGCCTGCTGCTGGGCTAGGATAGCAGCGCGCTGGCGCTCTTCGAGGACTCGCTGCTGTTCCTCATACTCGCGGTTTTGACGGTCCAGCTCGCCCTTCCAGAATTCGGAAATCTCGTCTGGTTCGTCCGATTTGGGGGCGGGCGCAGGAGATGGTTGGCGCTCGATCTCCTGCTTCGGTCTGGCGGGCAACGCCGGAGCGTCATCATCAGTGGCAAGGAGGTTCGGCGGATCTTGCGGTAGTTTGGGAATTGTAATGAGGCTCGTCAGGTAGCGGAGGTTGGAACATTCGTAGTAGAACTTGACGAGTCGATAATGCTGGGCATCGTACCGCTGACGAAGGGGCTGCAGTGCATCATCGTCGCCAGTGACTGTTGCGTGCGCCCGAGTCAGCACTCATACTCTACGAAATGAAAAAGGGGGAGTGGCTTCTTTCTTACTCGAGTGCATGGCACGCAGCATGCTCGTGATAAACTTGTAGATGCCGTAGCTCTCTTGAACCAATGGCACAAGAGCTGCGATTCGGCACTCGTTATTTCCAACGTTTCTGAAGTGCGAGAAGATCAATTTCTGAAACTGCTCTATCTTGTCTTGCAGCACCATCAAATCGGAAATGGTCTCGTAGCCCTCGTTCGGGTCGTTGATTGCCTTGAGGCTGAGGTACTCTTCATACTCAAACGTTCCATTGAACTCGGGGTGCTGGTGGTGAAAAGAAAGCTTCGCGAGAAGATAGTATACGTATTCACGAATCAAGGGCCCATATCCGCGGACTCCTTCCCCGCTCATTCCACGGTTCAAGGAATCAATCCATCCACGGTTGGCCATTGCTTCTTTCAGGGCTGAAGGATGGCCTTCCTGCAGCACCTTGTGAACCGTTATCAGGGCTTTGAATGTCTGGACTTCATCGGCAAGGATGGGTTGGCTTCGTGCGGACATTTCGAGGTCAGCGCAAAGCAGAGCAGGATGGGCGCAGATGAGGGATCAAGGAGATGCGTCTCGAGCCAACTTACACCTTCATACCCGCCCAGAAGGCTTGCGAAGATCGGTGATCCCATGTATACACGATGCATGCTCGCACATGCTTGCGCTTGGGGGAGATCTCTTCGGGACTGGTAGCCTTCTTGATGCTGACGGCCAGCTCCTGATCGGTCCTAGTTGGTTTGGCGAAGACAGATAAGCAGGCGTCGTCAAAAATACAGGCCAGCTCGGGTCCAGGGAGAGGGATTTGACAAACTTTGTGTGTTCGGTCGTGCGTATGGAAGCCATGGTGGGCGGAACGCGGCTCGACGAGCTCGGCGGCGGAGCTTGGATAGGAGGCACACGGGGGGTGGACTCTCAGAGCGAACACGGATGGCAGAGAAGGAACAGCGATCGGTGCCGGTCAAGTGAGAATAATCAAGAGCTTCTCTGGAGCAAAGCTGTCCTTGATCCGGAATGTTGATCCGCCCAGGCCGCAGCACACAGAGTGACAGAGCTGTCACAGTTCGGATTGATAGGAAGAGACTCGGAGGATGCCATTGAAGCTGCGGACAAGGCGAGCATCGTCACCATGTGGGGCGCAGCGGGCCATTAATTAGCTGGACCGAGGCGGTGTTAATTTATTCCGCAGACAACGATTCAATGCTTCGGCTGACTAATCTGTACATGAATTTGGCTCTTCCAGGGTAAGAACTTATAAGCACTACGACCCTCATACTACAAGTAATTGAAGGGGGGATCGAGAGGGAAAGCAGCTTTGCTTGATAGAAGGATGGTTTCTCATTTCCGGTTTATCTTGAATTACACTATCGCACGGGTTGATGCTTTGCATGTTATGTGTTGGCGACGGGACGGTGCCGTTCAATCGGCCATGATCGTTGAGGGAGTAAATGGCCCCGCGTCTGTTAACAAGCAGGGACGGGAGATGTTTCTTAATCGAGCAAGCCAGTCGCATATAAGCATGGCAGTTGGTATTCTGTTTGGAATCAAGCAGACAGCAACACTGTCAGGAGGCCTTGGATATTCTGCTCTAGGCTCCATTGCAGCATGTCATTTGGCTACCTGTGAAGAGGAGTATCCGTTTGATTGACAGTGCATCCTCTTTGAGCTTAACATACACCTCAGTCTTGGGAGAAATCGGAGCAGAGCAGAGCAGTCGAACCAGAGGAAAGATGAGAAGGAAAAGAAGAAAATAAAGAGGCACATCTCAGAATGAGTTCTGATGGATGGCACAGGTATATTTCGGCTGTTGTCTTTACCGTGTATCCTTTAGCATGGAGGGCAGAGGGCTATAAGGCAACTTCATGGAGAAGAAATGAACAGTATCACGAATATATGGATGCCACACGACTCTCTAGGAAAGTGGCCACCGAGAATATATGCACACGTTGTCGATGTCATATTGCCTCTTTTGCTATGAACATCAAAATAAAAAAAATTGCAGACCTTGGTCACATGCTGAGTTCTTTCCTGTCCGAACACAACACCTTAAGAAAAACCGAAGCAAGCACCACACCGACCATTCCCTTTAGATTGTAGTTTCGTATGCCAGAGGAGTGACGGTCTCCGGAGGGTTGTCGGTCAGGGAAACCGTGGAGGCGTCTCGGGGGAGAGCGGGCTGTCGCTTAACCTGGACAGTCACGCCATCGGCTCTGGCCTGCTTCTTCGCCGCCGCGTTCGCCTTGACTCGCTTGATGAAGTCCTCACGGGATCGAGAGGGCTGGATGTGCTCGATTCGGACGTTGATGCGCTTCTCGATGTAGCGGTGCTTGACCTTCTTGTAGATGATGATGCCGACGGCGCTCTTGGTGACGTTGTAGATAACGCCCGTCTTGCCGTGGTAGACCTTGTAGGGCATGCTGCGCAATGGGTCAGCTTCCTCCATGCTTTTTCGGCCCCATCTCCCAACTCTCAAGAAAGGCTTCCTTACCCCTTCTGCACGGCACCGTTGGCCTTGATGTCGACAATGTCACCGACGCTGAAAGATTGTCAGTCACCTTCGAACGTCGTCGATTCTCTTCTCCCCTCAGGCTGCACTCACTGGTACACCTTCAGGTAGGTGTTCAGGGCGATCATGCCCTTGCGGCGGAAGTCCCTGCTGAAGGCATACTGCGACCTCGTTAGCAGCAATCCTTGCGCATCCTCACAGACATGATGAGACCAACTCGAGTGCCCGCTCGCTTTCCGTAAGAGTGACCCATCGCGACCGATTAATTGCCGTCGATATACGTTCGAGGATTGACGAGGATGGAGGTGAAGCTTTGCTAATTTGGCGTGGGTGAAATTACGCACGGCGTGTGGAAGCGAATATGCTTAGATAATCCGCGGATTTTTTTTCCCGCCGTGACGATAGGGCAGGATTGTGGGTTTCGGCGGAAATGGCACATGCTGCCCAGCTTAGGGCTCGTGGCTTGTAGATCACGTGCTCGATTTCCGGCGCCAAAATTCCTATCCACACAACCTTGACGATTCCTTGAGATCACCTGCGCAAAAGTTCACCAGCAGCCATCACTCCAGGAAGCAAGTCAAGTGAGTATCATATGCTCAATTCTGACACGTCCGAGCCGTAACCTCTGACAATTCTACAGAATGGCCCCTCGTGCGCATTCCAAGACCTCGCGTGTCCCTCGTCGACCCTTCGAGTCTGCTCGTCTGTCAGTATCACCGGCCACTGAACTAGAGCATGGCTCTGTTCAAGTCGATTGTGACAAGGAAACTGACATGCTTTGATCAGGGACTCGGAGCTGAAGCTCGTTGGTGAATATGGCCTGCGCAACAAGCGTGAGGTCTGGCGAGTCGGTTTGACTCTGTCCAAGATCCGTCGTGCTGCCCGGTAAGTCGATGCTGCAGGCCGCCTCGAAGAGATGAACCCCCCAGCTAACGGCGAATCGCCTGCAGTCAGCTTCTTACCCTCGACGAGAAGGACCCCAAGCGACTTTTCGAAGGCAACGCCCTGATTCGCCGTCTCGTCCGCGTCGGTGTGCTCGACGAGTCTCGCATGAAGCTCGATTACGTGCTGGCGTTGAAGATTGAGGATTTCCTGGAGCGTCGCCTGCAGACCTGCGTCTACAAGCTCGGCCTGGCCAAGTCCATCCACCACGCCCGTGTTCTGATCCGCCAGCGCCACATCCGCGTCGGCAAGCAGATCGTCAATGTCCCCTCCTTCATTGTCCGACTCGACTCCCAGAAGCACATTGACTTCGCCCTGACCTCACCATTTGGCAACGGCCGTCCTGGTCGTGTCCGCAGAAAGAAGGCCAAGGCCGCCGAGAAGGGCGAGGAGGGTGAGGAGGAGGAGGATGACGAGTAAATGCGCACCGTATATATGTGCTAATGCCTCTCCTGCATACGGAGCTGGTGCACCACTGAGGGATATCACTGGCAGGGAATAAAAAGGGTTTCTCCTCTAGCTTTCGGCGTTGGCCAAAGGACTCAATGAAATGATTTCAAAAATCACAAAAAAACACGAAACGTAATTTTACCTAAAGTTCGCCAATGCCTATGTGACGGAAATATTGCCTGTTCAACGCGCCATTGTACCAATTTTTTTTCCCCCCAAAGTGCCTACCTAGGTACTCCAGGTACATCGGCAGCGACGTCTTGTATTACCTATGTATCAATATAGTAGTAGGTGATTCCTAAGACGATGCCCAAGGCCCTGATAGAGGCGCATGCGTACTCTACAACGCGCTGGGACTGATGCCCTGGTATCAAACTCAACGGCTCAACCCAAGAGTTCGTCTCTGCCCAGTAGCTTTGCCATCGGATCTTGAGCGACGGTTTTCTTTCGGCGATATTCGTCCATTTCAGCTTCCGAAACACCCATACCATTCATCTCCGCTTGCGTACGCTTCTTGGACCTTGTGGCCTGAGAGTCCGTTGCTGACTCGGGCTCCTCGTTGTCCGCAGTCATTGGTTCAGTCTCCTGTTCCAATGCAGGGGCAGCGTATCGTTGACGCTCGGCAGCTTCCCATGCCCCCTTGCCTTCCTCGCCGGTACAGTAGCTGTTCTTGATGAACGAGTGACAACATGCGTAGCCCCATTTGAAGTTTGACCACCAGCTGCCCCAAACCGAGGTATGATTGTTGATCAGGGTATCCTCTGTGTATTTGGACTTTGCACTTCTCAGCGGTGCACCTTTGATCAGGCCGGCCTCATCGTATTCGACAAACGTTTCTGACTCCGCCATGGCCAGATTTCGCAGCGCAGCAGGCATCACTTTCTGTCCATCGCCTCCGTATTTGTCCAGTAGCTGCCGTTCCCGTTCCAGGCGCCTTTTCTCGGCCTCTTCTGCTTGCTTCTTTCGATAAAAGGCACCGGCTGTTGGGTTAGCCTGCAGGTGCTGCGAGGTATCGCCGCTCTTCTCTTGTACTTCCCACGCATACCGCTGCGCCTTCTCGAATTCGCCGGCGTCGCCAGAGGATCTCATGAACCCTTCTTCAGCAAACACATCAGCCGCCTTGTCCGCCGTTGCGCCGGCATTGACCAGGGCTCTGGTTTTGGGGTCATATTTTGCAGACTCAAGGTCGAGATTGAGGAGGTATTTGGCCGTGTCTTCTCGTATCCTGAGCTGCCTTGTTGCCGTACTCTGATGCTTGCTCATGTCGTTTTCTTCCGCGTACTTATCACCGTCATCTTTCCCTTCCTCGTCATCGTCGCCGTTGGAAGTGGTCTTTGCCTGTTTCCGCAGCTCCTCCATCTGATTGTAGTCCTCGATCACTCTTCGATACTCCCTAGCGTCGTACCCGTTCCAGCGGTCTCGTTTAGCATCCCATCCCAGCTTGACCTCCTGAACGACTTCGTCCGCCTGGATATCCTTGCCCGTCCACTTGGCACCCTTTGCTCTCGGTCGGCTCAGACAGTCTTTGGCCTTGTGCGTCATTGATCCACAGTTCTCGCATGCGCCCTTTCGGTATTTCGTCGCGGCCGGCCCAGCCTTCTTCCCGCGGTCGTACCATTGCGATTTCTCGTTCTTCTCCTCTCGACGCTGATGCTTCAGGTAGTCGTTGTCATCTCCTTCCTCGCCTGCATAGAACGGCCGCTTGCTGATGAAGGACGGGATGTATATATTTTCCTCCTTTGAGGCCGCTCCTGTCGCGGGTTTTCGTGGTGGCGGCATGATTCCCAAAGAGGCGCGTATGCGTACAATCAGTGACGCGGCAATGTGTTTAGAGGATTGTGATGGTCTACCAATAGACGGCCTGTTGAGAAAAAATCGCAAAATGAGAGGTGTGAGAGATCCCCAATGGAGGGAAGATCGAAACAATCGGCCGCGAAACTTCCAAGGTCAAGTGGTTTCGGCTGAGCCGCACGTCAACCTGGCAGCCAGGTACGAGATACTTTGTATGAGTAAGACGCCTTGATAAGAGGTTGGAAGGTAAGTGGATGCTTTATCTGCACGTGACATCGCGATCCTGACCCCCCGGCAATGACGCGAGCTTGACACGTCCACTCAGGAAACCTACGATAACTTGCTTGCGAGGCACTTCAACTTCACTTTTCTCTCTTTTGGCTGTCACCGAGTCAAGCGCACTCTGATGGATCAACTCGCTGAGAAGCATGGTCTTGTTCCGCGTCCGCTTGAACTGTATTGATCACTATCAAGCCTTGCCCAGTCGACATGACCCCCAGCTGCGCAATGACCTCCAGGCATCCCTCTTGAATGCGACCAAAGTCCCAGTAATTCGAATATTTGGCTCGACGGAATTTGGTCAAAAGGTTTGCGCCCATGTGCATGGCGTGTTTCCTTATCTATATGTGGAGTATGACGGGGACTTGAATCAAGACGCAGGTGAGCCATGCGACGCAGTGGTCTACAGCCTTCTAATAGTTTGATAAATTGCTAAGAGGAGCTGTCAATAGTTGGAGCTTTCATATACCGCCTGCACCTCTCTATCGACCATGCGTTGGCCATAAGCTACCGGCGTGATCAAGATGGAGACAAGGCCAAGTTTGTTGCGCGGATCACCTTGGTGAAAGGGATCCCCTTCTATGGATACGCTGTTGGCTATAAGCCCTTCCTCAAGATCTATATGTTCAATCCTATAGTGATGACACGGCTAGCGGATCTGCTTCAGCAGGGAGTTATCTTGAAGCGGAAATTTCAACCCTACGAGGCACACCTCCAGTATCTCCTCCAGTTCATGGTTGATTACAACTTGTACGGGTGCGATTACGTCGAGTCGTCGCAGACATATTTCAGATCTCCGGTTCCTCCACGACACGAAGATAACGCCACGTCCTGCCAGCTTTGGAATGAAGGCACTGTCCCAGTGGGCTTCGTTACGGATGATCTCACGCTGCCGCGGCAGAGTTATTGCTCGATCGAAGTCGACATTTCTGCCCAAAATATCATCAACAGGGGAAAAATCAAGGAACGACTGCTCCACCAAGACTTTTCTGAGTTTCTCAATCCTCCGGCAGAAGATGCCAAGCTAGTCTCAAGTATGGCTGGACTTTGGAAGGCCGAGGCTCGAAGGCGTCAGCGTCAACTGCCACCCGGCCATACACCTGCACAGCATCTTGTCTCCTCTTTTCCGAGAGAGGCCCTTGTGTCAATGTCGGCGGACTCTAGATCGTCCCAGGCACACGCATGGATGCACGAGGAGGACTATCGCCAGAAGGTGGAAATCCTAATCTCCAAAGAACAGGAAGATTTCCACGGGTCTCAGTTGAGCCTAGGTACCTTTTTGGAACCTTTGCCTCATGAAAGCTCCATCAAAACCAGTCTGCAATCTGTCGAGGACCTCCACCCGTCTAATCTATCGGCTGCACTTGGGCTTTCTCTAACCTCCGCGCGGCCAAATGAGGATCCCAGTAGCAACATCGAGGTAGACGAATCGAAGCTGCAGATGTCTCAGATAGATGAAGATGCCTGGCTCGCAGCAGCTTCAGATGGTTCGGATTTCGAGCAGGAGTCCGACAGGGAGCATAGTGTACCATCGGTGGAAAAAATTGACGCGGCATCGCCCAAAACTCCAATGGCCGAATCCACCGAGAAGCCCGAGGCTGCAAGGTTCGACGTCTGTTTTCTAGGAGTTGGCGCAAGCGGTCTTTTGACTGGCCGGGCCCCTCGACTTCCGTCACCATTCAGGCTAGTTGAAGCTGCTCAGCGCAACCAACTTACTTATCCACATGACGAAAAGGCTGTAACTGGTCCAGAGATCAGAACAGCAGGCAAACGAACAGCATCATTATCAGATGACAACACTGCTAAGAGGCTGAAGCATGATGTAACGTACCGGGGAAAATCTTCGCCGCCTTCAGCAGCTGTGGATGAAGCACGTTATCGTCTCCAGCCACCGTCCGATTTGCTACAACCTACCGAACTTTTCAAGGCCTCACAAATCGATCGAATGAAGGCAAAGCCTGAAGCTTTCAGTCGCTTTATGACATATGCTATTCCTCCACCTTCTGTTGCCGAGGTCACTTTTCAAAGTGGGCGCAGCTATCCAGACGTCATATACCAGGACGCTTTTTACAGCAATGAGTCAGATGTTCCATTGCGACGGCGGGAGTATGCCGGCAAGGAGTTTGAATTACTTAGCAATACCTTGCCATTTCTACCTGATTTCGATCCAACAGGCAAGTCCGTCTCCGCTTGGATTGACCGCGATAACGATACGAGCATCCACCGTAAGGCCGACATGTGGCAAGATGACCAGCGATTGAAGGAACGTTGCTCGTGGAGAGGCTGGGAGATTGCCCAACTGCCCCCTTCTTACGACGAGGTTGCTAGGTGGTTGGTTCAGAATGAGGCAACTGGCCCCAAAAGGGCCAAAGCAAGACTAATCCGTCCATGGCTCTCTCAGATAGACGGCCCAACGCCAAGGACCAAACACAACTTTAGGTATAGCCAGAAACAGCCCTCTTCGGCTGTTCCACATGAGGCTCAGTACATGAGCTCGATGAGCCTCGAGATCCACGTAAACACAAGGGGAAATTTTGTCCCCAACCCTGAGGAAGACGAAATCCAATGCATCTTTTGGCACTGGAAAGATGACGAAGCAACGAGCAGCGCGACTCCTGGTCTGCCGGGTTCATCTGAGTCTGGAATATTGGTTCTGTCGGTTGACAGTGCTCTAGGCGGGCGAATCAGAAGTGCGGTGCCCGACGAAGTCGCTGAAGAGTCGTCAGAGTTAGATCTGCTCAATAAGATGGTTGAGATTGTCAGATTCTATGATCCAGACATACTGACTGGCTATGAAGTCCATGGAAGCTCGTGGGGCTATCTGATCGAACGGGCGAGGCTGAAGTACGACTATGATATTTGCAGTGAATTCTCCAGGATGAAGACGCAATCCAACGGGCGTTTTGGCAAGGAGAATGATCGATGGGGCTTCAACACAACCTCGAGCATTCGCGTAACAGGAAGGCACATGATCAACATCTGGAGGGCAATGCGTGGCGAAGTCAACCTCCTCCAATATACCATGGAAAATGTGGTGTGGCATCTTTTGCACCGTCGGATACCCCATTATCCATGGAGATCTCTCACATCCTGGCATCGCAGCGGCAAGCCGCAGGACTTGGTGAGACTCCTGAGATACTACCGGACACGGACTCGACTAGACCTGGAGATTCTTGAGTCCAACGAGCTCATATCGAGGACTAGCGAGCAGGCAAGGCTTCTAGGCGTCGACTTCTTTTCCGTCTTCTCCCGCGGCTCGCAGTTCAAAGTCGAGTCCATCATGTTTAGGATCGCAAAGCCGGAAAACTTCATGCTCGTCTCCCCGAGTCGCAAGCAAGTCGGCCAGCAAAATGCTCTCGAGTGCTTACCGTTGGTGATGGAGCCCCAGAGTGCCTTTTACAGCAGCCCTCTGGTTGTGCTTGACTTCCAGAGTCTCTACCCGAGCGTCATGATTGCTTACAACTATTGTTACTCAACTTTCCTGGGGCGCATCACGGACTGGCGCGGCAAGAGTAAGATGGGCTTCTCCGAGTACAGACGGCAAGACGGGCTGTTGACTTTGTTGGCGAAGCACATTAATATTGCGCCCAACGGCATGATGTATGTGAAACCCGAGGTCCGAAAATCCCTGCTGGCCAAGATGTTGACGGAAATCTTGGAGACGAGGATCATGGTCAAGAGCGGAATGAAGCAGGACCGGGATGACAAGACTCTGCAGCAGCTGCTGAACAATCGACAGCTTGCGCTGAAGTTGCTCGCCAACGTGACCTACGGCTACACATCGGCCTCGTTCTCGGGTCGTATGCCGTGCTCAGAAATTGCGGACAGCATCGTGCAGACTGGTCGCGAGACGCTGGAGAGAGCCACTGCCTACATCCATTCAGTGGAGCGATGGGGCGCTGAGGTGGTCTACGGCGATACCGATAGCCTTTTCATCTACCTCAAGGGGCGATCCAGGGATGAGGCCTTCGCCATAGGGCAGGAGATTGCCCAGGCCATCACGGAAAGGAACCCAAAGCCAGTCAAGCTCAAGTTCGAAAAAGTCTACCATCCTTGTGTTCTGCTTGCCAAGAAACGCTACGTCGGGTACAAGTACGAGAGCAAGGATCAGGTCAAGCCCGAGTTTGATGCCAAAGGCATAGAAACCGTCCGCCGTGACGGTACTCCGGCAGAGCAGAAGATCGAGGAGAAGGCACTGAGGCTACTCTTTGAGACGGCAGATCTGAGCCAGGTCAAGGACTACTTCCAGGAGCAGTGCAGGAAGGTGATGGATGGCAGAGTGTCGATCCAGGACTTTTGCTTTGCCAAAGAAGTCCGCCTAGGTACCTATTCTGAGCATGGCCTACCACCTGCCGGGGCCATGATCAGCGCGAGAAAGATGCTGCAAGACTCCAGAGCGGAGCCACAGTACGGCGAACGAGTTCCGTATGTGGTGGTTACGGGAGCGCCGGGCGCTCGACTCATCGACCGGTGTGTCTCGCCGGAGGAGCTTCTTCGCAACCCTCACTGGCAGCTGGATGCTGACTATTACATCACCAAGAATCTGATACCGCCCCTGGAGCGGATATTCAACCTCGTCGGCGCCAACGTGAGACAGTGGTATGACGCAATGCCGAAAATCCGGCGCATCCAGCGAACTAAAGGGCACGGGGACAAGAAGCGGACTCTAGATGCGTATATGCAGTCGATAGACTGCATGGTCTGCGGAAGAAAGGTTGACAGCTCTACTGAGATGTCGTTGTGCGGCTTTTGCTATGCGAGTGCGCCAGACTCGTTGCTGACGCTGCAATCGAAGCTGGTAGCGATAGAGCGCAAATACGTCGAAATACGACGCATTTGTCAAGGCTGTGAAGGACTCGGCCCTCTGGAAGACGTTGCGTGCGACAGCCATGACTGCCCCGTCTTCTGGACCCGCACAAGGCTCAGAAGCAAGATGCATCACGAACAAGTAGTGACGGAACCCTTGATCCACGAGTTGCATGCCAGGATGGAAGACCTTTCTTTGGACTGGTAGTTGAGAGATTGTAATCACTGCCGCGCATTTAGAGATCTGAATATCAAGGGCGCGAAGGAATAGGAAGAGGGAAAGGACGATGAGGAGGAGGAGGAGAAGAAGGAAAAGAAGAAGAAGAGCATGCCATTCCATTCCATTCAATATGCACCTCATCCATGCTATTCGGTGCTTCTCGACTTGCCCGCCTCGTAAACGCCAACGCTAAATTACAAAGATGAGTCGTCCCTACATAGCCTGGGATCTGCTCGGCGCCCTCTCGACTTAGGGAGCAATCTTCCGTTCTATTTATTTTATACAAGTGGATCTATGACAAGAGAAACGGGGATATGAAAGCAAGAAATAAACAAGCAGACAAACAGCCGGGTACTAGAGCCCAGGTATCCTGCACTGGTGATGTGAGAACGGATACTTGAAAGATGTGAGCGCTGATGAGATAAGTCCCTGCCAGTGTCTAGTCGTCCACTAGCCATGCGGAATAGTCATCGTCGTCATTCGGCTCTGCAAAGGTCGACGGGCTTATTGGAATAGGCCTGCTGGCGGTGACGGAATTGCCTGCCTCCAATCCCTGGGTGGTGTTATCTGCGGCATCATGATTATCACTCCCCTGCTGCGTTGTTGTCGGTGGCTCTCCTTTCCACAGCTCAGTCTGACGTGCCGCGTCCTCGATGGCGGGAGTGGTGGGTTGTGAATCGTCCGGCGCAGCGACTACGAGGATATTCGGGCCATCGTCTTCTTGTTGCTGGCTGTCTTGTCGCCTTCTCCGCGGCGGGGAGTGGTGTCTCCCGGGCGAAGGCGCAGAGCCCTGGTTGTCCTCGGCTACAAGAGCAGCCTGTTCTTCCAGGACGAGGTTGGGGGATCTCCGCTTGGACGTGGGCACAGGCCCTATTTTGGTGCCTCCATTTGTTGGCATCGGAAGTGGTGTACCTGGTGGCGGAAGGGGTTGCCCTCGACCCATGGGCTGGCTCAAATCGACGGCGATGGTCTTCTCATTGTTCCTCATGGCTTCTCTTTGCCGTTGGATGGCATTCCAACCCCATTGTTTTGCCTGAACAGCTGCATTGGTGACCGCTGCCAAGGTATTCCTCTTTTGCACTGTAGCCTCGCCCTCGGGAGATGCTGCGGTGCCAGAACTGGGGTGATCACGCCTCTGGAACAGGCTGCGGCCGAGGGAGCCCGCCTGGGACCTGATTGAGCCGGCAGTAGGGGTGCGAGAGAGATCAGAATCAGAAGCTGTCGCTACGCCGGAGGAAGAAGACGCTGCATATTGCTGCGTTAGTTGCGGCACGTATTGCTGCGTTAGTTGCGGCACGGGCTTGGAATCTGTATTCAAATCGTCTTCTGCCGCAGCGTTGCCGTGCAGCTCTTTTGATGAGGAAGACGACCGCCGAGAGACGAGGGTGGACTGTGACAGCTTCCTAGTGATGGGTATGGGTGAGGCGTCCTGGGACCTGGAGCGCAGTGCCGCCATGTGGTTCATGGCATAGTCCGGCGGAGATGTTGATGGTTTGAACAGATCAGCATGCGTTGTTTCAGTCCCGACAATGGGCTCGGTGGCGGGCTTCACAATCCTTGGGGAATGAACCGGAGTCGGGGGAGCGAGTTCCACGCTGGTTGACGACGCCAGAGCCGGCAGTGCACTTGCTACTTTGTCTGACGCTTTCCTAAGCGGACTAGGCGCTGGCTCGAGAGCATCTATCACTGGCATTGTTTGGCTCTTGTCTATGGGCTGAGCATCGTCAGGCGCCTGCGCAACGCCGGCGTCGAGGAGGTCAGGGATTTCACCGTCGCCGATCTGGGCCAAGGTTTCGGCAGGCTGGGAGGAGGGCCTGACTGCATCATCGCCTTCAAAGATACCGCCTCTCAGCTGCTTGTGTTCCGTGTTAAAGAAGGGAACATCGTCCCAAAATGGCTGAACTAACGTCTCAGCAAAGACTTCCTTGATGCGATTCTCTATCTGACGAGTGATGACGGTATAGGTGATCTGTCTCGAGCTGACGATGGGCTCGATGGTCATCTCCAGCTTTGGCATTGTCTGGAAGGAAAACCAGATCCTGTTGCTGGGAGGTGGCTTGATTTTGAAGAGAACGTGGCCTTCCAGCCTGCGCAGAACGACGGCAAGAATCAAGTTGACTTCTCGAACCTTGAACCTCGCGCCCAAATCGATCCTCGCCGTGGCAGCAACCTCGATTCGAAAGCTGCCGGTGTACCTCAAGTCGGCCTCCACGACACACTCTCCCTCGACGTTGAGATCCTTGAGTTTCAGATTGGCAAAGTAGGGCGCAGCATCTCCCGTGTCGATCTGTTGGATCATGATGTTGGTGAGAAATGAAGGACGCTTGACGCGCGAGATCTTCTTGGTGATCTTTTCGCGGATGAACGTTTCTAGGTCTTTGGTCTTGTACACGCCCAGAAAGATCCTTCCAATCATTGCGTTGATCCAGCGCGAGTGCACCTGATCTTCGGAAGAATGCAGCTTCTGCACAAGCGAAATGATAGACTTGAGCTCGAACTGCTTGGGGTTGGGCGCGATGTGGTCGAACCCAAACGTATGCTGTTGGTTCTTCAGCATGGCGAAGTAGAAGTCTTCCTTGGCTGAGCAATTTTCCGAAAACAAGTAAAAGGGCCTCGACGCCTGATTGTCGGGAGTATGATCGGATTCGTTGGGCTTTCGCGTCAGGGATATTGCGTTTCGTTTGATGAATAGTTCGCCCTCGGGGGTCACGTCGCCTCCGGAATACAGCCCTATTCTATGATGCGCCAGGGATATCACATGCCGTACCTCGAGCTGCTCCTCGTCGTCGAACAGCATCAAGTGTCCATGTCTGCAGAGCTGGTCAGCACACGCCAAGTCGCCGGCGTGCGGATGGTGGAAAGGGAGCCGCAGAAGCGTACCTAAGCACCACGTAGAAGACGTTGCCTGCCTTCTTGGGCCGTTGACTGACACCGCTGCTGCTGTCCATCGAGCTGGCAGCGGCCTTGCGATCGAATATACTCCTATACATTGTCTGGTAGACGCTCGGACTCGTAGGGGTGACTGTGGCGGAGCCGATGGGGGTTGAGCGCTCCACGGGCTTTGCGTTGATGCCCATGGGGGTGTATTCGCGGCAGACGGCAAAATACCCGGCGGCGACATCGACATCGGCATTTGTCCTCTTGGAGTCGCTGTTATTCCTGGCCCTCCTGGCCTCGTCGAGCGCAGTCGTGTCGTCGCCGGGGCGGACTATGCTGCCATCGTCATGGTCGTCCTGGAAGCCGAGGGCGCGTCGGTACGGCAGGTTATAGTATCCGTAGAGGAAAATGGATGCAACCACCAGAGGGACAAAGGTCACGCCGCCTATGAGATAGGCGATCAGGATCGTGGTCCAAGCAGCCATGGCGAGAGACAGAGAGAGAGCGAGAGAGATGAAAGAGACAAGTGAGAGAATGGACAGGCGCCTCAGCTGTAGGTGAACTCCAGCCGCAAGGATGGCGGCCCAGCTACAGACGATCAAGGCGAAAACAACGCGATGGAGCAGCAAACGATCATTATGCTGCGCTGAAGGAAAGCTGCCAAATTCGGTTGGCACAGCGGTAGTCGAGCTGTTGCTACAGCAGTAAGCTTGGAGGTGAGCTGGCCAGATGATGATGGACTTGAAGCTGGGCTACGTCATGTGATGCCGGGACCGAGCGCAGGTCACTTTAGTCATGCGCCTTTGCGTCACGTACCCCCCCAACTCCTCTACTTGGAGACTTGGCGCGAAGCCATGCTTGAGAGAAGTAGTGTCAGCGAGCGGATACATTGCTCTTACCCCAAGCCGCCCCAATGGGCTTGTTTGCTCTTGTGGCATTTTGATGCGAAACTAAAGCGGTTGCCTTCAAAAGTTCGTATACATAAGAGCTGCAAGCTTGCTAAATCAACTACTAGGTAATCTCTGGGGAGGTCAAATACGTTATCTAGGTAGTTAGGTACATAGTGGCTAGAGGTGATCACAGCTTGCCGCCAATGTTATCGGCGGTTACGAACTACCTACTACCGCAGTACCTTACTCCGTACCTAGGTACTTTATTGAGAGAAAAATACAATTCCCAAATTGAAGCTCAGCAGCAGTACCAAATCTGAGGAAACCTGCCTACACCTACCTACCCAGGTACCTAGGAATACTACAATAGTAACGCGGCGAAATTCCTGCTAGAAAGAGAGTATGACCTTCATACCATAGCTACCTAAGTATGTATGATTTCCCACATCTTAAATCGGTGTACGGAGTAAGTCAATGGAAATTTACGAAGTCGTGACGTGCCAAAAGGGGAGAGCTCAAGAGCCGCAATGCAAAGCTGCCGATCAGTCAAATCGGTGCCCTCTGAGCCGGCTGCGGCTGCCTCCCCTCAGATTAATATTACTACTACCTACCTAGGTAAGCCACCCAAAGTAAGGAAGGTAATATGAACTGCCCCGGTTTGAGACTACCTCAGTAGGCAGTAGGTGTGGTGCCTTGCATATACCTGAGATGTCCTCAAATTAATTGAAAGTTGAGGCATGGCTTTTTGCCTCTGGAGAGTACCACTGTGTGTGCTTTGAACCTTCTTGATGGTACATGAACCAACAAGAACTCCAACCACCTCATAATAATAACCTGAGAGCTTTCTTGAATAGATGGCAGGCCCCTGAAGGAATAGGTAGGTATCGACAGAACGTGGGCTTATCCCCCACGCTCTCCCCTCTGTGAAAGTATAGTTGTAGTACTACTCCTTTCCTTTGCGCTAATAGGCTGGAATCCACCCACCGTCTGTTCGCAACCAACACACATTTGTCTTCAACCAATCCACGCCTAAAATAGCTGACCAAGGACGCAGCAGGGGTGCCTTTGAGCGGTTAATATAGGCCTACCGTTGGCTGTAAACGTACCCACTCGCGCAGTGCTACAGATGCTCAACCAACATGCATATCGAGACGTCGAACCCGTGAAGGACAGCCATGCTCGAGAGGGTTCTCTATCCGTGGCCTTCTTACCCAGTTCATTCGAAAGCGCAATACACGTACCTAACGTACCGGCCTAGTACCTTTAGCAATAAGGTAAGGGGAAAGTGTACATGTAATATGCCCCAAGAAGCCGCGCCCGTCCCGAATTCCCGATGTTCAGTGTAGAGAGGAAATAAATAATCGGGTGCCTCCCAAACTCGACACCTAACCTACTTCCACCCCTCACATCCTTCTGGCTGAGTCTTTAATCTGATTCTTCTTCTCAGCAATTCCTATTGACTGCTGAAGCAAGCAACGAACTTCGCAGGCTTCACTAAACATTTGCAACTTGTGGGAGACTGGGGAGAAGGACGAGGCAATAATACTCTCGAGTACGGGCTTTTCGGCGGTTCGACGAGAATGAGGATCGGGTGTCTACAATTTGCACCCCAAGTGGGCGATGTTGACAACAACTTGAATCGCGCCGATGCAGTTCTATCAAGAGCAAATCCTGAAGATCTCGATGTTCTTGTTCTGCCCGAACTGGCCTTTTCTGGTATGGACTATATTCTACAATTATTACTGGATGCTCTGATACTTTCCACAGCGGGCGCACCCCAAACTGTTGACCGAGCTGTATAGTAGGCTGACTGTCGCATAGGTTACAATTTCAAGTCATTACAAGATATTTCACCATTTCTTGAGCCTTCAGGCTCAGGTATCAGCTCATTATGGGCCCGGACGATGGCTTTGAAATATAATTGCACGGTTCTGGTTGGGTATCCAGAGAAAGTCGACGTTTCTCCCAACTGGCCGACGGGCCCCGAGTACTACAACTCGGCTATTGTGGTGAACGGTGATGGCGAAACAATCGCCAACTATCGGAAATCTTTTCTGTACTATACGGACGAGTCGTGGGCACTCGAAGGCAATCGTGGATTCTATGATGGTTATATCCCCGGGCTCGGCAATACTTCCATTGGAATTTGTGAGTCGGCAGAAAGGTACACTGTTCCTGATTGACTGAGATCGTCCTAACAATTTGCTATTAGGCATGGATATCAAGTAAGTGAGCGGACGTCGAATTTCGGCGTGCCTTTTTCACTTTATGTTAACGTGCTCCTAATGGGAAAATCTTAGTCCATATAAGTTCGAGGCGCCATGGCACGCGTTCGAGTTCGCCTTCCATGTTCTCGAAGTCGAGTCGAATTTGGTCATCGTTTCCATGGCATGGATGACGAGAGAGGATCGCCGTCACTTTAGTCGAATGCCCAATGAACCAGATATGAACACGTTGACATATTGGGTGACACGATTAGAGCCTCTCATTCGCTCTAACAACGAGGACGAGATCATCGTGGTCTTTTGCAATCGCACTGGCATCGAAGATGAAGCAACCTACGCAGGCACCAGTGCTGTCATTGGTATTCAAGAGGGGGAAGTCAAAGTATACGGTCTGCTTGGGAGGGGCGAAAAAGAGTTGCTGGTCGTCGATACCGCCAACTCACCCTATGCTAAGATGGTTTATCGGCCAGATGCTACTGCCTTGGGCAAGCATGTCGGCGAACTCGAGCAGCATAATGTGGCGGATGACCGAAATCTTATTAATCCTGAAAGGACATGCAAGTCAGGCTCCAGCGTTGGGTCCCTTGATCAGAAGGCCATGCACCATGAACAGCCAGTTGCTACTGGGCGAGAACCAAGCCATGATTTTCCTTCATCCCCGCCTCCTGCTTCTATGGCTCTTCATTCTTCATCGACTGAACCGACAAGTCCACCGGCACCGTCACCTTCCAGACGAAGCGAGCCAAATTCTCACACTCAGTCAATCGGACACTCACAGCCAAAAGCCTCGACTAAGCAACCTACTAAGCGACGAACACCATCTATATCCATTCCATCGCTATCCGAATTCATTGATCATGTTCAGGCGGCTGGTAATGGAGACGGAAACGACGTCCCGACTCCTTCTGCGCCTAGTCCAACACCACTGGCTGTTCGGCCGCGACTTGTTATACCGCAGTCACCATCTCTGGTGTTGAGTCAACATTCGGAGAACAACATTCCAAGTGCAACGTCCATAAGATCCGCAGAGTCTTTACAGTCAGTCAAGTCGGACGAGTCGGAGGTATCGACTCAAACAATACGCTCAAATCCTAGGCCACCAGAAGATAGCACGCCATATCCTCATAGCGGGCTTCCCCTTAGTGGGTATCCATCGAATTCGTTCCAGCATGCGTTCGAAAAGCGCATCTATGGCGGCAATGTCACCATCAAACACGAAATTGATGATTTATCCCCGACCACCCCATTTGATGACGTACCCACGGCATCACCTCGTTGGTTTTGGCGCCCGCACGACAGTGTGTTTCGGTCCTCAGTCTCTGGTGGAGGGGATTGGGCCACCAGCACGCCTGTTGGGAGAAAGCCAGAGCCTTTTCCGTGGTCAGCAATCAAAGATATTGCCCCATTCCCGAGAAATGCAAGCGAAAATGAAAATTCGAGTGGTTCTCCAGGCCCCCAAAACTCCAGTTACAAGTATTCACAGTCTCCAAGATCAAATACATCGTCCAATAAGACAGGAAAGTCAAACTCGTCCACTGAAGCAAAGACACCCCGGCGCACCAACGCCCAAAATGAAAAGCATCCTTCGAGACCTTCGTCACCGAAATCACGCAATGCAAGCCGCTCCGGAATCAGAGGCAGATCGGATTCTTCACTTAGCCCCCAAAATATTCCGAGTGCAGTATCACAGCATATCGAACAGATCTCTCAACGGGCGGAGTCTAGAAATAGACACAATTCGGATCCTCAGCAGTTCGGGTCAGCCATGGACCGTTCTCTGTCTCAACAAATGCGGAATGATGGCTGGCACAAGTTCACATCTGATTCTGCGACAGAAAATCTGATACCCATTGCTGCAAGCCCTAGCCTCTTGGGACCTGGCAGTCGGGCAAATATATCAACGCCCGCGGCAATCGATTTCTACCGTCATGCCACTCCTCGAAACACTCCTCACAATACACGCCTCCAACACTTCGATGGGAACCGTCAGCTGGGTTCAATTAACAACAACCTGGTCAGTGGTAACCAAGCATCTGCGGATGATACGAAGCAGATTCCTTTGTCTCCTCCGACCAACCATGACCAAGTGACGAAAGCATCACGCTCAGTAAGCAGAGGTCGCCAGCCAAATCGCAGAGATAATCCAACCCACACGGCCGCGCTCGAATCAGGGGCCGAGAGAGCTACTTCTGCAGACTCGACCAGAAACAACATCCTGCACACGCGAATCGGCAAGCGGTACTCCCACGAAAAAGAATTGTTTCTCTCGTCAGACGATGGGCACTCTCACGTTGATCGTTCAAGTACCCAAAGCGCCCGAGATGAACCAAAGTTTGAGAGGGTTGAGGTCGTCAGTTGCCCTGATTGTCCTATCCATGGCCGTCAATCTACTTCGCTATCTGAGCCTACCAGGCAAGAGAGGCATGTCGAGGAAGATGCTAAACCCGAACACCAACTTGATCTGAGTTATTCTGCAACTACAGAGAGAACAGGAGGGAAGCAGGCGGAAGCGAACGAAGTTCCCAGTTGGGAAGCTGCTACTGCTCACAAAGTGACCGGCGCCAACAGCCTCATCGGATATCCTGCCGCGAAGCAACGAATGCCAACAAAGGATTCCGCGTTGTTCAAGGATACAGTTCATGCCACTTCATCTTCTGGGTCAGAAGCGATTTCCACGAACCCAAAATTTGATCCCACCACACCAAGAGCAATGGTGTTTCACCCTGATGATACGTGCATTAACTCGATGCCTGATGCTGGCTTGCGAGGTAATGCACAATCGCCAGGTTGGTTCACCGTCGAGAAGAAATCCCCCAAATCCGAACTTGACTCTACGGCTTGATGGAGTCTCAAGAAGAATGTGATAAGATGTCAAAAACCTCGCATGTTGGAGCTTTAGGTGGCTAATGGGCAGAAAGTTCATGCGAGGGATGTTCCTGTATTCATGGCATCATAGTGCAACTTTTCCAAAGAGACTATTGAGGTATTTGCCGGAGAGACTTTGTGAGGGTTAGTTTCTGAGAGCCAACAATAAAACTGTTCGCATGCATGCGATTGCAGCGAGGCCGCCGGATGTGGTTGTGGATGGTGCTTAATACCTTGGCATTCGTCTACGTAACGAGCAACCACGGCAGAAGGTGAATAAGCTCACTTCATGAGGTCATAATCAGGATGGACTTGTGACAGCCCTGAGTGGTAGACTGAGGAAGCACCAGTGTCCCGGTCTCTGTGACGGACTGCATCTTTTGAGACTCAGCATAGTATAACAGATGAGAAAAGAGACGAGATGAGATGATGATCATGAACGCTGAAGATGCTGACTCTGACGATGAGTGACCGTCCTCCCTCGTTCATGCTACATGAAAGCTCCAAGCAGAATGCTCTCATTATTCGCAACCTTGCTGTCCATGAGACCACGAAGACAGCGGCTGGCGCAAAACTGCTCTTGCTGTAAGCTTACAACGACTATGGTTGCTCGTTCTTATCAACACATTTCCAGCTACATCTCGAGCACAAAAGCATTCATAATAACATGATAGAAAATTGGAGCCAAAACAGCAGTGCCTGAGATGACAATCGATACAGAGACATGCCATCACGTACGATGATGCAACTGGCCGGCGTTGAATACATAGCCGCGAATGATACAGCATGCAGTTTGACATGCATGGATGGAACCTCCGACCTCCCCCAAGCCACCAAAGAAAAGGAACAGCCACCAAAACAGCCCCAAAAGCCGGCGCGGAGCAAAAGAGATTCCCAGATGGCGCTAACAAGACGCCACTTTTGCTCCTTGCAGGGGACCAGCTCCTACAGCTCCTACGGGGGAGGAATTTTCCAGCGGTCTGACAGGGGCAAGCAAGCAAGTCACAGTGGGTTCCCGGGGGATCTTCTCGGCGGCGCCACGTAGACGAGCCAATGGGCGGCTTGGGGGACCCTGTTCTGCCAAAACGCCATGAAAACGCCACAAAGAGCTTGAATCTATCCGAATGCCCACCTCGATCTTGTGACGACGATGTTGAGCCTCGTTTTCCAGCTGTCGGGACGCGAAGAAGAGTCATCGTTATCTCGCTGATACTATCTGAAGGAACTGCGAAGGCTCGTGTGCTTTTTCTATAAATTCATCATGGCCGCCGTCCTCCAGAATGCCGCTTGTTCGCTCATCAGACACCTCATCTCATCAGCTACGACAACAACCACTATACACTTCAACAGGATCGTTCCTTGAGATTCATAGTGCTTTTACACAAAAAAGAATCTCATCCAACATTAATTGACCAACTCAATACACCAAGCCGCAATCTACACAGAAACCGCTCAAATGGCCCTCGTCAGTCGCATCTGGGGTTGCTTCAACCCACCCACACCCCCAAAGTCCAGCGATGCCATCAGGTTCGGTGTCTTGGGAGCTGCCGGCATTGCGTAAGTACATCAGTTAATGATTCAAACATGACCATTGTAATCATCATCAACTCCTGTGGCTAACACATAAATGCTCACAGACCCCTTGCCCTGTTCACCCCCGCCAAGTCCCATCCCGAAGTCATCATCCAGGCCATCAGCGCTCGTGATCGCAAAAAGGCAGAGGAGTACGCAAAGTCCCACGGCATCCCAGAGATCAAGGATACATATCAAGGTAAGTCACTCACTCTCATCCTGTCTTTCTCATTAGCGAATTCTCCTCAATGCGATATCATCCACCACAAGCAACCCCTTCATGACTTTCAAGAACTCCAAGCTAACCCCTGACAGAAATCCTCGACGACCCCAACATCGACGCCGTCTTCATCCCCCTCCCCAACAGCCTGCACTTTGAATGGGCCGTCCGCGCCATCCGCGCCGGCAAGCACGTCCTTCTCGAGAAGCCCTCCGTGTCCAACGCCGCCGAGGCCGAGATCCTCTTCAACCTGCCCGAGCTGGACGCCCCCAACGCCCCAGTCCTCCTCGAGGCCTTCCACAGCCGCTTCTACCCCTCGTGGGCCCTCTTCCGCTCCCTCGTCGAGCCCTCCGAGGTCGAGCGCGTCGAGACCCGCTCCATGATCCCCTGGTGGGCCAGCAGCAAGGACCAGATTCACTTCAACTACGCACTATCCGGAGGCTCCATCATGGCCATGGGCACGTACAACCTCGCCGCCCTGCGCCTGCTCTTTGGCGAGAGCCCCGAGGAGTGCCTCAGCTGCGACGTCAAGGCGTACACCGACGGCGTCCATGACAAGTGCGACTACGAATTCAAGGCCGCGTTCCGCTTCTCCGGCGGCCGCACCGGCGTCGCCTCCAGCACCCTCTTGGGCGAGACCCTCATCAAGCCCTCGTGGGTCACCGTCACAACCAAGCAGGTGCCCGTCGCCAACGCCAGCCTCCCCGCCGGCCAGCGACAATTACAGCGGCGCGAGCTTACGCTTCAGGGGCTCGTCCACGGCGCCTTCTGGCACCGCATTGACATCAAGGAGGTGAACGAGATCCAGTCTGAGGACGGCAGCGTCGTCAAGAGCTGGAACAAGACGACGTCCCGCAAGGCCTACACCTGGAAGGAGGCCGGAGGCGAGTTGGCCCATCTGCCGGGCGAGACGCACTGGATGTCGTACAGGCACCAGCTGGAGCAGTTTGTCAACAGAGTCAAGGGCCGCCAGACGCAGCACTGGGTCGACAGGGAGGACTCCATTGCCCAGATGAAGATGGTTGACATGGCGTATGAGAAGAGCGGCCTGGGGCCCCGGCCTACGAGTTCCTTTCGGTGAAGCTTTACATGGAAGCCTGAGTACTTTCCTTCCTTTTGTCCGTTTCGAGTGTCATTGTCCTTTTCAAGTATCTCTCTCTTTTGTCATAGTGTTTCGTACATTAGAATGACAGTATCAACAACATATAAGCCCTTGCTTCAGACTGTTTTACTCTATGCTGGCTGACGCTTGGCCATGTTCATAGATAGTGGCTCATGGATCTATAATTGGCTGTTGAGAATTCGCGTAGGCTGATGACGGCGATTGTTGTCTCAGGAAAAGGAGGCGAGAATAATACATGGTCGCTCACCATGATCTTGTGCAAGGGCTCATAAGAGTCTTTGCATCTCAGGCTCTTCAACAAGCGCCTGAGCTCAATCGGTGATCGGTGATTGGTCAATGACCAAGTCACGTGACGCCTGGTTAGCTCAATCGGTAGAGCGTGAGACTCTTAATCGAGAACACGTTCTGATGAAATCTCAAGGTTGCGGGTTCGACCCCCGCATCGGGCTCTTCCTATATAACAAATTCACCGGATTGAGATATGACGGCGATTCTTTTTTTCCTCTTTTGCTGTTCTGTTTTCCCTTCTTTCTTTTCTGCTTCTTCCTGGAGGGGTGATTATTGCTATATGCTGCTGATTAATAGCACGAGATGAGGGAGGGAGTCATGGTTCGGTGCAAGGCCACTTACAGACTCTTCCACTCTCCTTCATCCGTCACGTCTGCCTTTGTCGCCTAGAAAGGCCTTGAGCCACTTCTTGACCCTCGACTGTTTTGATCTTGAAGCGGACATCACCTCTTGAATCTCCTCTTGGATCTCGTTGTCCGCTCCAGGTGCCCCATCAAGCCACTCGGGGACTAGATGAGCGAGGATGCTGGCTATTCCTACAGCTTTGTTCCACTCCTGTCTCGTGGAAACGTTGAGTCGCCCGCCGCGTTTAAGCAGGAGATTAGCCGTAAACTCGTCCTTCCCCTCATGGGGAAGACTTCCGTGGTCCAGCATGGCCTTTACCCAGCAGTCGAGCGGCGTCAGTTCTCTCGAAGTCAATCCGTTGGGGTCTTCGCCCCTCTCTAAGAGATGGTGTGTGGTCAGATGGTCGTTCAGCATGTGAAGAGCTTGGACGGTCCCGTCATCTCCGTGAAGCCGCATTAACCAGGTAAATCTGTCGCTGACGTTGAAGTAAGCAAGGCAGCCCATGTTGGTTGAGAAATTGGCCCCAGGTTCCGAGAGGACTGTCACGTTCTGCCACAAGAATGCTCTGGAGGGTTTGATTGCATCAGTCGACGAGTACTCCACATTGACACTGGCGCGCAGATAATCCATCAAGGCGAGCAGGCCCGGGTGACTGGCATGGATCTGCAGCCCCTTAGCCGCCATCTCACGAAGCAGAGTCAAAGCGCTGTCTTTGTCGAGCGTTTCCCGCTCAATCATGGTAAAAATGATGGGAAAGAGAAGCACAGCTCTTGTATTCCTACAATTCTTCAGGCTTTCCTCTAGAAGCAACCTGAGATTGTAGGCTACCGCCAACTCCAGCGTTGTGTACCGCGCGTCTTTCAAGTAATAATACTTGGGTGAAAGGCCTGTTGACGTTGCGCCTAGGGGCCTCCAAGTGGCATCTGAGAAAAAGACGTATATGCTGCTTCCGGTGGTCAACTCGGCTTCGCGTGCATAATGTAGAAATGTCTCATCCACTGTGACTACTGGATCAACCAGACAGTCTGCAGCTTGTCCAACATTTTGTAAAGCCTTGTATCTCGCAAGGATTGAATAACCATTCTCTTTAACAATGCGGTACCTCTCTCCAAGCACAAGGTGCTTGAACTCGGGAAGCTTGATGAATTCGACAAGCGTCTGGTGCAGCAGTTGAAGTTGGCCATCATGAGTCATCTCGATCAAGCCGCCCGAGTGTGTTCTGAGCTGCTCCTTCGTATACCGGCCTGTGATATTCCAGCTTCCCCTCCGCTGCCGCGACTTGAAAATGTCATCAATATGTCGGACTTTCGCACATAGCATAATGTCGGCCATTTGATCGCGATAGATTGGCTCTAGTGACTTGCTGACAGCCTCTAGCAAGCAAAAGGCCTCCCAACGGTACGAGTAGGGTAATCTATCTATAATGATCTTGTAGTACTGTTCCAAATCGACGGGCAGCAATTGAAGAATAACCATGAGCGCATCGCGGAGACGCTGTGAGTTATTTCCAGAGGCCAAAAGCTTGGCAGCATTGTCCAGAAGGTCGTTGAGCACAAGCTTCACCCACAAAAAGACGCCCCTGGCTTGCTTGACAATATCTTCCACAAGCTGCAGTACCTCTGCTGAGCCTGGTACATCGGGGGTAATCCTTTGTAGACAAAGCTCGCGAATGTCATTCTCAGTGAAATCATGGATTTGAACGCCGGGACCATGTCCGAAAGCGTCAACAAAGGGCTGCCATGGCCGGCTTGAGAACAAAATTTTCATTCTTGTTCTGCTCTCTTTGGCAGAGGTGATATCCTTGATGAGCTGAACGACGAACTCGGGAGGGCCACCATGCTCATCTAGTGCATCGATGAATATGCACAGGTCCAAGTCGAGCACTTGCTGGTTGGTGATGCAGGCGATCGCACGGGTAAGCTGCGGAAGACTCCATTCACCCGTTTCGACTCGACGCTGTCGCGCTTTTCGAGCTGAGAATCGACCGATCACCCCTTCTACCATTTTGTCTAGTTGATTATGGCTTCGTGCAGACTGCTCGAGCTGTTTCCATCCTGGCACTGCCAATAATCGCTTCAAAGTTGCCATTTGCTTGTTGATATCCGTAGCTTCGAGCCAGCCGGTGATCAGCGAGGTAAGATTTATTTCCGCTATCAGCGGCCCATCAAGGGCGGAGAGAATGCGCTTCACGTGGAAGGTTTCACCAAAAGTATCGGCCCTGTCTTTGTCGTACGCCGCCAGGAGATCGTCTCTCAACAGATGGACCTGCTGCATCACTTGGTCGGTTCCGTCCTCGGTACCACTGGTGGCCTTCATTGCTTCGGTAAGCATGGTACAAAAGGCTTGCCAAGGCAGCTCACACTGCAGCACGGTTTGAAGTTGCCTCAAAATCTCAGCATTTGGAGTAACCTTGCACGTCTCTACCAACCTTTGCAGGTCGAGAGAAAGGCTTCCGAGATGGCCTGCTTGCACGGCATTATGATATGCTTCCTTGAAAATGGGTTGGATAGTCAAGAATGACTGAGGAGCTTGCTCGAGGGCTTGACTCAAGATCCCGCGACAGAGACCCTCGAGGGACTTCTGGATCGCGGTACCACGATGGTGGAAGAAGAAGGTCGCTCGGATCGAGTTGGAACTGCGGCGCCATCCACGTAAGTATTCCCACGTGAGAGGGTGTTGGTACAAATACTTCATGAACGTAGACTTTCCAGACGCCGGCTTCCCGGATATCCAAAACAGCCTCTCGTCGTTCTGCAGCCAGCTGGTCAAGCCAGCCGAGGACTCCTCAAAAGCCCACAGGAAGGAGTGACCAGCTGCAGTGTCAATTTGCTCCAATCGGCTATCTCGTTCGGGGGCACGTATTGCCTGTCTGATGGCTGCCAGTATCTCAGGCTGATCAGTAACGATGCCATGGTAGGAACAGCAGCAGTTATTTGCGTGTACCTACATTGAACATCCCAGAACTCCGGATCGGCAGCAGGGTCGGTATGGTCCACCAGGATCTGAGCTGACTGGTTGATGTCCTTATGAAAGACTGTTGTTCTCTCAGTGGCCGGTCCGCTCTCTCGTTCAAACGCTTCGACGTCGTCTTTGACCATGTCACGAAGTTTGTACGCAATTCGATCAACAAGCTCATTCCCCCGGGAGAATTTGACCATGTCGGAGTGATTGGCGTTGATTTGTATAGTCGAGGCTGAGTCAAAGTCACAGCGCTGGCTTGTTGCAGAGGACGGAGGCACAAAGATAGTTCCGGGGCCACATCTCTTGTATTTTCCGTTGACAATCTAATAGCAGACAATGTCAGTGCTCAGACCTTCGCCTCAGCTGTCTCCATACGGGGCGAAACGTACTGTTACCGTGGGTGTCGTCTCCGTCTCGTACGCCCAAAGCAGCCTCATGTTCTTGAGATTGCTGATCCCGGAGAACTGCTCCTCGAGCGTCTTCACGAACGGAGTTTCGGTCGAGATCTCCTTGACAAGTGCATCCTTGTTGGGTTGGCCTTGCAGCATAATCTGGAGGTCCGAGACGTCCAGGCCCTGACTCGGAACCCCAAAGAAAATGGCACCCCTGATGCGGTTGAGGATCAATTCATCCATCACGCTGCTGTCGGCCAACATGCGCATCGCCTGCTTAAGAACGATGCCGCCCAGGCTGTGGGCAAAGAAGATGAGCTTCCTGGGGCCAGGCGCAGCCCATCCACCTTGCTGTAGAGTGTGGATGAAGGACAGCGCAATATCTGACACGGTTTGAAACGACTTGCTTCCGGCCAGCCTGGTATCGTAGCCGTAGAGGATGAACTTGACATTGGGGACGAGATGTGGAAGCGCGTCTCGTATCCACATGAAGGACTTGTCCTTGCCGTGTGGCTGCCAAGATCCCATGGGATGACTTGCGAGACCTGACATGACGATGCAGCTGTTACATGGATGTTTGGCTCTGTGTTAGTCGGACATGTCATTGCAATAGGCGATAGTGTCTTGATAGAATCAACATACTCGTGATGATGCTCATGCTCCGGCAGATCATTCAACGGGGACAGCCCGATAAACGCATCGTCCAGAAGCAGCGGCTTCGCCAGCGCAGGATCCGGCAGCACCCATTCACCCGCCTCGGGCTCTCTGGTGACGACTTCCGGCAGCTTCCTGAACGACAGTGTCGCCGTTTTGGTGCGCGGGCTCGCCCAGACCTCGCAGCAGAGGGCCAGCGACGCGACTTGGACGTCTCGCTGGTCGCCGCCGGGGATGAACCTGCTGACGACAAGGGCCACGCCGAGGCGGTCCAGGTGAGAGGGGATTCCTCGCAGGCGGTAGACTTTGCCCTCTGCAGCCGTCATCTCATCTTCGCTAGAATTGTCGTCCTCTTGCTGTGAATTAAGAATTGAGGCACGTTGGGTTCGGTTGGCAATGCCAACCTCGCGGGTTTTAGCCGCAGTCCATTTTTGCCTTCTTTTCTCCTCCCCCCCTGCTGTGTCTGCCTGCCTGACTTGTCGTGTATTTGTTTATTCAGGCGCCAATCGCTTTTCCAGGTTGCTGCGTCGAGCAGCCTGATGGATGGCAGTTTTGAGCCAGTTGCAGCGCGTCCTGGTTGTGTGTGCAGGGCTTATCATGCAGCCACTTCGCACAGCCCCTGTCCCTCGTGAATGCACTCGACGCGGCTGAGTGCTATGTTAGTTGGCTACCTAGGGAAGCACAGGTTTGAGCTCTCCTGCGAAAGCTTGCGAGAACGATTCGAATGCGTATCGTGGGATTCGAGTTGATGTGTGTGCAAAGGGAGAGGAGCAACGTCCCAATGATGACGAAACGGAGAGTCGTACCAGCGTGAGTACAATGCAGCTTCCTGTTCCTGCTCCTCCCTGTATTATGCTTTGTGAGTGCGAAGGAAGGAGCTATGGAGGTATATGGGTAGAGCAGGGCATCTTTGCTTGCCTCTATGACCGCCTCCTTGAGCAGGCATCCGACTTGTCACTTCAACTCTCGCTAAATCATTCAATTCGTTGTTCCAATCCGTTCAATTCGACTCAACACCAGTCCCTCTCCAATACAAAGTACAACCCAGCTACTCCGGAATTCTACAAAAGCATCGCTAGAAGATTCAAGCACAACCATTTGCAAAAAGAGACCACAGTTATTTACTGATACGCCAGCTGAATTGCAATAGTATCCGATATGCCATACCTACTACAGACACGCTCCCCTCCTCTGAATATGTATCTTTCTTGGCTGGGAGCACATCATAACAGGTGCCTAGGTGAAATACAAAGATTGTGCCAAAAGAAATCCCTCCTTTTTTTTCAGTGTTTAATTTCCTCGTTGAAGTACTAAGAAGAAAAATGCATGTATCTGTTTGCAATCTTTCGCGTGATGGGGTCTCGTCTGCATAACAAGCAGCTGCGTTTTGGTGGGAAAGGAAAATTGACAGCAAAGAAACAGTTGTTTTAGAGAGAGGAGGGACTGCAGTCTAAGAGCGACGGGTTCTTCCAAGCTCAAGGTTCTGCAGAAACCAGTGGAAACGCTCGGTGTGCCAGTGACAATTCCATTATATGAAAGGAGTCATCTATGACAACCTGGATAGTCTGTGAGCATTAACAGGATAACTATAGGGGGAAAAAAACAGCAAAGACAAAAAGAAGAATCGTTCAGAGTCATAAGGAGGTCTTCCGTTGAATGTATGGTCGTCACGTTTGCGAGAGAGAAGGTGTTGTGGGAGCGAGTGAGTCAGAGGTGGGAAAGGATATTCACCCCTTCTTTTTTTGAGAGTTGAATAGAGTCAAAAGACGTTGATTAAGTATGCAAAGTCGAATGAACAGGAAACTTTATGCTCGAGAGCGCGTAGATGCCAGGGGAGTACTCATGGCAGATTGTCCGCTAGATTGGACATGATTGTGGTTGTGACTGTGGTTGTGACTGCGCGATCTCTTGGTCGTGTGAGGAAGCGTCCCGACGTCGTGTTTGCCTGTGAAAAATTGTCAGCTCTATATACATTAATCAACTATTGCCTCGCTTGAAAGGCCTTACCATCGCAACATGCTCTGACGTTCTCGAGCCGGTCCGCTTCCATATCTTGACGCTCAATCATCTCACGAAGGTCCTCCGCACTATCATGCACCTCGCTGGCCTGGTAGATGCTGACATTTTGGGCGCTGGCCGTCCTGCTGCGGATCGTTCCCGATAGCTTGGATCCGCCCACCTTCCAGTACGAGCCTACCCGGCTGCTAATGCTGCCTGAAATGGAAGGCTTGATGGGTGTCGAGGCATGCTTCCCTGACGGTGTCAGCGTGGGGATTTCGAACGAAATTGCCTCGGCCAGCGATCCGTCCCGAGTGGTGCGGGAGTTGTATGATGACAGGGACGGAGCCGAGGGCTTTGAGGTGCCGTTGGCCGCCCGTCGGCCGAACTGAGGGTTAAACTCCTCGGCATCGTCCCGGGCGAGGTCGGCCGCCATCTCTTCCGCGTCGGAATGCCCATCGTGACCATTGCTGGTTCTCAGCAAGAGATACGACAGGGCGTTGAACCACGTCTCGTGTCTCTGGCCGGTGGTGCAGGTAAACTTGATCGTCCTGCCGGGCGAGATAATCACCAAGCTCTTGCGGTGGAGACCTGGCGGCATGGGGTTGTCGTCTGTTACCACTCGGACACCGTCAATCGGGAGACTCTTCGCCTTCATCTCGGTACGACCGGCCGTTGACGGATCCCTCTCACTCCAGTAGATGGTCCTCGTGTAAGGGTGAACCCAGAAGTAGCGGCGATGCCGCTTCTCCGACAACTCGCCCCGGCCAGCCTTGCGTGTGTACTTCCAGTTGTATTCTCCAATCATGGTCTGCGTGATGGCCTGGATCATCCTGGGGTCGGTGTTGGCACCGAAGCCGCTAGGGTCGATGCCCATCTCGCTGGCCCGCATTCCGAACCGGTTGTCCAGTTCCGACGCGAACGAGGACACGGAAGATTGTCGAGACATGGCGGCGGAGATGCGGACCGGCGGCGGCAGCGGGAACTCGGCAGTGCCGTGAGACGAGCCTGCGCGGGGAGGAGCGCGAGGAGTAGGAGTGCCGCGACCAGAAGCAGGCGACATCGGCCTGGTAGAATTGGGGGTTCGCGGCGTTGGCTTTGTCGCCGAGGCGGGCCACAGAGGCGGGCCCATCGAAGTAGTGCCTTGGCTGCCATGGGATGAGCCAGCACGAGCTGCTTGGATCATCTGTTGATGATTCGATGGCAGAGGGGGCGCGCCCACGAGAGAGGACTTGGCACTGGTAGCACTGCCAGGTCGGTGCGTCGGCGTAGACTCGATAACAGCCGCTGGGTCGAGCGTCTTGCTCTTGCCAGAGACGGCTGAGACGGGGCTATCGTAGTTTTCGTGAGACGCACGGTTGATCTTGACGGTCCCCACGGTGTCAAAACTGCCAACGGGGCTGGCGGAGTGGTTCTTTGCAGGAGTTTCAGCTCCAACCTTGAGCAGCTCGTCGATGGCTCCTGATGTCAACGAAGTCTGGGCGCCTTGGTCGCTGGTCTCAGTGAGCCGCTGAGCGGGACGAGAGCCCGCATTGGCCGATATCTCCCTGAATGGCTGTTGAGACTCGGGAACATCGACCTTCGGTGACACGGGCCGTGACTGACTAGTCTCGTCCTCGGCAATGATGGGTGATGAGGGGACGCTCTCGGGTCTTCTGCGGGTGACATACGACGCGAAGAGGTTCTTGTCCGATATCTCGTCACCATCATCAACGAAGGGAGATTTGATGTCTTTGGGGAGAATGAATCCCCCTCTCTTCGTCGGGCTGCTGGGCTGCGTGTCCACGGATGAGATGGGAGAAAAGGCGAACTGCGGAGCGAGAGGGAAGACGGGTTCGACATCCTCTGCTACGATTGAGGAGAGGCCAAGCACGGGGACCTGAGGCTCCTTGGGCTGCGCCTCGGGTTGCAGCTCGGGTTGAGGTGGCAGCAGCAGCTCCTCGTCATCGATGGGCAGCTCGTCGAATGGAATGGTGTTTTGGAAGGAGAGGGAGGAGAGCGTCAGCGGCGCGGAAGCGGGCTCGGGCTCGGTCTCAACGACGGGCTCGACCTTCTCCACTGCAATGGTAGAGAGGGTCAGCGTTGGCAGCCAGAGCTCTCTGGGCTCCAGCTGCTGCGCCTGGATCGACGAGAAGCTGAGAGGTGCCGGTGGGGGCGCCATGATGACCCGCACGGGCTCGGGGGCGGGCTCAGCGACGGGCTCGACTTGTTCAGCCACGATTGGCGAGATGCTAAACTCCTGCAAGACGGCAGCCGGAGCTTCTGGAGCGATCGCCTTGACAGTGGTCGGCTCAGGCACCTCCAGTTCCTCGGCGACGGGCTCGATCTCCTCAGACAAGATGGAGGCCAGCGTAAGCTCGGGTGCAGGAACTTCGGGTTCCGCCTTGGGCTCCAAGCCCTCTGCAACGATGCCGGAGAAGCTCAGCAGAGGCGCAGGCACTTCTGGCTCTGCTACCGGCTCCGAGCCTTCGGTAGCAATGGCAGACAGAGAGAGGACAGGTAGGGGAATTTCAGGCTCGGCCACTGGCTCCAGGCCTTCGCCTACGATTGTCGATAGTGAGAGCACTGGAGGGGGGACTTCAGGCTCAACTACTGGCTCCAGGCCCTCGCTTATGATCGTCGACAGCGTCAACTCAGCCGGAGGCACCTCTGGTTCCGCCTGGGGCTCCAGTGCATGAGCAAAGATGCTGGACAGGGTGAGATCCGGAGGTGGCACATCAGGCTCAGCTTCGGGTTCCAATTGCTCGGCCACGATAACAGACAACCTCAGGTCGGGGGCGGGGATCTCAGGCTCGGCTAAAGGCTCCACAGTCTCAATCGCGATTGGTGTCAAGCTGAGGGTGGGAGGTACAGGGGCCGGTGCCGGCTCTTGGTGTTGCTCCTCCTCGAGGGGCTCAATGTGCTCGGATTGGATGGCGGAGAGATTGAGTTCTGCAGGGGGCGCAGGCGCAGCGGCAGGGACAGAGATAGACATCAAGTCCGGTTCACTGGGTGACCGCGACGAGGGCGGCACAGGGAACTGGGCAAGCTTCTCGCCAATGTCGTACTGCGCACCGGCATCGCTGTAGGCGACTGTAGACGCGGGGCGCGAGTACGTAGCAGAGCCCGCGGGGCCGTCTTCGGCGCTCCGCCATGATGCTGTGGACGCGCGGAAGTCAGTGTTGGGGATGACCGACTCCATGGACCTCGGTCGCCTGGCCGCCTCGCCAACGCTGAGCAGCGAGCCGCGAGACGGGCGGTGGCCCAGGGGTTCGATGTTCGCAGCAAACTCAACGGGATCGGTCATGACACCGCTGTCAACCATGATGACTCGGGGCAGCCGGGGAACGGCTGGAGGTGGTGTAACGGCGCGGCGCGTAGAGGCCGGCGTCATGGAGCGAAGACTTCTGCGGCTAGGAGTGTAGACGATGGATTCGTCGTCGCTGCCAAAGTCCTGCAGCTCGGCAAAGAGACTCTGGCCGGGCGTTGCCGGGTCACCACCACCGCTACTGAAGCTTGCGCCGGGGCTCTGGAACTGAGGCTCCTCGCTCTCCTGTCGAGAGCTTCTACGAGACTGTGAGAACCGGTTGTTCATGCGCATTCTCCGTAAGGAGGCGGCGGCGGTGGGTGTCCGATACTCCTCGTACTCGGGGAACTCGTCATCTTCGGTGGACGTGGAGGCGGTGCTGTCGAAGGACTCCCGCTGGACATGTCTCGAGAGGCCAGGCTGTAGGCTGGGAGGTCTCATGCTGCCGAAGCCGCGTACGGAGAGTGCAACCTCAGTAGGGGCGTCACTTTCGTCGGACATCTCCTCGTGTCCCGTCTGGAAATCCTCCGTCTCGGTAGAGGGCTCGTTGGCAGTCTCAAAGGCAGAATCGCCGCCAACTTCTTCAGCCGCACTTTCAAACTGATCACTGGTCTCGATAGATTCAAGCACAAGCTCTTCTCCATCGTCAGCCGGCTGCTGCCCTCGTTGTTGTGATTGTCGGAGATGCTGCTGCTGCTGCAGATGGCGTCTCTCAGGAGAGCGGCCACCAATGCGAAGACCAGAAGATCGTGGTGAGACGTCTTGAGTATCTTCCCACTCTGGATCTTCCGTGACGACAGGTTCTTCGATGACGACCTCTTGGCGGCTGGAACGGAAGCTGCCAAGGAGCCGGGGCTGCCTGACCTTGACTTCCTTGGGTTCGACCCTGCGGCCACGGCGGACGGGAGGCAGGGCAGGGCCCTTTTCGAGCTCGTTCCTCGCCTTTTCCAAATCGTCGCGAAGGTCCTGGATGATGCGTCTGAACTCAAGCTTCTCGGTCTTTTCACGGTGCAGCTGGCTTCGCTGGCTCTGAATGGTTCGCTGGGCATGCTGCAGGGAGGTCTTGAGCGTTTCGGTCTCGAGCATGGAGTGTCTGGGGGTTGTTCCCTTCATCGGTGATTGCGGCGGCGAATGCTCGGGCGTAATGTCAATGGCGGAAGCCTCCAGATCCTCGTCACTAGTGCCGGAAGAAGACTCCCGCTCCTGAGCCTTGGCCCTCTGGGCAGCGATGGCCTTGGCGAGCTCCAGGTTCTGGCTGCTCAGCTCGTCAATCTTGCGCTGCATCGCGGAGCGCTCGCCGTCGGCCATAGCGATGGCGCGCTTGGCAGTGCCGAGCTCAATGTCGTAGTGCCTAGTGGCGGAGGCGTGCTCCTCGGTCAGCTTAGAGAGCGACAGCTTGACCTCGTCCAGCTCCTTCTGGGTGGCAGCCTTGGCGGCATTGGAGGCGTGAAGGGCATTGTCGAGTTTCTTCTCGCGGTCGAACGCCTCCTTAAGCTGGCCATTCATCTCCTGCAGCCGAGTCTGAAGGTTCCAGTTCTCTTCCTTGAAGCGATGTTCACTCTCGTCAAGAACCCTTAGACGCTGCTGCAGGGCCTCCGAGTCGCCCTCGAGCCGGGCGACATCGTTGCGGAGGTCTTTGACCTGTTCATCTCGCTCGCCGAGCAGGGTCTGCAGATTGCGGACCTGGGCGATGAGGGATGTGCTGATTTCGGCGGCGAACTCGATGTCCTGGACCCTGTTGGACGGCTGGTTGCGCAGCTTCCGGTTGGGCGCGCTGTGCTTGGTGGGTGAGCCCGTAGATTGATTCTCGAGTTTTGAGGGACTTGCGGATCGCTATATGGCACCATAATTAACGAGAGCTCTGAGAAAGCAATTCAAGCATGAAGGAACTGGGATACAGGGAAGAATTCTGAGGTGCGACGAGAACTCATGTGCGGCGCATAGACGTGCGACGATGACTTATTGCATGTGCAGCCGTTTGGTTCAATAAGGAGTGGTAAAGGGAGGCAAAAAGGAGGGGAAACTGCTCACCCTGCCTGATCGGCTGTCCAGCATAAAGGGCGAGCCTTGGTTGTCGGTGCTGCTCGCAACTCTCTGCTTGGGCAAGAAGACCCTCGCGGACTCTCGAGCCAAGTCATTGTACTCCTTTTCGATGCTGACCAGCTTCTTACGCAGCTCGGGCGCCAGCTCCTCCTCGGCCTGGAGCTTTTCGATTTCCTGCAGCTGCTCGGCGAGGGCCTTGCGCTGAGACACGAGGGCCGTTCCAATCTTGCCGGCCTCGTCCAAGCGACGGTCTGTCTCTGCCAGATGGGCTTCCAAGGCGCGCTTCGCCTGTCGCGGGTCGGAACCGGGGCCGGCAGCGAAGAGCTCCTGGTCGAAGTCGGAGAATCGCAGGTGGGACGGGGCGGTCGCGGAGGCGGAGAAGAAGGGATCGTTGGCGGCGTCTCCCCCAGGCGCAGAGAGATCGGGCCGGTCCGAGGTGACTGACGACGACGCCATTCTGATGAAGGCGAGTCCGCCAGAAAGCGCAGCGTCGGTCGGTGGCTAGCGGCGAACCATCAATGGGGAGCGTTCCGGTGCTTCAATCCCCTGGCAGGTTCGGGAGGCGACAGCTCGAGGGCGTGCCGCAGCTGCACCGGCGGTGGTTTGGTTGCGTGTCTGCTGTCGCTGTCGCTGTCGTCGGGTTTTGCGCCGGGACTGGTGACGGCGAGGGATGCGGAGAATCGAGAGGGGTTGAGCCCGTTTGGTTGTGATTGTTGGTGGTGACGAAAGCCTCGGAGCAGAGACGCAGAATTGGATGAGTGAGCTGGCGTCTGGCACGGCGCAGCCCCTTGCGTTGCTGAGGTGCAGCGGCAGAAGGAAAAACAGCAGGGGGCCCGGGCAGGCCAGTAATTGGATTGGTGAGTGGTCCCGGACGGGGGAAATGGATACAGGTCCAGGTACGAAGGAAGAAAAAAATATAGGAAAAATAGGCGTCGTCGCAGGCCCTGCTGCAGCGAGCCGGGGTGGTCGAGGTAAGCGGAAAAGGTCGAGGTGGTTGATTGGAGTAAAGGACCGAGGACGGCTCTCCGTACCTGTAGGACCAAGAGCTTCTGAAATGACGCTGTGGATGCGCTGCGCACAGGCGGGACAGAAGCCCAGAGCGTAGGCGAAATTGGGCGGGAAATTTGGAAGACCCAAAAAGAAGCCGAAGAGAAGGAAACAGAATAGGCAAGGAAAAATAGGGATCCAGGCGAGAAGCGAAGGCTATAGTAGGGGGGTAATGGACAACAAAGAAGCGGAAAATAAAAAGAAACAAAATAGAAGAAAAGCGCCGGTTGAGGCTGCGGGCTATTCCCGTCGTCGTGCTGCTGTTGCGGAGGTGGCCAGGCAAATACGAGTACAAGTACGAGTAAATGCCTACTGGTACCTTAGCCGGGACGGACACCTAGGTAAGCAAGGCCGCAGGAGCAGGCAAGAGGACAGCGAATTGGGGGCGCAGATTGGCGACGTTTTGTTGTTGTTGTTTGTTTTTGGCCTTGTTTTTCCGTTGTCCAGGCCGGGTCAGACGTGGCTCGAGCCGTGTGGGCGGACAGGTCTCAACTCTGGCTCCAGTCAATCGACGCAGCGCAACGCAGCGGCTCTTTGTCAGTACAGTCGAGGTGAGTCAACGCCAGGCCAGACGCAATGGAATGGAGCTTGACGCGCAACTGTCGCTGTTGCCGGAGATCAGCTTAGCCACTGCAGGTCGGTCGGCGCACTGTATGTACAGAGTACGATCAGTGTGCGGCGTCTTTTCTGTTTCTTCAGCAGCGCGCGGCTCGGGTTGCTAATAATGCGCGCAACGTCGAGTCGAAGGCGGCCAAAGAGGAGTAAAGAAGACAACAAGGCGCGCAATCCAACGATTCAACAAGCCAACAATCCAATTCAAGGCTAAGTTGGCAGCTTGCTCTGGTCGACTGTTCTTTTTTGGCGATTATTTTTTTGTTGCTTTTTTGGTTTTCGTTCCTTCGGTATCTTGCGATGAATGAGCGGATAGGGTGAATCGGACGCGTAGGGTTGCTGCGAATCCTCCCCTCAAAAAACACGAGGCGTTCTATTATTATTCTAGCGGTAGGTTCTTGGTGATGTAATGAGCGAATCGAGTCGGGAGCGGACAAAAACGAAATTGAAGAAGAAAGAAAAGAAAACAGCTATGAGAAAAAATCAGAGATCCAGCCGCGCGGAGGACAAGGACTTGCCAGGACTCGGACTTTCGTGGTGAGGGTTAGGGGAGGGGAAGAAGAAAAGAAGAAGGGTTGGAGGGTAAGAAGAACAAGAGGAGGAGGAGGAGGAAACGAGAGAGTATCAGATGCCGCGAAAATGGAGGAGAAACGAGAACGCTGCTGCGACTGCGTACGGCTAGGACCACTTCGGGAGTGGCTAAGGCACAAGATGCAGAAGGGGGGGCCTTGCCATTTGGTGGAGAAGCTGACCAGGGACAGGATGCGTGTTACTCGCGGGCGTCGGTACTGCTAATGTGGCAGACAAGTAAAGGTAAAGTACGGACCGAAGTTGGGCGTCAGGTGTCGAGGTTGTTTGTGTCGAGTTGAGGTGGCTGATATCAGATGGACAGACGTTGAGTTAGCAAGTGCTCGATATAGTCGCCGCTTATCGTCGATTTCCCTCTTTCCTGAGGCATCTCGAGATGGGGGAGGGGAACCAGTGTCTGCTGTGCTCTGCTGTGCCTGGCGCAAGTCGCTGCTACAACGGGCGCAATAACGGCCACGGCAGCAGCACTACAAAATACATTGGATGGCATCACTCACAGTTGAGCATCAATTCAACTCCAATACATACTCTAATACCATCTGCAGGGACAGACTATTACACTTGTTTGTTTGCTTGTTTGTTCCGTTGCTAATTCTGTCTTGCTCATCAGCCGGCACATGGGTGGTGCATGAATCAATGCTGCGAGCATGCCAGCTGCAAAATTGGGCCTCATCTTCCCGATCTCTCGTCGGTCATGCATCCGAGAAATGCTCATGTCATCCGCAAAACCACGAGCGAAAGAGAGACGGGAATTGGTCGCGCCAACGCCAGAGCGTCATCCAGTAACAGGAGCTTGTAGCTGATACTTGGGAAACGCACAGGGCAAAACACCCGACACTCACACACTCACGCCCTCACTCAATCTTACACGCAAACTCTCTCGCCCTCTCATCACCCTCAATGAAGCAGCGATTGATCAGATGCTCTCCCAAAAGCGGCCCAGTGCGTGTTTCAGCATCTGCATCCCCTCTCATTTGTGCCCCGATCCTAAATTGCTGCAGCAGCATCATCGCGATGTTCATCTCCGATACCATCGCGAAAGGCTACACTACAAGCATGTACACGTACATGCACTCCAGAGCACGTCAACCGAGCCAAGCCTTGCTGTTGCGTGCTTCGTACCTGCATCACACGAGGTCGAGATGCCGCATCACTCACATATCAAAGCCTTGTCCCGTATCAACTGCAGCAGGGACTGAGGCACGAGATGCGTGCATGTTCCGAGTCAAGGACACCAGTCAGTTGTACTTGTACCTGGACACCGCTCCGACAATTGCTCCGTGTTCCGGGTCTGCATCTCTCTTCTCTTCTCTGCTTTATCTCCCTCTCCTCGTCTCTTCATGATTGTCCATCACCACCATCACACCGGATTCCCCATTGAGCTCTCATCATCTCTCACGACAACCCTTTTCAAACAAAACACTCCCGAGTTGCCTCGGACTAACGAACCGCTAGCAGGCCTCTTCCCCGCCAGCTAATCACGCATGGAATGCCTCCCATGCAACCACGGTCGATTGGGCCGGTTCCTGGCTCCTGATCCTCTTTGTTTCCCTCTCCGAGCCGCTCGTCTTATTCGCTCACGGCCTTTGCTGCTATTCCCGACCGAGGTTGGCATCGCCCACCCGGCCCAGCAATCCTGGCCCGGCGTGTCAAACTGAGTGTCGGGCGCCAAAGAGAGCTTCGGAGGGACGAAACACTGGCGCTACGGGCATATTGGTTTATTAGACGGATCGTTGCCCTAGGCTCTTTGCTCTCTAGCAGCGTCTCGTCCCGTCTTCCGGGCGACTTCTAGAAACTTGCATCCTTCTTCCCCTACACAAGGCATCGAGGAGTCACATACCATACAACGGCTTCGAGATCACCATCACCATCACCATCACTATCAGCATACTCGAGTGTGTTTGCTGCAGCCTCAACTGAGCGTCTCCAGTCAATTCCCAGCCTCCGCCCCCAGCTTCGGCCGCGTCCATGCGCCAGTTCCCCTGCATTAGCCGCTCACTGCTGGCATGTGCTGCTCCAGGCGGCGCACACCGCCAAATTGTCAGCTGCTTCTCGTGTGCTGTACTGTCGATCGGTGGCCTGGCCCGAATGCTGAGGCACCACGTACTCGTACAAGTACGATACGCACTTTCTGACATCATGGCCATGGCATGGTCAGCCCCGGCGGTCATCCGTTTCATGGGCGTCCAGCCTGAACGCTGAACTCGTGCCTGAGCTTATTTGCATCAAGACGAGCTTGCAGGACAATATGCCCACAATACCTTATTCCTTTGGTACAACATTACATGGCACTTCAGCAAATAGCATAATATCGATACATACCAAGGTCAGTGCCGCATCACAGGCTAGGTGTGTATATCCCACGCCATGGACACGTCCCAGTCAAGCACACAAACATGGTGCAGCATCTACTCCGTAGCGGCTCTACTCATGCAGGTCAAGATGACAGCGGAGCATTCATCTCAGATTGACTCTGGGAGATTGGGCCATCACATTTGACGAGGCCGGAAGCCGGGCCACGAGATGACATGGCGTCCTCTTTCCATGCCACTTTCGTCTAGCTTCCAAAGATGGTAGCGCCACCTGAGCGGACGATTACCCGTGATGGCATCGAGATCCAGTAGCTGCTTCGTACTCTCATCCAGTCATGGTAGTACTACCTTACTGCACCCTTGCACTACAGGTCTGTAGAGTATCTGCTGCTTGATCAATACATCAACATCGGCAAAGCCTTGATCGCATTTGATAATACTCGCCCAAGCTCTGAGCCGCCAATGGCCGATCGTGATCGGATCGTCGGCGGCCATTTCGACTAATTCACCATGTCTGCCCTACCCGAGAGCCCGACATTGTTTGCATGGAAAATGTGCCATCCACGTGCAACTCTTCTATCTGATGTCCATTAGATTTTCGAGCAAAGATATCATGGATATCCGAGGAGAACATTGCGGGTTTGCTGAATCTATTTTGCTTGATGAATGTGTCGATGAATCTCGTGCATTGAATCTATCCTTTATGAATATCAGCGTACCTGCGCATGGCGTCGACCGCACGAGAACAATGCACCTCTCACATTCCCCCCTCCCCTATGCACAGCCAGCTGAGCAGCAATCCCAGCTACTTCTCACAGGTAGTAAATCATATGCACGTCTCAAAACTATCGATTCTGCTCTATTCGCCGGAAACGATCGCGGCCCAACACCCACTCGTTCCCATTGGCCCAAGCTAAAAACTGCCCCTGGAGCAAGCGTCAGCCGAAGGGAGATGGACAAGAGACGGGTTTGGCGGGCAAGACACGTTCCCCACCAGGGGCGTCCCTTTGGCCAAATCATCTTGCATGTCATGAGACATCCAGCTGCGCCTGGAGATGAATGGCCAGGGGAAGAAACCTGATTTCTCAAGGCAACAATGGGGGAGGGAGGGAGGAGAGAGACAGTGGGCGCCGCAGACCTGGTAGAGCTCGACCATTGCAGCTGAGATGTCGCGTCCAGATCTCGGCCATCTGTGAGGATGTACTTTGCAGTCTGCCTTATTCTAGACAGCGTAGAGCCTTACCGGCTATTTTGATTAGTGAAGCGTCTCATCTTCATCACAGTGATCCGACAAGTTTGGTTGAGGCAATTCTGTCAGAAAGTACACCTGTCCAGTCGACTTACACGACGTCCGTTGACCGTTGTCAACCTCTCATAACCGCCATCAATGATCTGTGCATGAAATGAATCCTCTCATAGCCCTCCCATCATGGCCACGTTACTTTGGCGTATTCCTGCCTAGTAAAACTATCCAAGACACCACGGCCCTGTCATCGAGCCTCCCTACCTATCCCTTTCACTGTGCAGCCTGAACGAGATTGCGATGTGCCCTCTCCCTACATACACACGGCTGAGCAGGTCCAGAAACCGGTAAAAGATGATGGACCAAAGCGATGGAAGGGATGGTGAAAACAGTCTGCGAGAGTTGAAGGATGAGGAGGAAAGAGGTATAAAGTCGACCTTGATTCCCGCCTTCAGAACCTCTTCTCATCCTCATCAGCATCCTCTTCTACAAACAATCATCACATTCGCTCTACTTCTCTCCCAACAAACTCTTTCGTTGAATACCAACCACCACCACCAACCTTCAAGATGCAGTTCTTCGCCGTCGCTCTCTTCGCCACCAGCGCCCTCGCCGCTGTCTGCCCTGAAGGCGTGTTCTCTAACCCGCTCTGCTGTTCTTCCGTTCTCCTCGAAGCTGTAGGCCTTGACTGCTCGACGCGTAAGTTTTTCTCCATTTCTCGCCTCTCGACATGGTAAGAACCAAGTTGAACTGAAACAATTGCTTGATAGCTACTGCCCCCGTCGACACCGGCATTCTCTTCCAGGCCCACTGTGCCACCAAAGGCGCCGAGCCCGCCTGCTGCGCTGTCCCCGTTGTAAGTTTTGCGCGATCTATGGTCTAGACAATATGCAGAGAGAGTGGAAATGCTAACTTCTCTATAACAAGGCCGGCCAGGCTGTTCTGTGCCAGAAGCCCGTCGGCACCCTGTAGAGCAGCCGCTCTGTTCTCGGACATTCGTCTCGAATCCCGTCCGTGGCTTCTTGGGACATAGTAGATAGCATGTATGGTATAAGGGGCTCGCAAATGGGATGGTAGAGAGGGATTGAGGCTGGGTTCGCCCATGGGAGGAATGTGTAATGGTTGTATATTTGCGAGCAGGACATGGGCGTATGTAGAGATGGAGCTAATACATAACTGATCAGTTGGAGCTTGCTTAGCACCGATAACCGTGATGTAACTTCGGGCAACGAGACCGATGATATTGTAGTATCTTCATTACAGATAAGAGGAGTTTATACTCTCAGGCCTATTACACGATGTAGAGCTTGGATTTGGAATCTACGATTCTATTCGGTGCTTAGGGGGTGTCAATTCTGAGACCTCGTACATTGTCGGATCGGATCTGTACCTGATTTCGCCACTTGACTGCCGAATTGGTCAGCTCTTGAATGACAAACTGACCCACTTCTCCACGACCCTCTGTCAATTTCGAGGCCTGTGACGGATCTTGATTACCTTATGCCAGTCTTTCATCTACTACAAGCTAATCCAGCTGCCGACTTGCTTTTTTAATTTCAACTCAGAATCTCTGCAAACTTCCAGTCAGAACTATCTCCTTTCAGTCTGCATTTGCTTCAAACCTATTATCACTTCTTTCCAGACAGAGACCAAGAGACAAGCAATGGCAGACACCGAGGCCGGCAGCGCGCCCGTCGCCCTCTTCAAAAAGCGAGGCGCAAAGGGCAAGGCGAACCTGCGCAAACGACCGGCGACGCCTCCCCCGGCCGCAAGCGACAGCGACAGCGACTTTTCATCCTCGGAAGACGAGGCTGGGCAGAGGGTCAAGAGGCGGAAGAAGACGGCCGTCGTCACCGCCGCCGCGAGGGGAGCCGCGCCCACCAGCCGGGACGATGGCGATTCGGCCGCCTTCACGGCCAACAGAAGCGTGCCGATTGCCGATAGCAACGACGCGACCAAGCATAGCAACTGGTACGACGAGAACGCAAAGGACGCGCTCTCGGCCAAGAGCCTCCTTGGTTCGACAAGAGCATCCAAAGACGCACAACCCGACGGCACATACAAGGGCTTGGCGAACCAGACGTCGTTTATCCAGACGAACCCGGATGCTCCTCGAAAGACGGTTGGCCCCATCAAGGCACCTACAAACATCCGCACCGTCACGATAACGGATTACGCCCCCGACACGTGCAAAGAGTGAGTCGACATAGCCTTGAACCCGCCCTGAATCTGTTCATCCCGATCAAATACTGACTCATCATGGCTTTCTAGTTATCGCATTACCGGCTACTGTGGTTTCGGGGATAATTGCAAATACCTTCATGCGCGAGAAGACCTCAAGGCAGGCTGGCAGCTGGATCAAGAGTGGGAAAAGGTCACCAAGGGCAAGAAGAACCTGGGGGGAACGGTGGTAGCCAGCGCGAACCGAAACAAGACGAAAGAGGAGAACGACGACGACGACGAAGAGGCAATTCTCGAAAACATACCGTTTGCCTGCATCATCTGCAAGGAATCGTACAAGGAGCCGATTGTGACAAGATGCGGGCACTACTTTTGCTTGCCGTGCGCTCTGCAGCGGTATAAGAGGGATCCGACATGTGCAGCGTGTGGCACGGGCACGAACGGTGTGTTTAATTCGGCAACGAGACTGAAGAAGCTGCTTGAGAAGAAGAGGGAGAGGGCGGCCAAGAGGAGACGGGAAGCGATAGAGAGGGGCGAGGAAGTCAGTGATGAAGAGGAAGAGGAGCAAGAAGACTGATGTAATGGGACAAGATCATGTTGCATCAAGTATGGGATATACCTTAGACATGGCATGCTGGATACCTGGTATTTTTGCTCATGGACACAGCATAGTCGTACCATTGACATGTATTAAGTCCTACGACAAACGCCCACGAAAATACAAACAATGCTTCTGACAAATATACGACCATCACCATGCCTTGGTCATTTCTTCAGAGTCAATAGATATTCCTCTTTAAGGATTAATCTGGTATCTTTTTCAAAATAATTCATTAATATCAGCAACAAATACGGTAGTAGCACCTTCAACCTACTGTATCTGCTCTAGGTAATCCAGTACTAAGCTCCCGACACTGTATGGATGACAAACCGCGGGCCTTCACGTCATCGAGCTCCTCAAATCCCCGATGCTGTCACCGATAAGATTAGAGGTACCTTAGTACTAGGTAGCCCGCTAAACCAAGCACGGGGTCTTGCCATTCATTCATTCATCAGCCACGCCATGTGATCGCATCCCAAGCCGGAACTCAAAGCCCCTCAACCTGTGTGCATGTACAGTATTTCCCCTTTGGCTGCCTCGTTGACTTGTATACCTAGAAGTGTCACTTGGACATACACAAAGCATTTTGTTTCAACCAAAACAGATCACGGTCAAGGTTCGAGTCATCCACCGTTCCGCAGCTCTTCGAACCATTTCTCTTGACTCCGACGGTGTCACATGCCCGCTCTTTTGGCTACCTAGTACTGCCTGGCGACATAGCGGTTGACTTTCAACCACCCTCCTAGGTCGCCCGTTTGCTCGCCTCTTCCTCCGTCATCTTACAACAACTCGCTCTCCGTATCTCGAGCCGCGAACCTTTGATACACTTCGGCTTGCGTCTTCTCTAGCCTAGTTGCATCCACTTCTTCTTCGACACTTCCATCCGAAACCTCACCGAAAGTCGTCGTATCCCTTCTCAATACCTCCCAGACGACATCATCACCACCGCCACCATGAACTACCTCTACTCAACAGTCAACACCCTCCGGGACCGCTACACCCCCGTCACGCACACCTCCACCTTCCGCACCACCGGCCAAATCACCCCCGAGGAGTTCGTCGCCGCGGGCGACTACCTCGTCTACAAGTTCCCGACCTGGTCCTGGAGCGACGCCGACTCCGAGTCCCTGCGCGCCAGCTACCTGCCGCCCGGCAAGCAGTTCCTCGTCACCCGCAACGTGCCCTGCCACCGCCGCCTCAACGACGACTTCGCCGGCGACGCCGCCCACGAGGAGTCCATCATCCACGAGGGCGACGACTTCAAGGACAAGGCGGCTGCCGACTCAGCCGATGACGACGGCTGGCTGCGCACCGGCGGGCTGGCGAGCTCCCAGCCGCTCAAGGCGCGCGAGGTTAAGACCGTCGACGACTCGGGCAACGTGGGCGACGACGACTTGTACGGGCTAGACGATGACATTCCGGATATGGAGGACGAGGAGGAGGACGATGCCGTGCTTCGCATCGAGCCTGGTAACACGTGAGTATATTCGAGATTTCTCGTCTTGCTTTGTTGCTTCAAATAGCAACGACAAGACACACTCCATGGCCTGTTGCTGACCTCTATACTCATAAAATCCAGAGCTCGACGAACCTACAACCTCTACATCATGTACACGCCCTACTACCGAACGCCGCGCCTCTACCTCTCCGGCTACCAAGCCAACGGCCACCCTCTCCCTCCGATGAAGATGATGGAGGACATTGTTGGCGATTACAAGGACAAGACGGTCACGCTCGAGGAATTCCCCTTCTTCTCCAGCCGCGTCCGCATGGCCAGCGTGCACCCGTGCAAGCACGCGCCCGTCATGAAGTCGCTGTTGGACCGCGCCGACGCCGCACTGCGCCTCCGCAGGGAGAAGCTCAAGGCGAGCAAGAGGCAGTCCGCGGACGGTAAAGACGTCGAGGGCCTGGCCGAGGAGCTGGGCAACCTCGACGTCAAGGGCGCTCACGAGGCCGCCGACAAGGACGAGTGGGAGGAGGTGCAGGAGAACGAGGTGGACGACCAAGAGGTTGCCATCCGAGTAGACCAGTATTTGGTCGTCTTTCTCAAGGTGCGTATTGTCTGTTCAGCGGTTCATTTTTGCTTGTGAACATTCTTTTCCTGGTCTTCAGAGACTGATTACTGACTGATTTCGCAGTTCATGGCCAGCGTCACCCCGGGCATCGAGCACGATTTCACCATGGGAGTCTAAAGTTGCAACATGAGCAGAATAATCTCAAGAATAAGGAGGGAAGAATGGCCACAATGGACTCCCACAATGCTCTTCCACAACTGCTCCATGCTCAAGCCCACTTGATAACGCCCCACGTTTGTACTGTATTCCAATCATATCAAATCAGTTCTGTAGCTTCGCTTTTGTTTCTTGGTTTTCATGCGTCTGCGGTAGGCGTTAAGGGCATCACTGCCCAGGAGTCAAATGGCCCATTCTGTTCAGATCCAGGTGTTATTTCGTTCAATTCAGGGTAGCAAAGAATAATAGAACTGCTGGGGAACCTTTTTCATGTTTCACTGGAGAAGCCAAAAAGATAAAGACCCCTCACTCATCTGTTGAATGAATCAACTCCCTTTGTCCCTTGCTGTGCATTGTAGATCCTTCCTAGTGAAATGTGACTTGATCAGTATACAGGTTTTACATCCCGCGTCTTCTGTCTTGCTGGTTGACTCGGCTACCAGCGGACAGCCCTCTTTCTCAGACCGGACAAGACAGAAACTGGGGTGGTGTCGGCGTTAATGTGAGCAATCTCAGACGTGGCAGCAGCATTATCTCGAGGTAAGTAGTGGTACTGTGTCAAGGAGCCGCCAGTCTTGCACAATTCATGGCTTTCTAACCCGTAAATTGGAGACGCCTGTCGAGGGCTCCGTATGCTCGGGGTACCAAATAGCCCGATCAGCTCAAGCGCCCGATGCCCTTGCTGCCCACCCGCCTCTTGGCTTCAGCCCTGCAGGGGGTCATCGAGATTCACCGCGCCATTGGGCTCATTGTACTCTGTACATGCAAGGACATCGCCGAGGTGATATTAGACAGCTTTGACCAGGTAAGACATGATGGATGGCTCGATAGTAGATGGAGACTGGCATCTGTGAATCGGTCAAGGTTTGATATCGCATTTTGTACTCCATGAGGGCAGCCAAAGGTCCTTCTTCCTCTGATGGTGTATCTGCCCGAATCAATCAATACGTGGAGGGAGATGCGAGAGATGCAAGAGATGCAAGATCTCCCGCTTGGCCTGCGATCTCTGTTCATGGAAATGTGAGCGGACATCTCCCCCGGGTTCATGCAGCTAGCAGTAGCCGTGTGTCAGAGCTGGTTGATAGTCCGTGCCATTTCGTACTCATCCCGAGTTGACGCCTCGTCTTGGCCTTAGGGCAGACGACCTTCTCCGGGTGCCGTCATGGGCCGCCTCCAAGCCGTGCTTTTCCCCCAACTATGGCTCAACCAGGTGATTGGTTCGCAGGGCTACTTGCCCAAGGGAGCGCCTGAGACACCACCGGTGTTACTCGCAAAATGATATCCAAAGGACGCCATTCCCGTTGGAGTGGACGTCAGTGATGGCGCGGGTCAGATGTGACTATGCGGCTTGCGAGACACCAATCACTGATACCATGGGACAATGCTGGGAGTGGGCTTGGAGTACTTCCTGCTAACTTGCCGGTAGGATTCGCTTTTCCTTGTCACTGTCGTTTTCTCTCGAATTCTCTTCTTTTCTCTTCTTTTCTTTTTTTCTCCAAATTTCTTTTTCCTGTTTCGCCCCCTCCTTGCATGCATCTTTGTCAAGCTGGTGGCAGTTGGCCCGGGGTCACAAGTGCCCTCCCTGCATAGGTGCCCCCGGTCTAGCTCTCCAACTTGGGCATATCAATCCCGGTGGAAAAAGGATTGGTATTATTGGTAGGTAGAGGCGTATGAGCTACGGCTCTGTCAGGCTGCTTGGCTCATAGGCCGATCCTCTCTATTCATTGACGGGGTAAAACGTCAAATGAGGTACGAACGCGGGTCTCGTGAACCATCAAAATGGCTTCTATGGGGCTCCAGTACTTCGGATATGGCCAAATTACCTCGGCTACTCTTTCTGAGTACAAAAATATCTCTAGAGATGGAAATGAAGACAGGATCGCATACGAAGAAGCTGCGTGTTTTGGAACTGGCCTCGTAGTAGACATCCTTGGCGACTGAAGATAATGGCCTGGCTTGATAGTTGCCTAAGCCACTGTGGTTACCGGTTGGCGGTTGCTCAGGTCACGGCCGCATCCAGCCGGTTACTCGTGATAGCTGAGAGGAGATGGAACTTCATCCCGAGGGGGCTTCCCGTAAAGACGGTTGACCAGTGCCCTGACCATCGTATTTTCGTTTCCGTCCTGGAGACGAACCGTAATGAATCGTTGTTGCGAGAGATTCGGGTAACAAAAGCTCCAGCAGCCGAGCACGCAAGGTAGCCAAAGGGGCGTAGGATATCTTAATGATCTGAACCAAGACTGACGGCGGCGCTGACGGAGGAGCATTGGGGTCGTCGAACATGTTGAGTAGCGATGAGGGAATATTGGCCTGGTAGAGGTACATCCAGCCCATGTAGGCCTCCTCGCCTTTCACTTCGCTTTTGCCCTTGGAGTAGTATGTGGACAAGACCTGAGACTGTGTGTTTGCCTGCGTCAGTCACACGAAAGAGTGCAGTAGAATATGGGTTGAGCAACGTACAAAGACCATGCCCTTGACGGCCTCTTCGTTTGAGTCGATTTCCCGAAAATGCCTCCTCCGCTGCTGTGCGACGCCAATGAGGAGTGCGACAATGTATGGGTCATACAATGGCTCAGGCGGGCTGATTTTCCTCCACTTCTTGTTGTAGAGGCGCAAGATGGGCGGATTGTAATGCCGGGATCGATAGCCTATCGTCTCCTTTCTCAGGAGCTCAATGTGGCTGCGGTCAATGAAGCCGGCGATGGGTCGTCTATACTCAAGCGTCTCCTGATCGTCGCCCCGAAGGCAGAGACTTACACACTCCATCCTCTTGGCCACACAGCCGTTGAAGTAAAGCCTGACGGAATCACTGGTGGGAGGACAGTAGTGGTTAGCGAGTTAATGAGTGGCGAAGAAGAGGCAAGGAGAGGACGAACTAAGCAACCAGGGGGCATCCGTCCCTGGTGAGAAGCAGCCGGATTCCCTGTTCCCTGAACTGAGCCTTGTAGTAGTAGCGGAAAAAGTCTTCCAAGTGAGGCGTGCCACTGCGCTCTTCGGAATAGTCTGCTTCTGTCACCGAGTATGTGGCGACTGTTATGGGCTCGGGAAGTGGTTTGTCAAAGGAGCACTGCAGGAGCTCAAGGTGGCGGCCGGTCCATCGAAGGGGGGTCACGAGGATTTCTTCTCTGCAGTAACGGCGGGCGATTCCGTAGAGAGAGAGGGCAGCCTGATGTGAGGAGTCTGAAGCTGAGGGTGAGGCAGAGGACGAAGATACTGGAGTCGAGGTCGTGGAAGAAGAACAGGGCAGTGAAGAAAGTGACGATGTTAGTGAGAGAGAGGATGAAGAGGCCATTGAAGAGGTTCTCGTGATGTCGGCCGTGTAGGGCTGAGCAGATATTGCTTGTATACCCATGACAGGCAGCTTGAGATTACTTCGCTGAGAATGAGATTGTATCGAGTATGTGGTGTTCAGTCTTGTTCTGTAAGGTAGATGTAGTGAGAAGAAAGAGAGAGAGAGAGCGCGAGCGAGGGGATTTCGAGACGACAGGCAAACGACAAAAGATGAGAGAGGTAAAAAGAAAGAACGGAAGGCGGCAAAAACGTGACCCAACGATTCAGATGTGCCTGGAAGTTAGTCGTATTGCATTGTCTCAAGAGACAGGAAAAAGCAAAGAACAACCGACCCGAGCTGGAGAATGACATGGAGGAAAGAGGTCGGTACATGCAGGATGTACAGACCGCCTGGTCAGGTACAACCTGGTCCAGCCAGGTCCAGGTCCAGGTACCGGTACCAGCCGTCTGGGCCGCTTTGACCGTGCATCTGGTAGAGCCGATCACTCTTTATCCACTGCAACTGTAACCGTAAACTGCGCCCTGGTTAGGCAGCTTTAAGCATGGAGCCGCCCCAGCGCTACTGTAAGCCCAAGGAACGGGCTCGCTGAGATCCGGGAGTACATACATACTACAAGCAGCGGGATCGACAGCAGCAGTTCATGACATAACACCGCAATTATGCTCCGAACTTCCATGACGATGGCGTGTAATTGTGACGCAGGACCCGTCGATCCTAGAAACTGGCAAGCACAGCTGCTGTGAGCGTACCTGCCTGTACCTACATCCTGCAATACGCGTGTACTCCAACCTAATCTGCCACTGCGGGAACAACGCCGGCCCGGCCCAGCATGCATTAGCAGACGGTCAAGTGCTGATTCCTCACGATAAGGTACGAGTATGGCCTAGGAAGACAAGGGAGAGCCGTATTACAGAGGGTTCACAAAAGAAAAGAGAGAGAGGAGGGGAAAGAGAAAAAGAAAAATCGGTACGACAACACACGTCAGAAACACATGCATATTCGACGTATCACTTATGATTTTGAAGTGATAAAGGTTTATACACATCTCCCACGCTTTAGTATTACTACTAAGGTACTCGAAATGTGCAAAATGTACTCCGTAAACGAGCATCAGCCACCAATCACTGTCGCTCCTCCGCACTTCAGACTCTCGCTCTCCGCGCAGAAACATGCCTCGTCTCCCTGCTTGTCCATCTCAGACAGCTGGCCAAGAACAACAAGACACGGCTCACGAGCATCTGGTCAAGCTTGATAAGACTCTGCGGAGTAGCGGGACCCAATCTTGTCGGCCAGTCAATGAAAAGCATTCAATCAATTTGTATTGCGCGCTCTTTCCATACACTCAAGGCACTCTATCCATATGTATCTTGAACGTTGCATTGTGCAGGATCAACACAAGTTGATTCAATCACGTAGAGAGACAGGAAGATGGTATAAGCATGTTTATAAGTGCTACAAGGTACAGGATAATCCCTTCACGCCCAGCTAATGATTCTCATTGTAGCCCAAGCCCCATATCCAACCGTGTATTCAAACAATAAGGTCCAATTCATGGACATAAGCCTCAAATCAAACGCTGACCACAGAAAGCAGAGAACAAGCCATAATCACAATTCAATCCAACCCAAACCACGCTGAACGAGACACCGCTGGCCTGTGCTGCTCTGCCGCTTCCCTCGGATAGTGCTCTACATCCTCCCAAAGGGCGCCCCAAAGTTGCTCGTGGACCTGAACTTGATGGGGACTTCAGGCTCCGCGACTGTAGTCGCCTCGTCGCTGCCATCATCGTCCTCATTGGCGTGTGGTGTATTGTCACTTTCTCCATCTTTCGATTGGAGGTTTGAGAGCTTCTTGCCCTCGGGAATCGGGGGATACCACGGCTCCACCCAGCGAACAATGCGCTCGCCTTGCACAGCCGACACTGGTACTGGCATCGCAATTGGAGGCTGCACCGCCCTGGGGAGGGCATCAACTCCCTGGCTGATCGGCCCGAGTTTCTCGTTTAAAGCGGCCAGGAAACTTTCATCCTCAGCAGGATCGTTCTGAATCATCAGGGGGCCTGTAAGCGCCACGTCGCCCGAATCCTCCGCCATCTCAGTTTCACCGATGATGACCGACTTGGGCTCCGGCGGGGAAGAGGGGGCAATCGGGGTTGGGCTGCCCTGGCTGTGGCGCATAGGGGGTGACCGTGGAGGAGTGTGCCCGGCGTGCATCTTGAGTCGTTGCACCTCCTCTTTGTCCCTCTCTCCGTCTCCCTCTTCATCATCATTGCCGAACGGGTTGTCGACGATGCAGTACTCCTGGGACAAGCTTCGCTGCCTCTTGAGCGGAGGGGCACCCCCTGGGGTATTGTGCGCAAAGGTAGCTCTTCGGACAGTGTTTGCCCTGAGAGGTATTCCGTCAAGTCCCGCCTCGACCTCGTTGACATCCACGACGGAACGCCGCCGCTTGGGGCTTCTCTTGGGGCTTCTCTCGGGGATGTCCAAGCTCGAGCCTGAGACCATAATTGGTGAGGCCGGACGCCAAGAGGGCGATTTCGAACGGGGACGATACTGGCTTGGTGAGGCCGGACAGTAAGAGGGCGACTTCCGGAAAGGAATCTTTGGGGAGACCGGATGGTACGACACGGGTGAGCCCGAACGGGAACGGGGTACTGGTGTGGCCAGAGAGAACGGAGCGGGTGAGTCCGAACGAGAACGGGGTATTGGTGTGGCCGGAGAGAACGGAGCGGGTGAGGCCGAAAGGGAGCGGGGCATTGGCGAGGGCGAGTTTGCATACAGCGGCTCAGGTTGAAGAGCCATGGGTACTCTCCATCTTTTGGATGGCAATGCTATACGCCCTGGATCCTGAGGCGCCAGGATGCCCGCAGGCGGCGGACTGCGGGATGTGGCGCGTGTCGGTGCCTGGACAGGCCACGACGACCTCAAACGGCCGCCACCGGAGGCAGACCAGGAGGTCGAGCCAGTCCCAGCGGTCCATGACGCGCGAAAGCCCCGACCGCCGTGGTACCCCCTAGGTCTATCACCTTGTGGGCTGGCGGCGTGCTCAAAAGGGTTGGTGAAGGTAGGCTGAACGTCGTGGTGATGGATGGTAGGCTGAACATTGTCGTGATGGACGGCAGGCTGAACGTTGACGTGATGGATTGGCAGAACGTCGTGGTAATGGACGGTAGGCTGAACGTCGTGATGATGGACGGCAGGCTGAACGTCGTGGTGATGGACTGTAATTCCCTCAACACCACCACCACCACCACCACCACCTTGAGCTTGGTCAGAGACATCTCTGGCCTTGGACAAGGCATCCTTGAGCCTTGAATTTTCCTCTTGAAGCCTAGAATTGTCCTGTTCAAGCTTCACGTTCTCGACCCAGAGCTCGCTGTGGTCATCGCAAAGCTGCAAGTGGCCGTCCTCGAGTTCCTTGATGGTCCTACGTAGGGCGGCGATCTCGGACTGCAGTTTGCCCCTTTCCTCGTCCCACTCTTGGCGATGGTGGTCCAGTATGATCCTGCCCTCTTGTCGAACCAGGAGTTCTACCCGGCCCCGACACGCTTCGAGGCGGGCGCGTTCTTCATCCCAGGCTGCGTTAATCGAAGCCTGCTGTTGAGCCAACTGCTGCTGGAAGCACATGGCTTGCGGGCCACTGGAGCAGATGGCGCAACCGCACTTTGGGCCGTCGTGACCGGGACTCTGACGTCCGAAGATTGATGGCAATTGCCGGCGAGGCTGCCCACCAGAGGGAGGGCCATATGAGTAATGCCCAGGTGCAAAGGGACTCATCAAGCTGGGGTCCTGTGGCGGGACGCAGTGCGCGAGCGTCTTGAGCAAGATACTGTGGTGGTGTCCGGGGAAAGAGAAGTGATCCGAGTGGCCAGAGGAGTGAAACGGTGCCATTGTGGGCTCCAAGGGAGGCAGGCCGCCCGAATTCAGCAGAGACGTGCCATGCTCGATGACAGGGGCTTTGCCTTTGCCTTTGACATCGCCATTGCCATTGGCAGGGTCGGGAGCAGCGCTATACAATGTGCTGCTGCCAATGCCACTCATGGAGGTTTGATCGATTGTGTGGTGATTCTCATTGGCAGTGGAACCTAGATCGTACTGAGCGGTTCCGGAGGTAGGAGGAGCGGCCGGATAATCCCAGAGAGAAGAGTGGTTTGCCGTTCCTGACTTGAACTGCGAGGTGGAGCTCTCTCCCCTCACCTCCAATTCCCAGAGACCAGCTTGGCGGGACATGATGAACAATACGAGATGTGTAGTGATTCAGACGCTTGTTGTTTGACGTAGAAATACCAATGCGAAGCAGAGGGCGAGCTTTCAGGCAGATGGTGTGGGTTGACGTGCTGGTAGAAGCTGAGAATACGTAAGAAGCGAGCGAGATGAAGAAGAAGAAGAAGAAGAGAGAGAGGAGCAGTCGATGGGCAGAAGGGAGTGGCCGGTATTTAAGTAAAGGCAAAGAAGCGTAAACAAAGAGGAGGAAGCCCTCCGCGAGGATACTTTGAGGCTATCCAAGCCAAGCCCGTGGTGGCTTGGTATGATCGGTAAACGGCGAGCAGAGGAGCTGTCTTTATCGAAAGCTTAATCCATAAATAGAGCTGGGCGAGTCGCCTCGTTGGTCGAGGAGGGACCCAGGCTTTACCAGATGTAAGGAAACCAGACGATAGCGGCGTTGTGTTGATGCTCGCCTTGTTTTCTTTGGTCCTTGGTCGATGCTTGGATGCCGTAATGTGTTGTATATGGGATTGATGACAGGGCAGCGTAGTGGAGTATCTGGGCCCAGTGTAAGGTATGTCTGTCTGTTGTCTGTCCGTCTGTCCGTCTGTCTGTCTGTATGTGCACGTGCGTATAGGTCAATCGACGCCAGTGAGGTCTTTTCCCAACCCGTGTCCGCGGGATATCTATGGCCGTAGGCAGGCAGATGCGTGTATGGTACGATACGGATCCCAATCCTTCGATCGCCTGAACGGTGACACGGCAGTCCAAGCGTATGTGTAAGTGTGTAAAGTAGGTATGTAGCAGTCAATAGAGTTGTCGAGAGGCTGAGAGCAGCAGGGACGTGATCTGACGCAGAAGATGCAGGCCGAGATGCAGAAACAGCGCAGGTACAAAGCCGGCACCGCAGAGTACTCAAAAGACGCTGGTGAAGGACGCTGAAGGAGACGCTGAAGCACTAACACAGGGCCGATGCAACCTTGAGCCCGCCCGATTCCTGCTCGTCTTGCTGTTTGCTGCCCTGGTGTCTGGATAGACTTTTGACCGCGCGAAGGACCAAGGACGAGATGGGCAAGGTATGGCTGGACTGGAGCGGGTGGATCGGGCCAAGGAAGAGTTAAAATGAATGCTTATTTTGACGTGCTCAACAAAAAAAAAAGGGGGGGGGGATCGTGGCAGCAGAGAAAAGTGAAGCGAAGTCAAGCCCAAGTCTGAGTTGAGGTGAAGCCGAAGTGATTTGGCCAATACCGCTACCTACCTTACCTGGGTAGTCGGTGGGTGGAGCAGAAGTGACGCACACACTCAAAAAGCGGCGTGGGGATGCTGAAGCTGCCGTGACTCGACAGGGCAAGTTGTCGGTAGAACTCGATTCCCGACGCTTTTTTCATATAGCCGTGAATCAATGTCTTTGTGTGTCTGGACAGAAAAGAGCAGCGATCAGACAGAGATCCAGACAGAAAAAGCAACCTCGACGGCCGATGGCCAGCTGGGCTCGACGCTGAACAGCTGGACTGGGCGCAAGATCCGAGACACGATATCGCCACGCCCGCCCGCCTCAAAGCATCCGCCAGAGACAGAGGAGAGGGATGGAAAAGGACGAGCCGCGAAAAGGTGCAAGCTGTCACCGAAAGCGGTATAAGGCGAGGTTAGACGATGCCATTCAGAAGAGGATGGTGCAGCGCAAAGAGCGTGCGCCTTGTGATGTTGATACAGGTGATACTGCTGAGTGTTTTAGGTAGCTTGCTTTGCTTTTCGTTTGAAATTCTTTTTTGGGCGTTGTACTTGTCCATTTTTAGGCTCGAGGCCCGGGACGGACGGGCTACGCGGCCGTGGTTCGTGTTAGATCCAAACCCAGTCTTGCCGAGGCGAAGGCCAGTACCGAGCAAGGCAGTTAGCGTCAAGGTTCAAGAAGCGAAGAGAGAATTCGGCATTGAGAATGACCTTACTTTACCAAACAGGGGAAGCTCTCGAGAATGCTCTTCTCACTTTGGCTTGACAGGCGCAAAGCCTACGCGTATTGCCGTACTTCGTCCTTGCTCCGTAACGACGTAGCTGTGCCTCCTTTCACTGGGGATGGAATGATACTCAATGCGAAATCGACAGCTAGAGCCTTGACCAGCGTCATTCGGCCACAATGCCTCTGCTCCAAGTCGCCTCTCCTTTCTGAATTTTGCTGCCTTTTTCTGCCTTTCTCCCTCTGCCCTCCAATGAAGCACTCAGGGAAAAAGGGTTCAACCTCTTTCATGGTCTTGGTGCGGCCCCACATGTACCGGATCCAGGTACAAGTACTGTACTAACGGAGCTGAAGTCCCGACTCGACCGCCAACCACAGGCTTCAAGTGTTTGAGTTCGGGGTCTCTGCTATGGGCCTTTATGTTTTATGCTGGCTGTCGTAATACCAGGTCTGCTCCTTTTAAGTTAATCAAGTGTTCTTATCAAATGAACACCACTCGATGTTATTCGAACAATGGCGCGGCTCGGTTGAGTCATCAAGAGAGCATCGGTCATGTGCCCGGTGCGACTCCTGCTTCCTTCGCCATCCCCTTCTGACTCGCTGGTTGTGCGTTTATGCTGGTACCTGTATAGTAAGCATCATGGACCGCGAGACATCTGTTCGGACAATTACGTGCAGAGCGCTCGAGGCAAGACCTTGATCCACTCATCCAGGCTTTCCGTCTTTCATGTCCTTGCTGCTGAAGTGTTGTCCATCAAGTAGTTCAGCTGCTGCGGTCTATCCATCCCAGCACACGCCTCTCACTCATCTCAATCACCCACCGATATCCCTTTTGCAGCTCGAAGCAATATGGAGGTTTTTGGGCCAGGATTTGATAGGTGATGAGTGTGAGCACGTCTCGGCCATCATCACCTCCAGGCTGCCTTTGGGGGAGGCCTTTGACCACTCCAGCATCCTCTTCAATCCCTCCTCCCTAGGACTCACAGAACTTCACGTGGACCCCGAACTGAAACAGGGCAGATATGGATAGATCCACTGTCAGGACTTTGGATGCAGTAAGCGTTGGTGTATGCTTAACACGAGATGGATATGGCTGGTATACACGATCTAGCCACTTCGCACTCCATCTCGCATACGCAGTAGGTACGAAACTTCATAGATTGACCCACGTAAGAGGTACTTGCGTAATGCTCCGGGACAAGATGTTTCTATTCTTGTCGTGTGACATCTTGTGGAACAGGAAGCCTTCGCTGAACTTGGCAAAAGCAGGTGCGAAAACAGCTCCAGCAAGTCGGACGCCCCTCTTCTCCTGACCCCAACCTCCAAATGCCGTTCATCTCATCCCGCAATGTTTGGGTCCCCATTCTCTTGGAATCTCCGTCGAGGAAGGTTGGGGAAACAGCGAAGCATTGCAGCAAGGGTGCGCGCTCTCAGAGTTCGATACCCACCCATGTCTTTGGCCTCGGCCATGACATTCAGCTGTGGCGTACACCCTGGCTCCCAGAAAGAAGAAAGGCGGGCAGAAAAAGAAAAGGCTCGCAGGGAAAGAGAGGCCACTGGATGGTTGCGCCCCAGTGCACAGCTCCAAGGTCCGGGCTCTCGTATCCAATCAGCCGCCCCCAATATCCAAGACAATGTGAAAGCACGCCGAAAATGGCTGGGGCTGAGAGATTTGAGAAGATGTGTGGCGTTCATTGGGCCAACCCGAGCTCGAGCAATATGTTTGTTTGCCCATCGTTCTCCTCGTCTATTGCCTCTCGTTGATTAGCCGCCCGCTCCTCCGATGGGTCTCATTCACTGCCTGCCGGCTGCATAATGGCATGGAGGCTTGCAGGAGGCTTACCACCAAGTCCAATGATAGAACCAAGAGACGAATTGCTGAGGCTGTAACAAATGCCGGTTTGCTTCTGTCGGTGTAGAAGTAAAGCATCGTTGCCTATCCAGTCGTAAAGGTCCATGGCTATTCGGTACTTGAGGAGCATTTGCGTCTGCTGTGAATTTTCCTTCTTTGATCATGTGTGAGATATTGCTTTGGATCGTCCCCCGGGTATTTGCAGTTGGAGACGAGCCATAGAACGGGGCCCCACGACGTTTGAAACTACATCATTTGAAAGGCGAAAATAGGGCATATGTAAGTGAATATGCCTGGTCTCTTGTATGGCTGTACCACATCGACTTTGATTTGCCGAGTAGAGTGTAGTGTGGAGGGAAGACGATGATAGAGCATTCTGAAAGCAACGACCTTCGCTCGACGTCTCTATCACTCGATCCCAAAGTCTCCTGTAATAGCGACCCTTATATGTCATTTTCGAGGTGAGCCAGCCTGGAATAGAAGAACGGCCAAACCGTGAGTTGTTGTGCCATATCAGAATTAATGGGTCAAATCATGCAGCCTGCATTTCCATTCAAGGAGCCCAGTACGTAAACCCTTCCACTCCGTACCAGCCTGGGCTTTTGCAAAGAGACTTGTGGCACACGCAGCATGTTGTGTGGGGTTTGCCTTGGCAGAAGAGGGTTCTGGCGAGATCGAGAACGGGACATTGCATAAAGCGGCGAAATCGTGAGATTGAGGAGTAAGTTGCGGATTGGCGAGACCATATCGCGCCGCTCCCGAGGCAAATTAAAAAAAAACTCCGGCGTCGAGAGAGGATCATGTCCACCATGTATTCTCGAGAAGGGGTATTCTGGGCGCAAGTGCTGCAGCCGTCGCAAAGATTGTGGTTCCAACTGAGGGCCTTAGGCAAATCAAAAAGCAAGTTCCTGCTGTCTTGTGTAACAGCAATTTTGCTGTACCCAGTGTCGGAGAGCCAGGACTGGTCTTGATTTGCTGGCGTCGTGATGTGAATGCCACTTTGCAAGAGCAATGTGATCAGACCGGCTTGAACCTGGGTGTTGCTGGTACGTACTGTACTGACGGACGGAGGAGTCCCTCCTGCTGCTGCAGTGCTGCTCCTGCATGGACAACGTTGTCTCGCATCATGCGAGCAGATTGCGCTCCTCTCCTTACTGCACGAGGAGAGGCCATGCCGTGTAGGTAGTGTTGTTGTCCCTCTGCTACGGCCACCATGGCACACATACCATCAGCTCACAATTGCTTGGCTCCAACATCAGCCGCAGCGGTTCGCTCGTAGGATTTCCCGTGTGGATCAGACAGCACGAGCTCAACAAGGGAACCAGGATATAGCCGATGAACAGGGCCAAATAAACGCCGGATTATGGGGCCGACCGGGCTGCCAGCGCATGATTGTTTGCCTTTCATGGCTTGAACCACGGCTCGTACTGTGTCGATGCCGCCTAGGCTGTCCCGTTGTAGTAGGGATAAGAGCTTGCAATCAACGTAGAACCGTAATGAGAGATATGGTACAGCAGTGCTTCAAGCCAGGCGTGAAAATATAATGGCAAACAGTGAACATTGGATGCCTTTGACTACACGCCGGTGTGTACTTCACGCAAGTACGGCAAGGTAAGCCAACCCGCTTCAAACGAGAACCGAGTCCAGAAGAATGAGATAATGCACTTTGTTCCCTAGATATCCCGCAATAGCCCCCCGGTCAGGCTCCCAGTGCGAGCCATCCTCATCGTTTTCATGATCAGCGATTTATGCAATGAGTGTACCGACCTGTGATCCATGCCAGCCTGCCGAGCAGCCGAGCAATCTTAGCATAATGTAGCAGATAGTCACCTCTCGCATATGCTTTGCTTCAGCGTCGAGAAACTGCGCGGATGCTGCTTGAGGGCCCCGGCGAGCGATGGTCACGACTTCTTGATGTTTAGCTTTTCAGCTTCACAGGCTAGCGAAAGGACAGAAAAAGAAAAATAGGAGGAAAACAGGAAAAATTGCTTGCAGGACCAGGGGATTGCGGCCGTGGTCTAGGCCGGCACACAAGCCAAAGCTGCCCGGGTCTTGAGCAGCCGGGAAGCATTTGCTCTCTCTCTCTGAACGATAACATTTCCTTGCTCCTTGCTCCAGTGCCTCGCAGACCGGTCAATGCGTGCCAGTGGAACCAGGTGCACGACGTCGCCCGAATGCGACGCCAGCGTCGGTGTGCTGCGGTGGATGATGCTGTGAGATGCGAGCGCCGGCGTCTGGAGGCCCAAGGACGAGGCCTAGGAGCTGTCAAGATGCATGAGGCCCTGACCTTGTCCTACCAGAGCAAGAATATCGGGGAGGTTGGTGTTTCTGGCTTCGAGCCATGCACGTGCAAGTAGCCACGTCCTTTCGCTTAGGTAGCAAACAAATACTGCTGCAGGACGGGGCGGCCAGTGAGGCAGGCAATGTCAAGGTCAAGCCAGGTGCGGAGCCGAAGGCTCTCGAGTGGACCAACACAGCAAGGCAGAACAGACACAGCATCGAGAACCATTGTCAAAGCTGCTGTTTTGTTTCGTCTGACAAAGCAAGAAGAAGGACCAAGATATAAGGGGCAAGTACCGGTAGGGAGGTCCACAGCCTCAGCATCTGCTTCTCTTTCGATTGAACTCTTGCTTGTCATTCTCTGTGCTTCCACTTTGTCGTTTTCAGCCCTCAATCATCCGTTCACCAACAGAAAGCATCCAACGCTCCGGCCTCTTCGCGAGTTTCATCTCTTGCACCAGCTTTGGTACCTCTGCCTTTCTTCGGTAAACAAGCAAGAGGCTTCTCCTGGTCTCATCTGTTGATCGTCCGTGTTTTGAAGACGTTCACTAAGTCGGAGCAAGGAGGCTCTGCTAACGTTGGGAAGAGAGACAGATCGAAAACCCCGCAAAGATGTCAGCCAGCGATACTCGATTACCCGCTCCACGGAGGAACATCATGTTTCCATGTGACCAGTGTCCGGTAGCATACGGCGACCGAAGCCACTTGGATCGTCATCGCCAGATACACGCTGAGCAAGCCGAGCACAGAGAGCGGACGCAACAGGCCACTATTGAGCGAGCCGGTCTGGGACGAATTCGTAACGTCTGTCAATTCTGCCAGGGTAGGTTCACGACCAGTGAAGTCCTCAAGAGGCATATCGATGCCTACCATTCCGTCGACGGCAACCCACGGAACTCTTGTCAGCGTTGTCTGCGATATAAGCTCAGGTGTGATGGCTCCTCTCCCTGTGGGTGGTGTAACGCCGATGATAAAGCCGAGTTCTGTATGTTTGTGCCTCCCGAGATCATGTCGGCTCCGGTCCCGGTCCCGGCCTCGGCTCCGCGCCCTGCGTCGGAGTCTGTGTTGCCCACTGCTGCACCGACAGATGCACATCCAGCTACACCTCCGCAGCAGCAGGCACAGGCTCGACGAGCATCGTCAGCAAGACCAGCCTCGCCAAATGCTGCACCGGTCCAGCATGACCACGCCCACCAACCTTCAGTGCCTGATCATCCGCCTGCTGATGAGCACACGACAGGTGGAACTAGCCCGACAGGCAGCACTATCAGCCTCGCCTCCGGGCCACCCGTCCCTGGAGAGGTCGATGTCCGGGCTGGAAGCCTTGGCTGGTTGGACTTCAAAGTCTCTTGTATCCGATCGCGTGACGCTGACAACTCGGCCTCTGGCTCACCTCTCCGTGGAGTCCAAGGTTCTTCACTGCAGGTTGGCAGTGCGGGTTCTCAGGAAAGATTTGGCGGTTGCAGTTTGACGTATGGTTCCCTGGTGATGGCACTTGACAGCCTGGATCTTCTTTTTAGAGCACCCTGCATCCCCCTGATAGCAGGCTTGTCAGGGGCTCAGGTCAAGCTGCTGCCAGGAATCGAACTGCTAAGGCAGCTTGTCAACAACTTCTTCCTCAAGTGGCAAAAGATCCAGCCGATTTTCCACCTTGCCACATGGAAGTTCGTCAAAACCCCATTGGCGCTGCTTGGAGCAATGGCCTGTATTGGCGCTCTTTTGGATGAGGACGATGAAACGGCCCACCAGGCGCATATCATAAGCTCACGGTGCGTTGCTGTGCTCAACGTCATGGTAAGCGCAGGCCGTCCGGCTAGACCTCTGAAGATGTCGTTGCCGTTACTGACTCTGGCTAGGCCGTCATCCCTCCTGAGAATGGTCCAGACATCAGGTTCCTAGCTGCTGTGTGTCTTCACCAGACATATTTGCTTGGGTCTGGTGACGAGCACGTGTATCACCATGTTGACCGAATCCGCGCATTTCTGGTGGGCAGTCTGCAAAGACTGGGGCTGCTGGGTTCTGGCAATGATGACGAGGATGGGACCGATCCGGCGCAAGAAACGGTAACTCAGCCAGTGCAGGCTGAATGGACCGCATGGATTGCCTATGAGCAGGCAATCCGAACGACGTGGGCTGTATTTGAATACGACTGCAGCGTTTCCCTTCTCACCAATCGCCCCTGTGTCATAGAGCTGGGAGATCTGCCTCTGAGGTTCCCATGCGCCGATGAGCTATATGAAGCTCCAGACGCCCAATGTTGGGCTGAGCTCCGCTCACGATCGCCCAATCGTTCTCAAGGGCCGCTGGTGTCCGCTGTCGTGGCTGCTTCGGCGGAGAGGACGGCGCCGTTGTCTCGAGACGTCTCTCCTTGGACCAGACGTTTGTGCACCCAGATTTTTGAGAGGATTCTCAGAGGATTCGGGAGGCGAGGCCAGCGGGACAGCACTGTTGCGGCCTGCCGACACGTTGGTCTCAACGTCGCCTCTGTCTGCATGGAGAGCACGGCAAAGGTGATTTGGGCCATCAGCTTCCTGGCCAAGTCGATACCTGCGGAGGGGACCGAAGCAGCGCTGTCAACTTCGGACCTTGTCAACTTCTGGTACCTCCATCGCCCACCCTCCAAAAAATATTCTGGCTCGCACAGCGATTCGCTAACCTGCTCCGCAGTTCCACGAAATTGATTCGCCATTACGCGCAGTTATCCGTGTACACAGATGTCATGGATCTGATAACATATATCGCCCGCGTAGCCGCTTCGCCGTCGTCGCCCAACTCTCGCACATCCTTGCGATGGGCACAGCAAAAGCTCATTGACCATTTCGCAGTGGATCCGCCCAAATCTCGGCAGTATATTTGGCACGCAGGCCAGATGATCAGGATAGCAAAGGTCTATGCAGTCTTTGCGCCGGGCGACAATCTGCGCATCTTCTCAGCATATCTCGCCATCATTGCGTTTGTGAAATACGGTCCTTCGTCGCTGAGAGACGTGGATGGAGTCGAACCATTTCAAGCAGACGCGTGGCCGTTCTGCGAGGCAGAGGTCGAAAGGTGGCTTCAAGCTGGTGGCCCTGCGCGAATCGGGTCTTGCCATCGCATCCAAGTCGGGTGCTCAACCGACCAAATCATGCAAGATGCGTTCCAAATGCTCTACCGCCTCGAGAACTGGGGCATTTCTGAAAGATTTTTCAACATCTTGGTTCACTTCAACGAACTCGACGTGCTTGACGGATAGAGATGAAGGAGGCCGTTGAGCTGGGTTAGTGGCAATTCTGGGATGAACGGTGGGTAGGCATAACGTATGCTGCGTGTCAGATTTACTAGTTGATCCATTAGCATAGACCCCTTTAGATGGATAGTATTATGTGTGCTCCTATTTGTTGCAGGTTGGAGTGACAAGGTTGTCAGAGGCAGAGACTGAATCGAAGCATCAATGTGCGTATTACTTACTGATTCACCTCTCTTGTAAGGGCTGGGATAACAGATCCACTTGAGGGCGACCCCTTTGACGGGAAAGATGCTTTGTCTTCTGTAAAAGGCTGGCACTCAGAAGGGTAGTTGTCATGCTTCTGCTGAAAAAGCTTCGTTTGACATGAGAGGCTCTCTATCGCCGGTATTTCTAGCCATCTTCAGCCTTGACATTGGATCACGTGTCAGGGAGATGGCTGGCAAGAGTGGTCAATGGCTGATAAGTCCCAATCATGGTTTTCTGCACACGAGACGTTCCGGCACCGGCTGGTACAAGAGGTCAGTCATGAACATTCGTCCGTGGCAGAATGAAGCCAAACTTCAAGACTCACGATGATGATGGAATCGGCAGAATTTGTCTCTTTTTAAAGAAGGCCAACGGACCAATAAGCTTCGACTGGAGTCGCAATAGCGGAAGTTGATGGTATCACGTTGATCCCCCGCCGTGGAGGTAGATGATCGTGGCTCGTCATCAGGCATCACGATAATGGCAGCACTTTGCCGTTCGATTGCATCCTGGAGGGTTCATTGAGGCAATGCAAGAGTCAGGCTTGGGCAAAGAGGAGAGAAATTGAAGGGAGCACAAAGTGTAGACACAGCAGGAGCGTCCTGTTGTGCGTCAGGTGACTACACGTGATCCCAGGAGTGAAGTTTCAGGGACACGTCTTTGTACGCGCGTGTAAAGAATGCAGGTAAAGATTGATATGCGTCGAATATGGTATCAAGAGCATTATCGTACACGTTCAGTGTCGGACTGTGTGATAAATCAATTCGTCTTTGCTTTGACGAAGCTTGTCAGGGCGGTGGTAGGGAGATTGCACCGCCTAAGGTAACTGCAACCTCCGGCTACGATGCCTGCCTTCTTACCGACCAGTGAGCTAGTAATTGGGAAGGTGGGGAAAATCGCCTCTGCTCATCGAGCGTGAAGTGTCTGTCGTCGAGATGGTCAACAGCTGGGATTCTTTTGAACCAGCATCAAATGCGTCGCCGTGGCAAGCAAGTAAAAAGAAGAGAAACCCGGGAGAAACCCATACCAAAAATTTGCGCGGAAAGACGCCATGTCTGTTTTTGTCGACGGCAGCGCGAATCGATTGGCTGAGATATCCTCGGCGTGCAAGCGGGTCGCCAGGGTCACCCGCGCTCTGATTGGCTCCAAGTATTCCGTTAGCGCAGGGCTCGGCGTCACCCATATCGACACTCCACCAAAAAAGCGTGAGCTAAGTGAGAAAAAATATCGTCAGATTTTGCAAAAAAATTGGACGCTCGTTTTCTCAATCTTTGGATATAGGAAAAGCCCGATGCGGGGGTCGAACCCGCAACCTTGAGATTATTCAGAACGTGTTCCTCATAAGAGTCTCACGCTCTACCGATTGAGCTAACCGGGCAGTCGAGACGCCCGTTGTCTGTTGAAAGCCATCGGCCGTATTTGGTCTTATATCGAGCTTGTGATGGCATCAACACTCACGATATTCGACCTCCCCTACCCTACGATCAAGTACAACTTATCTTTTCTCTTGATATTATCTCTTCATCCATTCACTGAGTGGTTCGAGTCTCAAATATTGATCGCTGAACTATTTGATGTTGTGTTTTGCGGTTTGAAGGCGAGCACGTTAATTTGCCCGCAGAGCATCTGACAGATGGTCTATTTCTTCATGACTTCTTTGGCCACATTCTGAGCTTCATCTCTACCTGCGAGTCAGCTCTCAATCTATATGAATTCTTGCGCCACAAAATTTTCTTTTTTTCCCTCATTTCTTTCCATTCTCCTTTTCTCTTCGCAGATTGGTAAGATATCGCAACCTCCACCAGGCCATGTCACGACAGCTCACCAGGCGTCTTATACCAAGAACATCACTATCCAGCAACCACATGTGCTTTACCACGCAGCGTCATACCTCCAAAGACTTGCTCTAGACTACCTACAAAGGAGAACAAAGAAAGTCATTTCAACAATTCACAATCTGCTTATTATGCTTGACTATCCGCAATCTGGGTTGGTGAGCAAAGATACGAAAGATGTGGGCTAGTTGGGAACTCATGATTCGGTCTTCGCAAACATCATATACCGCTGCTGGCCGCCCTTTGTCTTCAATGCTTGCTCTACGAACACGAACGTCATGGGATACTTGCGTTTTGGTTGCGATATCTGCTTGTTAGAAAATTCTCGTGATTAGACTGGTAACATGCAGCATTTTTAGTTCCCCGATGAAGCTGGACGTTGGAACAACTGCATAGTACTGGGTATGTCTCTCGAATAAACAAGGCAGCACTCCCCCAATCAGCAGCACGCAATGAAACCTTCACAACTGGTTCTTCGGTTCCATGTGTCACTAGTTGTTGGTTGGAAGCGCACCGCATCGTCAACAACCAGGTTGTGAATCCTTCAGTCCCTTCAGAGGACTAGCGGCCGGCTATATGGCTGGGCCAAGCCCCGGATGGGACGATATGGGGGATCGGGAAATGAACACGCGACTACATTGCCAAGATGGATTGGCCAGGCTAGCAAAGGACCCTCGGCTGCAGAAGGATGGCGCTGCGAGTATATAGACGTCGACAATGCCGTTCAAAGCTGGCTTTTTACCCCTGACCAACTCATCCGTTCGTTGCCTTGTTTCCGACCGAGTCATTCATTCAAACTTCTTGCTTCAACCAAGCCATTCGTTCTTCTACCGTCTCGAGTAATCAGCCGATTAAAGAAAACAATCACAGTCAATATCAAGATGCGCCAATCCATCGGTACCTCTCTGCTCTCCCTCCTCGTGGGCGCAAACCTCGTCCTTGCCGCCTGCGAGCACTACAGCTACACGTCCTGCGACGACGGCATCATTCACTGGTATGATCTGAACGATGGCCAGATCTGCGACCCCAAGGACTGCGGAGGCGGTCGAGCTCCCCCTAGGACCGACGTGCCGGGCTGCCCTCTGTATAGTGGCACGATCCTCAGCGAGCCAATCTCGTACCTGTCGTGCTTCACACCCTCGAATGCCGTTCCGTTGACAAGTTCAACTGCTGCCGGCGTTGCTGAAACAACCGCCGACGTTGTAATCACGAGCGCCGTCTCGACTTCTGAAGCTGGAAGAACGACTCAGGAGCCGGCCAGCGAGACAAGCGCTGCCGAATCAACTGTGGCGCCCGCCAAACCGTCGACTTTAATCACGACCTCTGCCTCTTCGCCTGCTTCTGCTTCGACCAAGACTCCCATTACGAGCCCAGCAACTCTCTCCACCAAGAGCCAAGCCACCCACGCTGCCTCGAACACGACGACTTCCGCGACGACCTCGTCGACTCCCAATGCTGGAAATACCATGGGTGGCTCATTGTTGGCCGTAGCTGGAGTTGCAATCGGAGCCTTTGTTATGCTGTAGAGGCAGGGAGGCTTTTACCTTATAGAGGGGCCGTGGTTAGCGTAACACAATGTAATCAAAAATTGTTGAATTGTGCTTCCATGTCGTCTGTGATGGAACTTGTAATGTCTAAGCTGTGGGCTGTCCATCCTGTGCCGCCGTTATAGATCGTTATTGCTTCGCTCAACCAGCCATGGGAACGAGCATGACGAGCTGCTTGTATCAGCCAAGCTTGGACTGGCTGCAAACGAACAGCAGCGAAGGATGTTTTGTGCATTGAGAACTGCAGTATGTGGAGGCGATAAACAAGTTCAGGATAAAGGAGAGGTCATGTTGGGTCAAGTGATGGAAAATTCTGCACGCCTTCTTCCAGCATCCTAGCAAAATTTGATCAAAAATGGAGCTACAAGAAAATTCCATCACCAAGCCGAATTTGCATGGCCAATTTCAAAGATCACAAGTACTAGTATGGCAAGATCTTCTTCACACCCAGGGCAAGCCCCAGTCTGCAATGAAGAAAAAAGGAAAAAGGAAACACGCCTGTCAGACGTCCATCAACACCCACCCTGCCCGCGTGCCCGAAGACAAACAACAGACAGGGTCGAGATCATCAAGAGAAACAACTCTCTATACAGCAGCCGCACGAGGCAACTGCCGCCATCCTTGCGGACAGAGCGAGAGGACCAGGAATATTCACTCTTGGGTGCTGAGGATATACAATCATCAACCAGGGTGGATTCGATGGCTCTTTTGGGAACCAAAGCGAGAGACAAACACTATAGAAATGATTCTCCTGTAGAAAAGACGTGGTTAGCAGCTGCTTTGAGAGCCAGAAAGGCCACAGTTAGGGGTGCACATACTGAAGTATTGTCGACGTGAAGAAGAAAAGAAGAAAAAAATCAAAGGAGCGGCGAGCTCGACGGAAATTTATAGCAAGCCTGCAGAGCTGCGTGGGCGGTGAGCCAAAAATTTCTGGGCGGTGAGCCAATGCCTCCTGATCACCGACATTTTGACTGGCAGAAAAAAGAAAGGCTCTCCACCCACGGACGGCATGCCGAAAATAACGGATAAAATTCCACGGGAGGAAGATTTTGCGCGCTTCTGGCAGTGGGCGGCATATTCGAAAATATGGACGGAGTGAAAATTGAGAAGTCCCTGTTCTGTGTATGAGAGCCGAACAATCAATGCTGTCTTCCTCCTGCTTCCATGGCAGAATGGCTGCTGGATTGCCTCTCTGCCAGGAAACATTCACCAGTGCCTTGTCCACGATGTGACTGATGAAGCACAGGCGTCGTACATATAATGGACGTCGAGAATCTGTCAAAGCCAACAGACAAGGCAAAGGCTCGACGCATCTTCTATATCTCTGATGCTGTGCTTTTTATCGATGTTACATCGCAATTCCATAATATTTTCTTTCCACCGCCGGTCTTCCATTCATCCCAGCTCAACACAACAACTCGACAACTACAAGCTCCCTGAAGAGACTGGCATAGCATTCACTTGGCCAGGGATATCTGATGATTCACTTGATGCCGAGGGTCATGAAGAAGTAATCAAAGAAACGAAGATGCCGGTAACTGACAGCATAAGCCAATGAGGACAAGTCGTGGTCCAATCCAACCCTTCGGGCGCAGCAAAATCAAGCTTATTCCGGCAAGTCAGCAAGCCGACATCCCTGCTCCGCTCCCGAACGCTTTATGCGGCGACATCCCAAGTCGGGGGTAAAGTAATCGAGAGGATGATGGTCAGGGATGCAGACAAATAGATCAGTCGGTATTGTATGCTGTAAGCAAGCGGACTGTGCTTGCTCTACACCGCGTCTTATGGTTCGCGTTCAGCCTTCCTTTTTCGATTCGACTGCTAGAACGTCCGAGGCGAAAGCCTTCTTGATCTAAGTTGTAATAAGGAGGTGGTTTCTGTTATGCCAGCATGGCCTGGTTAGGAGTAACCCGCATACGAGGCTGAATTGACGGGGCATCAAGCGAGGGGCCGAACGTTCGGATCAATTGTAAAAGGTCTCTCTGCCATTGGCTTAGAGTATGTAGAATGCAAGTATATAAGATCGTGAGATATCCTCCGGAATCGCACGAGACAATAAACAATCATCTCCATCATCTTCCACAACCCCGATAACACCTACCTCCACCGCAATCATGCAGTTCTCTAACGTCCTCTCCCTGGTGCTTGCCACCGTTGTCGCCTCCCAGGATGTGGTGAGTCTCTTGATGTGCTCGACAGGCATAATTCTTATGTGACTGACGCTGGATCACGGCGTCTAGGCCACTCTCTTCTCCGGCACCAACTTCGAGGGCGCCTCCTACACCATCAGCGGCTCTGACGACGTCGTTGGCAAATGCACGCCCGTTGCTGACTTGTAAGCTTTACTTGCCTGCATGATCAATCTTCAATCGTCGCTAACAAGAATCATCTTCGCCTAGCCCTGTTGTGCAGTCCATCAAGGTGGCTTCTGGCCACGCCTGTGTTCTTTACAAGTAAGCTCATCACTCCAATACTTGTGTTACTTATTAACGTGAAATACTGACATCGATATTTTTTAGCACTCCTGATTGCGCTGTCCCTTACGCCGCGTACAACAGGGACACTGCTGCGACCATTGTTAACGGCGCCTTTGCCGCTTTCGAGTGCGCTGTCGCCATCAACTAGACTGTGTATTGATGTGTGTTAAATGTACGAGAAGCGTTTGAGTTGAGAATAACACGAGATATATGAGTCAATGAATCCGCGAATTTGCAATCATTATTTTCACCTCTCGTCGTGTTCATGTTCAATGATGCCAAGCACCGGTCTCTCCATGAATTGCCGCCTGCGTCCATGCAGTAAAGCAGATTCACCAATATTTACGTCCTCTTCATTGAATCTTGTCTAAATGTGCCACATTTAAGATTCCAAAGAACACGCTCTTCTCTATGTCGAGATAATGCAACACTTACACTTAAACTGCTGCATTGAGATTAAGTTGAGATTAGTAGCGGATCTCATCCCCGCCAACAGTGACATTTAGGCTTCTTTGGAGATGCTAATCGCGGCCCGAGATCCACGACAGCACATGGCCACTCGGTCATTCAATCCTATATGAAGTATGAACTGAAACTTGGATCTTTGCAGTTTCTCAACGCCTGAATTTTTGTTCAAGGCTTTTAGTTCAAGGCTTGCTAATGTAGGGTCAAACTCAATATGACCTAAAGGCACATCGTCGACCAAAATACTTTATATAACCCCTCCCCTTCGATACCCTCCCAGGAAATCGCCCAGATCACAAAGAAAACAAACTTCGGAAAAGGGAAGAAAAACTGCCAAAATGTCTCGAATCCTACGCGTAGCCATCCTAGAGTGCGAAACGCTCACCCTCCTCCCAAAAGCCAAAGCCGCCCGCGGCTCATTCGGCGACATCTTCCACGACTTCTTCGCCTACGGCCTCCAGGGCCTCGGGCCAGAGGCAGCCGATGTGCGGCTTGACGTGAGCAAGTGGGACACCATGGCAGGCGAATATCCTCGGATAGAGGATGTAGATGTAATTGCTCTCACAGGAAGCTGTACGCATTTACTCTTCGGTATTATGAGGTGACTCGAACAGAACCTTATGTTGATAAACAATCCACAGACGGCACAGCCTTCCACAACGACCCCTGGATCGTAACTCTCGTCGACTTCCTCGAACTCGCCCTCAAGTCAACAGACAAAAAGATATTCGGCATCTGCTTCGGCCATCAAGTCATCGGCCGCGCCCTCGGAGCCGACGTCAACCGCAACCGGCTTGGCTGGGAACTCTCCGTCGAAGGCGTTTCTCTAAACGACCAAGGCCAGGAGCTTCTTGGTGTCCCGTCACTGGTAAGAACTTGAGCCAATTATTAGCTGATATGTGCATTTCTATGAGTTAAGGACGGGATATTTACGGCTGTGTCATAGAAACTGCATCAGATGCATCGCGATGCTGTACTTACCGTCCCTTCTGGCATCGCCAACCTCGGCTCCAGCACAAAATGCCCCGTACAGATCCTCTATAAGCCCGGCCGGCTGCTTTCGTTCCAGGGACACCCCGAATTCGACGAGCTCATCAACGAGGAGATTATCAGGGGGGACAAGGACACCGGGCATGTCTTTGACGACGAAACGTTCCAGGACGCCCTCGGGCGTGTCAGCCGGCCCCATGATGGGCTTCTCATGGCGAGCCGCGTCATGGAATTCTTTCTTGGTAGCAGGAAGTGGAATGAGGCGGGAGAGTCAAGGTCGACATGATTCAGATACGTTTCGATAAATCCAAGCGTTTTCCTCTTTGCTGAGCCTTTACAGAATTACTGAGACCCAGTTCAGCGAGATTGACAAAAATACCCAAATAAATTATTACTAGTATAGACTAAAAAGTGAACCTCGACAAGAAAGTGAATCTCGACATTTTATTTATTTGGTTCCTCCAAGCGTTTACCGCCATGTTGTTCCAAGGAAATTTAAGAGAATAAAACAGCTGACGATCAAGTAAATATTCAACAGTCAAGGCAGTCTAAACAAGAAGCAAGTAAACCAATCAAATAAACAATCGAGTCATGCATTCAGCACATACGCTTCCGCAGCACTCGGTCTGGCGAATGGACTTGTGGACCATCCAGGGGTTGCGCCTGTCAAAAGGCAGGGTCCAGACGTGCTGCAGCACGAAGAGGGTCTCGAGCGCGTTGCCGACCTTGAAGCGCCCCGCGATGCTGAGGAGTCGCGATGTGATGATGCCCTTGACGTGCGACGTCTTGGCGAAGCACCCAACGATGAGCAAGGGCCAGCATAGAACTTTGTTGATGCTGGAAATCTCCGAGATGCGACTCAGCTGCCGGAGCGCGTCTCTGTAAGCGCTCTCCATGAAGTTGGTATACGATCCCGGGGGCGTCGAGGCGTGCGGCCATTCCAGGAGACTCCAGAGATACAGCATGGCAGCGTTCCTGAACAGCGTGGCCGCCTCGACGCTTTCGCAGCGGGGGTCTTTGTGAGGCTTGAACCTGAAGAGGCGCTCTTGGATTTGCCCAAAGGTGACAAAGTGGTTGGGCATGTAGCCAGTGGAGGGACCGCCCACGGGGGCATCCGACGCGTCATCTGCAAACGGCCGCATCTCCATTCCTAGCTCAAAGGTGCTCTGCACGACAACCATGATCGGTAGCCAAGTCCCGCAGAGCTTGCCTACGTATCTCTCCTGGACCAGGTCATCGACGGCGTTTCGAAGTGCCTCGCTCATGAATGGAATTGACTTGGCCTTGGTGACATCGGCTGCAACACAGGCAAAGCATGCAGCGTGCATATAGTACTCCAACAAGACGGGCGGAATCTCTTTGCACATCTCCTCATGAGGGAGGGTCAGGAGCGTCTTCAAGATGCTCTTGGCTGCCGTTGGATGGTTATGAGCCTGGCCGCGTTTATCAAGCCGGGCCCTCTGTGAAGGAATACACGAATATTGATCAGCACTCAGTCTCCGAAAGAGCGCATGGGAAAAGGAGGCAAAGTATATTGGCATGTTGGGAGAAAGCTACACACGTACCTCGGTGAGAGAGATGACCAGGCTTCCCAGGGTGAGTGGAAGCATATCCTGCTCGTTTCCAGCCAGGTAACTGTCAATCACGGGTCCGAACTCGGCAATGACAGCAGCGTAGAAGTTTTCGGCCCTCTCGCCGGTCGGCAACATGGCGGAAGACACCGGGCGATGGTTGGCCCTTTGGGCGATGATGAGCTGCAGGACGAGGGGGTTGGAATAGGCCAGATCAATGAGCTTGGGGTTGACGGGGTTCAGATCAGGCACAGGCTTCGTCTGACGGTCTTCCGGACGCTTAGCGTAGTACTTGAGCATCTCGGACGCAGCGTAGTCGTCTGCCGGCAGCAGGGACAATGGCAGAGCGGCGGATGGCGCATGGGTCAGGTGGCATTCTTTCATGTATGCGATGAAGTCGTTGAGACGAGAGGACAGAGGGGGCGTGCCCTGCCCACCCCAAGTGCACTTGACCTGGTACACGGTGGAGGTGCGAGAAGCCGAATCCAAGGTGTAAGGGGTGTGACTTCGCTTTCTGTCCCTGTCCGTGCTGCTGACATCGTCAGAGTCGATGTCGTGGCGATAATCATAATAGCAGGCATAGTCGTGATCTTGGTCGCCATCAGGACCAGGCACGTCGCCGACGGGGCCCTGAACATAGCCTGGAATCTGCTGAAGGCGGGTTTGCTGGGCTCGATTGATCTGCCGTTTCAAATTCTCGAGATAGGCAGCCTTGTTGGGGTCAAAGACCACGGGATTGACATCATCTTCTTCATCGTCCTCTTCCTGGTGATTGGCCATGGTGCAAAGCTCCATTTGTATTGCAATGTTGAAATGGGATCCAACATCAGACTCGCAGTCAGACTCGGACTCGGACTCAGCCTCTATGGCAGGCCCAGCCTCACTCTCGACTTCCTCCTGAGAGATGGGGCCAGTCTTTTGCCTCTTCCTACATTCGCCCGATTCTAGGGCGAACTCGACGCCGTTTTCATCGAACAGGTTATTGATTGGTTGAATGCACTCGAGATTGAAAGCTTCGCAGGCCTCGCATTTGGGCTTGCCCAGTCTGCATCTCCTTCCCAGGCGGCGACAGGTGATGCAGGAGTCGGAATTCCTGATGAGGCGCGGAATGAACATTCCACGCGGCCTTAGGGGCTCCCCCTTTGGATGAGTAAAAGGTCAATGTGATGAGCGTAACACGAAGTTGTCAGGAGACATCACTTACTGCTGCTGACATGATGGCGGGTTGACAAACGGTCCGTTGCTGTGTTTGCAAACGATGACGGCGTAATTGTAAGTGAAGAACAGATAGGATGGAGGCCTTGAAACCGAAGTGAGGATTCGAGGAGCCTGGCCCCTTCTTTATAGTAGGTTAGTGGGGGCTGTCGAGTTGCATATGCCTGCAACTGTCTCATGAAAATGACTATGCTGGCGAGAGGCGATAATGCATGCTCAAAGGAAGTTCAGAGTATACGTCAACATCAAGGTGGTGATGATTCTGATGGCGCATGAACTGGCGGCTCGGCCCCATCAATTCAGAGTTGATGGCCTCAACTCAAGACAGACGGCACAGCACCCATGCACGGAGGCGGCCCATGAAGGCGGCCCATGCAGGACGGCTGGCTGATGGCAATCTGGGGGGGAGCAGCTACACGATAGCCACCCTCGCAATCCCTTGCATCTGGACAACCTGTTTCTCTCGTTCTTTCTTCTTCCTCTAGTATTCTTTCTTTTTCAGCAGTCTAAGACATGCTAGGATGGATCACGTGTGGGAAATGACCTGATGTTTCTGCCACACGACTCCGTGCCGCGGGCGGCCCTTGTCGTTCCCTTGCCGCCCCCGGATTGACGGCATCACGGAGAGGGGGGAAAACCCGGTCTCTGGGATCGATGATCCTGGCCTTTGTTCGTCAATCTTGGGCCTTGGCGGAGTCATGGGGAGCATGGAGGCGGGGGGGGTACTGACTCTGCCGGCAGGGCGCTTGGTCTGGTTCTGTATGATGCAGTGAAAGCTGACCGATGCTTGGTCCTTGGTGCATAGTATGCGTGTAAGATGGTACTCAGTCATGACGACGAGATACAATCGCCTTGCCTGGGAGACTCGGCAGACCCCGGCTTCAGCTGGTGCAGGCTAGATACGTAGCAGTTAGCACCGGAGTACCTCTGAATGTGCAATGCGTACCTAGTAGGCAAGGTACAGACGAGTGGTGGCTCACTTGTCACCTTGCCGGTGCTTCATGCGATCAGTTGTTCCATCTTGCTGGTGTCTTGCCGTGTCGTCTCCCAACTCCATAATTTAATCTCAGGGTTGTCGATCCGGTTGGCTGCGTGATGGGTTTTGCGCTATCAGTGCTCCGTACATCATAAATGTACACCAACTCATGGAACCGGGGAGTGTGCATACATATGTACATACCTCTGTACATGCTACTACTGGCCCTCGGGGTCCTCGATATCGACTGGAGTCGCTCTGTTCAGCTTGGTTCAATCTCGATTTGTCCGGGTCGTTGTTGTTGAGCCTGAGATGATGACAATGAAGGAGTCGGTGGAAAAGCGGTGTGCTCAGCCTTCGCTTTGCAATACGCCCTTTCCTATGATTGCCATTTGCTCAGGCGTTGTTTCCTCGTTTGTCTGTTTCAGCGCGACTACCTCGACTGAGATAGGGGCGTGTGATCGCAGAAGTGGGACCACTGATATGGCGCTCTGATTGGAGGACAGCACCTGCATGCTTTGACGGCTCGATTTGACGAAATAGTACAGTGCAGATTCCGCCTTCAAACGGCTGGAGGTGCATTCAGAAGACCAAGATGGTCTCAATTCTGATACGAAGTACAGTAGGGAGTCCTCCGTACAACTTGACTGGTTGCAGCGTGGTTGACGTGCGGCGATGCAATGCAGGATGCGCTGTACAGTGCAAGGCAGACACGCTCAAGGCTATTGGCGATTAATGGCAGACGAGCCAGATTGGATGTCTGAATTACAGCAGCTCAGACATCATTGATACCTGGATTCGATCAAGCCTGAATCTCATGTTCCAGCCTCTTGCTGCTCAACCAGCCCGGATCCAAGCATAGCCGAGACATGTACGTCTCTTGGCTCCTCGTCATCATACAGTACAAGCTGAAAGGAACCCAAAGTAGGTACCTGTATGGGGAAAGGGAAATCCCGAAGAATATCGGCCCCGAAAAATATCGGGCGTCGTCGATCCTCAGCCCATCTCGGGCCTGACCCCTGCCTGGCACGACTTTTGCCTACCTGCCCACGAGCAAGCCAATATCCGACCTGCGACATGGCTCTAGATGCCTTGCTTGATTTCCTTGATTTTTTCCTCATTGTCTTGGAACTTTTATTGCTTCCTTTCCTTGTTTTTCCCGTCTTGAGTTCTCGTCTTGCATCGGGACAACTTCCATCCGGGACATTGCAAGGTTGCTCATCGTTGTCTCATTAGCTCAGGCAGCAATCCATCTGTGCCGTGTTGCAGGACACACAGCAATCATATTATGCTTGTACGTACAAGAGTCTTCCAAAAAGGACATGGTAAAGGACATACTAGTAAAATACATGCATACTACTTATCCACGACTCATTCATGAGGCTGAGTTGCCGCCAAGTCCAGTCACCAATGGGAACACTCCCGTCAAGCTCTCTAGCTCACGATGCTAGGCCCTATGGACTAAGATTCTAGGCTACCGCCCTACAGTACTGCGGTAAAGGATAGAAGAGTGAGCCTAGCCTACTTGGTACTGTAAGGGGTATCAACTGGCGCTGCCCTGATACTGCATGTATTACTACTGCCATGGGAGAGCTATGCTTTACCACTCGTTTTTGCTTGATTTATTTGATGCCAGCGACTATCCATCAGATAGTCTACCTCGTTCTCCATAATACTGATCTGAGCCCTGTTCTATGATCAGTATTGACATGGCGTGATGGTTCCATGATGGCCAAGACTATTGGACTAGGCTGTCATGACCCCTGACTTTGAGTGCGGCAAAAGGAAGATACAGTAGTAGAGCCAGCAAGCAATACGGACAGAGAGTAACCAATAATTTGGCTGCCAAAGTAGTCTATAGTTCTAATAGTTGGTCCGTATCCAGCAGTGATGCAGCATAGGTGATTCTATGTAGCAGAGAATCGGAGCTCAGATATCAATCGTCACCCAGAACAAGTATCAAAGCTCCAATTGACCTCAGACGAAACCATAAGCAAAACGAATGTGTCAATGTACTTGCTCTCCCGTAACTGGCTGATGATGCTTACACTTGGGCTTATCATAACTTGACTCGCTCGAAACATCTACTACGTGTCCATCTCTCTGACTCCCTATCTTCATGAATGTCTCTCATCATCTCTCTATGCGTATCTACTCATAAGGCTCATACTATCTCATGTTACGTATTCGTATCTTCCTTACATGAGACCTTCCAGAGCCGCGAATCATATGAGCCCCCCCTGCTCCCCTCACACAACCAAGCTCGCTCCCGTGTCTTCCTTCTTCCTCCATGGACAAGCCGTCCTCCCCAGGAGACTCATACTAGTGGCTTGACACATGCAGCCGCCCGGGACTCACACTCCTACTTCCCCGGCGGATAGCACGGCCCCCAGATGAAAAGGTCTCGGGCTATGCTACAGGAGTACCCCTACCTAAGGTACCTTACGTGTCCTATATACAGCCCCCATGACATGTGACAAAGTAGGGGGGAGCCACAAGAACGCCACCAAATGAATCATGAAGCAGCATCATACGTGTCTCTCTGATGAGCAGAAATAAAAAGACAAAGTTGAGACAAGATGCTTCAAATGGTGACATCAACACTCCGAATATCGGCATCACCATATCAGCCGTCAACGGAGCGGCGTCCGGAAAGGACACTTGATAGTCTATTGTGTGAGTGGCATATCTCCGCAGTATAGAAAGAATTGCGGGGAGTAGTAAAGTCGTAACTATCTCTCCGAGAGACAGGTGAGTTCTCAGACCGTACTGGCAAGGCGGGGGCAAACTGCCTTTCTTCCTGCTGTGAGGCGTCCATGTGGGTAGAGGCGTTTCCCCATCTTTCTGAAGCCTTGTTGGGAAAGGTCCATCCTCCGACTCTCACTCACCTTTCCCCTCTCCCTTCTCTCTCTCTCTCTACCCTTCTCGCTCTCTGCCGGATATCACGGTGTTCTAGTGGAGAAGTCAATGGGTTTTCTGGCCCGGTCTTGTACGTTTTCGGCCCTTCTGCGACGCCTTGCCTCTTCTCTCGCCGCTCGTACCTAGATCTGCTCAAGCTTCTATTTATGCTTTTACCTACTCAGCATCTAGATAGCTGTCTGTATCTATGCCGACTCGGGCCAAGTCGACGCCATGGCGTCAGGATGGGTTTCTCCTCTTTGGGCATCCGCTTTCGGATTCACTATCCGAATCTCCCGCAATATTGCATTGTCCTCGTCAGCTCATCGTAAGGCCTGAAATATAGGGCAAGAAACGTATATTTATCTCGAATATGAGCATGTTTTCGTGGGTAGTATGCCGTGAGATAGAGTGTTGGCGTGTAGGTTTGTAGATGTGATGCATGTGTTACTCAAAGATGATGGTGATAATACACAATGCGTCGCATTATGCAATGATTCGGAGGGAACACAAAAAGGCCCATCTTCTCGACGTCTTGTTCTGAGAGGTTCCCACGATCGAAAAATGGATAAGGCAAGAAAAGGTGTTGTGTGTGGCTCGCGAAATGCGCGCTGCAAATGTCCCCCTAGCCAACGCATGGCGGTTGATATCTAATGGATTCCTCATCCTCCTCTTCCTCTCGCAACCAGTAGGATCTGCGGCAGCGACAACGAGCCCTCAGGTCCACGATGACAGCTTCGTCCCCGACCACGTGCTCCGAGTCACGGCAAAGGAGATTGGCATCGGGGGCATCAGAAGGTTTACGACGGTCATCAATGGGACGTTGCCGGGCCCTGAGATCCACATCCCAGAGGACCAGGTGGTATGGATCAGAGTGTACAATGACTTGGAGGATGGAAACCTAACCATGGTGAGTATAGCCACAAAATCCAGCCAAACTCTTTTGCGTAGCGCCCCTTCAAGTGAGATTAACATTGGCTTACATCGAGTCCTTCTTTTTTGAGATCAAAAGCACTGGCATGGCCTCGCTCAGGCAGCAGCCCCGTTTTCGGATGGCTCCCCCATGGCCAGCCAGTGGCCGATTCCGCCGCAGCACTACTTCGACTACGAGCTCAAGACGCCTCGAGGAACGGCCGGGACATACTTTTACCACTCGCACGTTGGCTTCCAGACCGGCACGGCCAACGGGCCGCTGATTGTGGACGACTCGGGCTCGAAACCGTATCCCGTCGACGGGGACCGCATCATCCACATCCACGAGCTATTCAACTCGACGGACCATGCCATCGCCGAGGGCTTGCGGGCAACGCCATTTGTGTGGTCTGGCGAGACGGGCGGTTTCCTCATCAACGGCAACACGATATCGGACTACCCCATCGTCGACCGCGCGTCTGCCAAGCTGTCCGTCATCGAGGTCGACCCGGGCAAGCTGTACCGGTTCCGCATCATCGGCGCCACGGCGCTCTCGTACGCGGCCTTTGCCTTTGAGAACCACACGGACATGCCCATCATCGAGGCCGACGGCCACTACACCAAGCCGCACGAGACACCCCTGATGCAGATCGGCTCCGGCCAGCGCTTCAGCGTGCTGTTCCGCGCGAAGTCGTGCGCCGAGCTCGAGGCGCTCCGCAAACTCGACTTTTACCTGCAAATGGAGTCTCGCGACCGGCCCACGAGCGTCGTCAGCTACGCCGTGCTGCGATACCGCAACACCTGCGCTAATATGAGGCATCGCCACGTCCACGACCTGCGCGTGTCGACGACGGCGCTGCCCAGGATCAGGCCCCTGGACCTGCCGCCCACCATCGAGGGCTTCCTCGACTACCAACTGAAGCCGCTGCACCCAAACAACTTCCCGGCCGATTCCGAGGTCAATCGTCGCATCTTTGTGAGTTCCCAGCAGCGGATTGACGGATTCTTCCTGTGGACGGACAACAGCGTCTCCTGGACCGATGACCACTTTCAGAGGTCGCCCTTCACTACCCCGGACGAGCCCTACCTGGTGTCTCTGTACAAGAATGCAAGCAAGTTCCTGCCGGATTTCCAGGCGTCCGTGTCCAACTACGGGCTTGATCCGGCAACCAAGACATACCCTGCCAAGCTGGGCGAAGTTATCGACATCATCTTCCAGCAGGTCGGCGCTCATTCCTACGACGGCTCGCCGGACGGAGGCCTTGAGACGCACCCTTGGCACGCCCACGGCGAGCATTTCTATGACATTGGCGGCGGGCCCGGCGTGTACAGCGAGAAAGTAGCCCGGCAGCTCCGCCACGGGACCCAACCGGTCCTGCGAGACACGACGATGCTGTTCCGGTACACGGCCCATGTCCAGCCGGACCAGCCGTGGGGATGGCGGGCGTGGCGGCTAAGGGTGCGGACTCCGGGCGTCTGGATGGTCCATTGCCACACGCTGCAGCATATGGTCATGGGCATGCAGACCGTCTGGGTGTTTGGCGATGCGGAGGACATTCTCGAGCTCAATTACCCAGACGTGACGGGGTATCTCGAGTATGGCGGGAATGTGAATGGGAATTCGTCGCACTATGTCGAGGCTGTGCATTATTTTGAGCCGGGTGGCTGACTTGTAGTGAGAGTAAGTGATGGTTGAAGATGTGGCCATGTTATATAGAGGACGAGAGAAGATGGGGTGGTGATTTCAGGGGAGAGAGAAGAGGAGAGTTGTATATACCCAAGGCTGAAGAAACGAGATGAGAGTGAAATGATTGCTTGTATGTAGTCGATGGCTTGTATATAATTCACGAGTTGCAACCTGCGATTGATCATGAGAAGACGAAAATGTCCTGACGAGCACCGATTCAATGGAACCTGACTCACAAATGCGAAATACAAAGCATTTCGGACTTCACCAGCATCGAAAAAGGTTGCACATGTAAAGCACAGTGGACAGAGACAAGCTTGGGCTCAATATGTTTTAAAAGTCTTTTTCCGTCGTTAGCCTCAGGGCCAGCCATCTCCAGGCGTGGAGAGGGAAAAGGGGAGGGTCACGTAAGGAGAACCGCTCCCCCCTAATAAAGCAAACATCAAATCCGAGACTCCAGTCCACATATATGCCATTTTGTTTCTTTTAACCGTTGATTGATATCATCCACTAAACAAAGAAAGAAAGAAAGGGGGTACTACTAATCTTTCCTTCTCTCCATTTAGTGAGCCAGAGCACGGCGGCGGTCACGCTCCTCAGCGATGGTGAGCTTGACACCCTTGCCCTTGGGCAGGGAGATCCAGGGCTTCTCCTGGCCAATGACGAAGACGTTGCTCTCACGGGTAGCGAAGGTGTTGTCAATGGCGTCCTTGATGTGGACAATGTTGAAGCCACCGTCGTGACGCTCACGGTGGGTGATGACACCAACACGGCCCATGTTACGACCACCAGTGACCATGGCGACGTTGCCAGTGTCGAACTTGATGAAGTCGGTGATCTTGCCGGTGGCGAGGTCAATCTTGACGGTGTCGTTGACCTTGATCAGGGGGTCAGGGTAGCGGATGCTGTGGAAGGAGAAAAAACGTCAGCACTCGAGCAGGGAGAGGGGGAACATACAGCCGTCAAATAAAGCTTCCATCGTCTTCTTGCTTTTGCTCTTTCTTGGACCCATCTTCCATGAAAGTGGGAGTGGGAACAAGGAACAGCAGAAAAGCAGGAAAAAGAGAAGAAGCGAATAATGATAATTCTTGTCCTTCTTTTTCCTTTTCCCTGAATCGACCAAAGCTTGATCCAACGGCTGAATGATGTCTGACAGAACTCACGTTCTCGCATCGTGCGTGACCAAGAATGGGATTCCACCACGGCCCAGCTGAACGCGCTTGACCTTGCCCAGCTTGTACTCGGCCTCCTCGGCCTGGATTCGGTGGACGGTGAAGCGGCCCTTGGTGTCGTAGATGAGACGGAAGTTCTCGCCAGTCTTCTCGATGGTGATGACGTCCATGAAGCCGGCGGGGTAGGTGATGTCGGTGCGGACCTTGGCGTCGACCTTGACCAGGCGCTGCATCATGATGGCCTTGGTCTCGCGGTAGTTGAGAGCATACTTGAGGCGGTTTCGGATGAAGACGATCAGGGGCATGCAGTCGCGGAGCTTGTGAGGACCGGGAGAAGGCTTGGGGGCGTAGAGGCCGGACAGCTTGTCCAACAGCCAGTGGGAGGGGGCGCTAAGGCGCTTCTGGTGCTTCTTGCTGTGAGGGGAAGACAAAGGTCAGCTGTGTTTCCTTGAAGTGAAGAATGTGTCGTGCAATTGAGGCTATCCTCAACGACCTTCCAGAGGAAGAGGACGAAGCAGAGGGCTGTTCAGGATGCACGCCATTCGCCGTCGACAACATCAAGATCCCTCTCTTGCTTCCTCTTCCACTAGATCGTAGAGAGCAGCACTGCTCAATGTCTGTTGCGATCGTCTGTACTCACATTCCTCGGGCCATGGTGACGACTGGCTGATTTCTCGACGGTGATGAAAACGACGAAGAAGGTTGAGCGTGGAACAAGGCACAGAAATGTTAAATTGACGGCACACCTTTTTTTTTCTCTTCTCGCTTCGGCCGCGCGAATTGTGGGGGCTTTCTTGCCCTAAGGCTTACCGCTTGGCAAGACCCGCAAGAGAGATCAAACTGGTCACGTGAGTTCCAACTCGTGGGGCCCATGCCGTGATTTTCCCGGTTCCGCCTTTCAATTACCTTAGGTCAACTCAATTCGACCAACCTAACGCAGTACCGTAAAGCTCAGGGTAGCGCCAGGGGGACGGTGGTGAGAAAGGCTTCCGACATCCTATTACTAGTACTACTAACCTACTACTAAGGGATATAGCTATCAAGTGTGAGGCGAGAGGCAGAGCAAAGCAATATCATCTCAATTATTTAGATCTCGGGTTATATAGCTATTATATCATCCCATTATATGCGACATGAACATGAGTATGATGGTCCTCTACCGTGGAGGCACGCATTAAGGGGGGCTGGAACAGACAGAACGATGTGAAAATGCAGCAAGTAGCAATGCAATGAACGTGTCGCGACCCTTCTACGCTACCCAGTATGTACCTCAATCACCCCTGGTCTGATCTAATAATTATGTGAGCGTGACGCTTCTGACCTTGTTGTATGTTCTCCCATCGCTTCGTTCTCTTGATAGTTGCCGTTTTTATCTTTATTTTTTTGCTTTTCCTTATGATAGGGGGTATTATTCTTGATCAAATCATGCTGGATGTTGCTTGGGCATCGTCCAGTAACAGCCTGGCGATATCCATCTCTCCGCCAGTAGCTGACGGTGTAGGCTCGTCAGAGTCTCGAGGAGCTTGCTGCGGCTGCTCTGTTGTACCAGCAGTCTGGAACAGCCACTTTGGCAGCTCATCTTGTGTCGCTCCACGGCTCGCAGAGTTGTTCGCCGTCAGTGCAAGTGATGGCGCTGCGGCGGTGGTTCGGGGCTTGAACGCATTGGCAATGTTCGTGTTCACCATTGGTTCGAGAATGTTTGTGCTGCTGACATCTTTGGGCTGGAAGACACCCTTCTCGATTCGCTGATAGATGTAGGGATACTTGTTGCGCACCCGGTCGCGGAGGTCCGTCGGCTGCCGGTTACCCAGGTGAAAGCGTTTGTCGCGTTGTATCTTAGACCAAGATGGGCCGTACGTCTGAAGGCCTAGCAGGATCTCCTGGTCGTCCCGGTTGGAGAAGGCCGTCCTCTCTCTCCTGCGGGCCCTTCTGAACGGGCCGGTGATGCCAAGCCCCGCGAGGTCTGACACCTTCATGCGATGGGCGCGGCTCTTCTTCGTGGGAGGATCATCCATCTCACTCGGAGTACCGGTGGCCGAATCCTTGCCCGACCAAGTCCCGCCTTCTGATAATGACGTCTCACCTGCCGTCTTCTCCGGCGTCTTCAGTGGCGAAGTCAGCTGCCTGAACTGGTTCCGGAGCTGGCGCCGTCGGGCAAGGGAGTGGCGCTCATCAACATCGGTCACACGCATCTCCTCGGGACAGCAGGTGCGGAAGCGGTCCTTGAGATCACCGGCCGAGCGCGAGTTGAAATGAAAGTCGGGATCATCCAGGATACTGGTCCACTTGCCCACACCATGGCGATCGACACCCCTGAGCAGATGATTCGTTTCCTCCTCTGACCACTTTCGCCTAGGTTTGCTTGAACGTTTCCTTGTGGTCCTCGGCTTGGTCATCGGCTGGTTAGGCTCTGGGGATAAACGAGGGCCCGGCGGACTGTAGTTGAGCTCGTGGAGTAGCTTGCTCTGACCTGCGTCGGTATCGTCAAAGGCGCTGGACTCGATGGGAGGAAAGAGAGACACATGGGGCGGTGGCTCAAGCAGTCCGTTGATGATTGGCGGCATCGGGGGAGCCTGGTGCGCCTTTGGCTTCTTGGCGGGCTGCGGTAGCTGCATGAAATCATCCTTGATATGGATAGCTGGTCTCTTATTGTTGGAGTTAGAGGTAGAGGCGGAGGCGGAGGCGATGCTGGATGTGGCTGCGGCTGCGGTTGTGGCGGTTGCGGAAGACGAGGAGGGAAAGGGCAATGACGAGGAAGCTGCCGCGGCCGTGGTATAAGACGTCGGCGCAGACGAAGAAGCTGCCGCGGATGTGGGTATGGCTGTGGATATAGACATGGAAGTTGACGAAGACAAGAACGAACCTGAAGGAGCGTCATCCTGAAAATCTGGCCCCTCGTTCAGAATGCTGGTGAAGGACGGGGCGGGCGGCGTGGGCATCGGCGGCATATTGACCTCGCTCACCAGGAGCTTCAGCGGATACAGGGCCGCGCTCCCGGCATATTTGCCTTCTCTGGAGTAGTCGGTTTCTCTCCTGAAATCTCCAAAGGCCGTCGTCTGGTCCCCAATGAAGGGGGACGCCAGCGGAGCTCCGAGTGCTCCGCCGCTGGGGCCGGGAAGAGCGGCATTCCGGCCAGCGCTACCGAAGAATCTGTCGGCTCGAAGTCCCTCGAGCTGCAGCGGCGGCAGAGGGCCGTCTCGATTCCCGGACAATGGCAGCAGCTGCAGCGCAGGCAGCGAAGGTAGTGAAGGCTGTATGGGCACTTCCGTGTTGGGGACTTCCGTGTTGGGGACTTCCGTGTTGGAGGTCTCCATATTGAGATCCTCCGTGGTGATGCCATCCGTATTGAGGCCCTCCGTGTTGAGGCCATCCGTGTTGGGGGCCTCCGGAGTGGTCGGATCATTCAATAGATGAATCAGACGCGGCTCAATGGTGGCCATGGTGACTTGTAAAGTATAAGCGGCGGTGGCTGATCTGTTCTCAGCATTGGCGCAACGGCAGCAACAAGCAACACGTGTATGGCCAGAAGAAGCTGGATCATGAACAGCAGAATCGACGCGGGAGCGCGCGTGAGCGAGGGTATTCGCGGTCCTTGGCTTCGACGGATCAAAGAGTGACAGAGTGATGCAGAGATGGACGAGGAAGCAGTAGAAGAAGAGGGAGAAGAAGAAGAAGAGAAGGATGGGCGGCAGAAACGAAAGAGATGTCGGGTCGATGCAGAAATAGTAGAAAGGGAAGAGAGGATGAGGGTGAGGATGAGGGAGAGGAAACAGGCCTATGATATGTTGCTCTGCCGCACTTCCGCAGAGTGAGGCGTCGACATTTCTAGCCAGGCCCTCGGCCGTTCAGTGTCTTGTTCGCTGAGCCGTCTAGCTGGTCGGGAACGAAAGGGAGCGAGAGAGAGAGCTGGGGCGAGGCGCCGGGATCCCCAACCTTCCCCGTCCCACCAGCCTCTGTACTTTTTTGGCTTTTGCTTCCTGATCTCTCTATCTCTTTCCCTCTTTCTGCTTGCTGCGGGCTGCAGTGGCTGAAAGGCCCCTTTTTGGATGAGAGAAGAGGAACTCCGGAAGGGGGGACGAGGAGGGGATTTGGGATTTGAGTTTACACCTAGAGAGGTACCTAGTAGGTCAGGTTGGCACAGTACAGGCCGAACTTGAAGGGAGGGAGATGGCGAGAGCTGAGAAGCATGCAGACGAGGTGTGTGTGCCGATAAACAGAGCGCTGAAGGGAGTGCTAAAGCCGACGGCCTCAGAGGTGGTGTCAGCACGTGAAGTGCTCCAGCAAGTACAGTCATGTATTATGTGACCTCACGTCTGGCAGCTTATGATAAACGAGGCATGGAAGTTGGCAAGACGCGGCTTAATTAGTGGGCTCGGGGAAAGGAAGCCGAGACAGCGCTACGACTTAGCAGAGAAGGGGAGAATGACGAGGAGGAAAAAAGAAAGGAAAGTAAAAAAAGAAAGAAAAAGATAAGGGAAAATGACGGCGTGTAGAAAAAGGAACTTCGAGTGACTTCCGGCTGCTGCCTCGTGTTTTCGTGAAGCATCTACCTCTGTCTCGTGGTACCTGTTGCGTGTCTTATTGCTGAACTCTAATGTATGAAAGGCACCGAGTTCGATTTGAAGTACTGGTATGTATGGCACACTGTACAGGCTAGCAGTCGATTCTGGGGAAGAGGGTGCCCTGGAAAGGGAACCAGCAAGAGAGGGAGAGGGAAGCCGGAGAGGGAGAAGAACTTGGCTGGAGGAGAACCGGAACCTTGAGAAGAGGGGGGAACGCCTGTCAATCGCGTACAGGTACCGGCAGCTTGGTGACGCCAGTGCCACCTCGTGCGAGCATCGCGTAACCTCTTCAGGTACAGGTACCGCCAAAGAGGGAAACGCTCTGGCTCCCCTCACTCCGACTCCGTACACCCGAGGAGGCACCGTTGCCATTTGGAAGCTCCGACGTGAGTGGAACGTCTGCGGTCATTCTTTGCAAAGCCACTCATCTAATATGGCATTCTGGCGGGTATCAAGTACGAGTACGAGTACTACTAGCAGAACGGTAAGACAAGAGACCGAGGAACTCTCAATGCAGCAGCAAATCTGCCACTGGCTGCATGCGGGCTGCCTGTTATAAAAGTGAACCAGGTTGCCCAAAACGGCCCCGAATTGTGCCGACATGCCACTGAGACGAGTGATTACGGCTTGCCGGGGGCACAAGCCGGCCAACTTGGCGCCATGACAACCGCTGGAATGGACTGGAATTGCATTGATGGATCTGTGCTCGTCAGCTGAATGCTGTGCCCAAATGCCGGCTGCTCTCATACCATCGGAGGTACTGGGAGGTACTGGCTGGTGTCCAACTGCAGGGGATCTACAGCGCGGTACGACCGACAGCTTCGTCTCCTCTTATCCCGACCCGAGAGCATCAGATCAATCTCACGATTTCCCCACGCCGACGAGGGCCTTGTTACCTTTGCAACGAATGTCCAACGAGGATACTAGCTGAATCGCCCACAGAAATCATCATCACTGTCCTGTTCTCATCGTCTTGTCCATCTTCATCACCGTCCTCATCATCGCCGATTGGTCACCAGGTTCGACGTCGTCAGTGCCTCGATACAACTCACGTTTCCAACGCGGCGTCGTCACGCTCACACCACTCGCCTGCTCATCCTCGTCCCGTCTCTTGTCGTCTTCGTTTCCTGCCCTTCCCTCTTCCCCCGTCACCCCCCGACGCACAAGCACATGATGGCCGCCTCTCTGCCGCCCTTCCCCCGCCTTGTCTTCACGGTCCTCGAGCCCTTGTCGCTGTAAGCCCACAGACCCGACCCGCCCCGCGTCCAATCCAAACCAGTCCAGATGAGCCAGCCAGCCCAGCACAGTTGCTGTATGATGGCTCGGCCCATCCAATCACCATGGCTGAGACAGCTCTCCGTCTCTATTCCCTCAATTCTTGCCTTTTCTCTTCCCCTTTCAGCTTCGCCTAGGTATTTTCCTGCAGAAAATATGGGGTTGTAGGTAGTTGGGAGGGGTGGCAGCAAGCCCAATCTCGACCTGCCCAAACTCTACCCAACTGCAAAACAAACTGCAAGAGTCTGCAGAATGCAAGCGAGAGACGCTCTGCAGACACCAGCATCAGCCAGTCATAAGACACGAGACCGAACTCTCTCGACAACTGTACGGCTAACCTAGGTTTTGAGCACATCACAGCGTAGCAGGCTTCGCCGGCGCTGTCTACGACCCGGCATGGTTCGTTGCACAGCAGATTCCTCAGGACAAACCCGTGGCTGCCTCAGAGAATAGCATTGTTATGGCCCATCAACTGGGAAACATGTATCTCGCAATGTGCTTTGTGGGCTTGGCCCTGTTCCGGACGACGTCTGAGGCCAGAGTCATCCGAAGCTATCTCGTTGCCCTCTTGCTTGCTGACGCCGGCCACGTTGGCTTCACATGGTATGGCATGGGTACGGACAGGTTTATGGACGTCTCTGGATGGAATGCCATGGCTTGGGGAAACCTGGGGGCTACGGTAAGCGTCTCCTTTCTCCCTTGACTCGACCCATGTCACTCGACTCTCTCCCTCGCCGTCTGCCCTCTTTGACTCCAGGTTCCCTTCTTTGTTCGCGCCCCCGTCCCCCACCCCCAGGGAGTCGTAATTAAGACCAGGCAAAAGGAAACCACTAGCAATGTCCTCTACTGCAGCTCGAGTTGCAGCACTACTGCATCTTGTTGGCATTACAGCTAACCGCGCGTCGGACGAGACAGTTGTTTCTAGCTTTCACCCGTATTGCGTATCTCTCAGGCATGTTTGGCCCGGATAGGCACGGGCCGGCTGCCATCACGACCCAGAAGAAGAGCAAATGAACAGGCCAAGGAACGGATAGTGATCTTGTTTCTCTATCTCTTTCCTTGTCTGACGACCATGACCTCCTCTCTCTGCTTGAACACACCATCAGATGCATGTTCGCAGTACTGACGAAGCGCCCGTGCCTTTACTCTCTTCCTGCCGAATGTACGGCTGGGTCAATGGAACTATGGCACGATCTGACAAGATATCTACAAGATTATCTGTATATAGTGCTTCTTCACACATAGATCCATTTGCTCTTTTTCCACCACGATTGCTCTCCTTTTGACAACAACTCAGAGATGTATCTACCGTTTCTGTAAGAGAATAACTCTGAAGTTCGGACAAAGCATAACAAGTGCAATAGCATGGGATCTGAATCCTCTGCGTCGCCTTCCAGTGAATGCTGCCGATACCCGATTGTTGCGCGAGCAGGCAATCAACTCTACCTTGCCTTTGTCCGCCAGGCGGTTATCTGCAGGGGATACGGACCACCAGTAGCAGCAATATCTCAGCATCACTCTATGTCGTGCTCGTCTTGCCACAGTGCTCTCACTGGGGCATGCTGCGTCCCCGATACGGGCTGAATCACTGCCCGTGATTGAGGAGCAGCTTCAACAAGAGCTGCCAACACAAAAGCCGCGCCCGTAATGCTCGCATGTTTCTAACAAACTCCTATTCATTGTTGCCTTCGGTACAGATGTAGAATTCACTTGATCACCGCGTAGGCATTTCGTGACCTGTTCAAGCTCCCCTGTCAACTTTTGGCGCTGTCAACTTTTGGCGCTGCCAAGTTCATCCTCCACCAGACGAGCCAACAAGCCTGCGTCTGCGGCTCTTGATAGGCCACCCGGATAACTGCCATGGACGTCCAACACTGCTAATTTTCCTTTCTGGGCAAGCAGCTTAATCCATTTTAGCAGCCATTTTCTTTTTACTTTTTTTTTTTTTCTTTTCGTTGAGAGCATTTGAACAAAGGCCTGTCGACTTTTCACAGCAAAGCTCCATCATCTCCTCACCTGCCCCCCCTATTGACTGGGTATGTACATAGCGCATGTTAGCCCCTCTGGCCGGACGCAGAAGAGCCGGATCCGGCTTAGCTCATCCTCGTCACGTTGCAGTCAAAACAACAAACTCCCGACTTTTCGAGGGTTAGGGTTAGACTTTTCGAAATCTCTACAAGCAAACAGACGCAGCTTTCAGATTTCGCAAACAGACGACAAAGGCAGCAGAGGCGATAAAGAGACCAAACCAGCGCTGCAGCACAGCTGGGAAGCGTATAATTCGCAGACGTGCTCTTTGATCGTCCCAAGAGCCCTGCCAACAGCCGTTTCTGCACCATATATGGCGCATAGATCACCTCCTTGACCGCACTTTTTTGTCAGCCCTCTCGCCTCGCCTCTCACCTCCCACTTTCTACATATTCCCAGGATCAGCTGGCGCCGTCTTGATCCTCTTCTTCTCCGCTCTGACTGCTGCAGTCCCACTTTCTCTCAAGTCATCTCTTGGTCTAGCTGGGTCGAGATGCAGACCAGGCGGTCCAGCAAGGCCGCTGCAGCCGCGCCAGCATCGCCTCCTGCCCGTCCAGGCGTCAGGCGAAACCCCCCGAGAGCCACGAGGCAACAAGAAAACCAGGATGACGGCAGGGATTCTAGTTCTGACCTCGGTCCTGCCCTAACCTCTGCTTCCACCATACTACAAAAGGGCTTTCCTCCTACCCCCCATCCTTCTGGCGTCGGTCCTCCTTCAACACCCCCAGTTGCCCCTTCGGCATCGGTTCCACCGCCGAACGCATCTCCTTCGCTACCGAGCGTGCAATTGCCAAAGGGCCTGACATCTGTGCCACGCAAAGGATCCCTTGTGTTCGATCCAGTACCGCGCCGAGGGGCCCCTCGCCGAGCCAGCCACAGCAGTATAAGGATAAGCCCTGAGAGGGATTCTGACGACGAGCCTTCCATCGCACAGCCTCCCAAATCCGCAGCGGAGCTGCTCACGGAAGAAATGGTTTCGCGTGAAATTGAGGAGGCGGAGCACCAGCTCAAGATCGAAGCTGTCGACTCGTTGGCAAGGGACGCCAGGAACGTCATCGGCCAGCTTCAGAACAAATCGCGGCCATCCTACAAAACAGTACTGTCTCTGAAGATGCAGGCCTTCGAGGCCTCTCGCCGCGTTTTCCTTGCCCATGGACAAGCATTCCCCTTTATCCAGTACGAGTGGCTGAAAAAGACAAGGCTCAAAATCTCGGAATCCACGCGCGCTACTGCTCTTCTTGCCATCAAACTGGCAAACATCGCCACCGCGCTTGGCCACATAGAGAGGATCGAATCCGAAGGAGAGAGCTTGAAGCCATTCCTCGATGCCATAGACACCAACTTCCCCCGCCTCTTTGCCGCTGAGGAAAACAAAGAGTACCTGTCACTCTCCTTGGAGATACGAACTCAGCGAGCAATCGAGCGCATTGCCAGATCCGCCGACGGTATAGACAAGCGTACGGAACTTAGCTGGGTGTTCTGCCCAACAGAGCCTGGGGCCGCTCAAGTTCCCAAGGGAGGATACCCCGAACTCTTCAAGAAGGGCCCTTACAGGGCTCTTGCCGGACTCGAAGCACAAACGCTCATCGATGTCTGCTCGAACAGGGTTGTGCAAATGTGGGAGATTCTCTCGGACCGAAACAAGAGGGCGATTAGAAGTCCCATGAACTTGACCGGTATCCGAAAGGAGTTTCCCATCCACAACATGCTTGACCATCTCAAAGGTTGGCTCATGGATAGATTTCAGAGCATCTCACACTTGATGGCAAAGATCAAACAAGAAGAGGTGGCCAAGGAGGAGATGCGGCTGCTGGAGCAACTGCGTCGGGAGGAACGACGTGCCCTTGAGGAGGAACGAAGGGCTCATGAGGAGGAACGGCGAGCCAAGGAAGAAGAGCTCAGGGCTCGAGAGGAAGCCCTTGCTCGAAAACAGCGGCGGCAGCAGGACCAAGAACAAGAACGAATTCTCAGGGAACGACAAGCCTCCCAAGAGAGCGCTCGAGAGGGAGCGCGGCGTCAGCAACAAGCTGCGCTCCCGGGAAGCTACCCATCGCCCAATGCTGCTGACAAGGACTCATGGGCTTTTCAACAAGGCGCCCGGGAGAGCTCTCCTGAAAGCATCAGTAGCTCTCAGCCTGAGCCAACACCACGACGCACCTCGAATAACAGGTAGACCACCATCCTCTATTGATAGCCCCCTTTTCATAACTAACCGTCGTTTCCAGCCGATCATTGTTCAGCGCCAGGGACATGGTCAGCATGCTTAACGCGTCATCTCTTCAAGAGCAGTCCACCTCAAAGTCCTCGCGCAAGCGATCTACCCGAAGCGACCCTCAGGAGGTGGAGTCCGACGACGGCTTCGAGGTCGACCCGAGGCCTCACAAGAAGGGCAAGACAGCCACCTCCTCTACCACTGTGCGCAGAAGACCATCGGAACAAAGAAGGTCAGACAGCAACGACTCGTATCATGACGATAATGACAGTCCTTCTCTGGGCGACAATGACGACCCAATCCAAGATAAACACCATAATGCCTCACGAGATCACCGCAGACCCGCCCAGAGGCGCGAGACAGCTACCTCATCCGCCCCCGTACAGCCGCCACGGGAATCGCAAACGCGAGAGAGCCCTCCCGCCGCCGCCGCCGCCGCTCCTACGCCCTCCGCTCCAGACTACGCAGCCTTGCAGCACGCCAAGGAGGTGAACCGCATGACAGCGCGACTGGACAAGCCGCGACCTCATCAGACACGCCACCCCTGGAGCGAAAGGGATTCCAACACCCTGATTGCGCTCATTGCCAAGCGCGCCGCGTCCTGGGCCGACATCGACAGGTTCGACAACGCGAAGTTTGAGCATCTGCGCAACGCGCAAGCGTACCGTGACAAGGCTCGCAACCTAAAGGTCGACTTCCTCATCTCCGATGCGCCGTTGCCCCGGGGCTTCGATCAGGTGGCGCTGAGCCGTAAGGAAATCGAGAAGGTGGTTAACACGGGCAAGAATCCGTATAGGCGGGAGCGCGATATCGACGATCGTGGGAGGCCCACGAATACGGCGTATGTCCCATAAATCCGGCACTCGGAGCCGTTCCAGCTGATTTATTTCACTCTATTTGTTCATTTTCTTCTTTTCTTCGTCTTTCAAGACATGGTACATGGTTTAGGAGCGGGATATCTCACGAATCATTTGCTGTTTGGCTAGGTGGCATTCTTCAGGGCGTGGACTCCGACGCGGATTCTTGCCGGTTCTGGGCCTGGGTATGCGATGGTAACGAGGCAAGGATCTTTGAATGAGTAGGGAAGTTCTTCTCATAGTAGCACAATACCTCTTTCGTAGCATATCCGCAGGTAAAGTGATTGGCGCTATTGAATACCTTAATCTACACATTGATGTATGAGTCTGAACAAAGTACCTACCTTGGAATCCCGATCCCTCAAAACCTCATACTCAGCGCAACGTCAGAGGCACCGTCTTTCAAGGTGCAAAGCCTCATTACGCGACTCAAAAGGCACAAGTCAGGAAGAGTAGAAAAGAAGGGACAATAAAAGGGCGGTCAAGTTAAAATTCCAAATAAAAGGACTCTTTACAAAAGAAGTAGTCTCTCTTCCATCCTATTCTACATCTGTCCAAGCAATCCTCCGCACATACTCATGAGTTCCTGCCCAGGCCACCGTCTACTCGTTCTTTTTCTTCTGCCAGTCCATCTTCTCTCCTTCTGGCAAAGGAGAAAGGAGAAAGAGACCGAGGACTCGGAAAGTAAAGACAGGGCAAGCCGCCAGGACAGGTCTCCCATCATCGGGTATCGATCATACTGCTTCGCACCAGGCTGCGGAATATAAAGAGAAGAAATCACCATTCGTGGTCGCCGTTTCCATGCTTCCAATGTTGATCTTCCGAGGGAAGTAACCCCCGGAGGTATCGTATAAGGATGGAAAGACATCAAAAGAATGATGAGGGGGAATCAAAAGTCATCTGCGTATCAGAAAAAGGAAGAATATAGAGAGAAAAAAGAAATGTCCACCTCGCCAGCTACCTATTTTTCGGACAAGTGCGGCAGAAGAAACGCGCCTTGAACTAGAAGCGAGATGGAGAAAGATGCGGTAGAGACAGGAAGCGAATCTGGCTAAATGGAGGAAATGCGGTTCTCTCCATCACATTGCACAGAGCCGGGATTATGACATCTCTGGATCAAGGCTTCTGAAATGATGTTTGGTTTTTGGCCATGCAAGAAAAAGAGTCCGAGATCGGCAATCGTTCCCAAGACAAAGAGACAAGGGCTTGTTTCGCTTCAAAGGAAAACAGCGCATGAAAGCGGCCACACCATGCATGAGCAAATTGAAAGCAGGAATGAAGGCAAACGGGGCAAATAAAGGCTGTATGCAAGCAAGCCTTTATCGCGCATGGGGAAGATCGCGGTGCTTGAGCCTGTTCGTCCGCCAGCCTTCATACCACTGCTCCCTGCTTGCCTCGCGCAGCTCGGCACGCCACTCGGTGAAGACGGCCTCCTTCAAGCGTACAAAGTCGCAGTGCTCCTCGTTGTAAGGGTCAGCAAATCCCCAGGGGAACTGCCGGCCGATGACGCCGGGCTCATACAGATCGGGGCTAATGATGGAAAGGGGAAGGAATGGTGCCTCCTCTTCCTTGGCCTCCTCTTGGGACTTGTGTCTGCGGATGGAGTTGGTGGACAGCCTCTTCGAGTGGCCTGGGGAGACAGGTGATGCCACAGGTTCGTCTGCTTCTCCTTCCTCGGACTCCTCTTCGATGACGCTGCTGCTATCCTCGTCCAAGCCCAGAGCCTCCAAGGGATCCAAGTTTGCTGTTTTGATGCTGTCCCAGACAGCCTTTCTGAGGACGCTCATGTGCTTGGTGGTGATGGTATCTGCCTTGGAAATGACAGGGATGACGGTTGTCTTGTACTGGAGGGTTCGGAGAACTTGAAGGTCGATATCCTCATCGAGAGCGCCAATAGTCCGAGCATTGCCGTATTTTCCATTGGCATAGCCATTGCGCGAAGCAGCGGTTTTCGCGGTCACAATGTTACGGTCCAGGCGCGAAGGATCCATGACATAGAAAGCCGCGTGGATATGGGTGTCCTTGACTCCCGGAGAGCGCACGACCTTCATCTCCTCGGCAAACGTCTCTTCAAACTTGCTCTCCAAGAAAGCAGACATTTCTCTCAACTGAAGGTCAACGACGTTCTTCTCCAGGCCCTCAGAGTCCCAAAGGGTCAATCCAATCCGCTCGCCGTCGATCTCCGTCTCTAGGTAATGCGGGATGAAGTTGCCAACGGGTGGGATGGGGGCATGGAGCACTTCTTCATCCTGCTTTTTGCCCTGCTTCTTTGCCGGAAGCGCCAAGGCAGTCTTGAGGAACTCGAGAAAAGAGGTTTTGCCAGCATTCTGCGTTCCCAGGATCAGGATGCTGTAGATATAGTTAGCCTAGTGCCGCTTGGGCTTTATAACAAGAGGGCACAGAAGAGAAGGAATTGTGAGCATCAATCGAGTGGCAGCTTACTTGAATGGAGTCGGGTCCTTGCGTCTGCGAATTCTCCTAGGGTTGTTGATGGTGCTCATAGCACTGCTGGCATAGCTGTAACGACCCCGGTTCGTCATGCTCTCTGATCTGGCATAGGGATCAAAGGCATTGGCGGGAATGGGAGGAATCGGGATGTTGTTGGGAATGGCACGACCAGGCTCCGCAGAGGAACGACTGCTCGACTCGCGGGCAGAATGGCTGCTTGGGGCGACGGGATTGGCCTGCAGCTCGGGTGCAAATGACTTCGACAGCTGCTCGGAACCGCTGAAGAATTCGGGGAGCTTGGGAGCGGCTCGCGGAGTGGGTTGATGCTGGCGGTCGGATTCGGCGAGGGCCTTTCTATTGCCCTTGCCCAAATCGCCGCTCTTTGTCCGTTTGAGAAGCATTCCGAAGCTCGAGCGACGAGGCGAACTCATTGTCTTGCCAGCGATGAATTGCTGGTTGAAGGCTCGTTCAAGAATGAAAGAGCCACTTCCTGGAAGATATGTCGTGGAAGATTGAGAGCAAGTATTGTGTCGCGACGACAATGAAGACGGAAGATTTAGGAGGGTGGTATCGACTTCTGAAACGTCGGATTGAAAGTTGCAAGATTGAGGCGATATCCCTGCTCAGCACACGACAGGTCAGAAAAAAACTGAATCCGCAAGTGACTTTGGTGCTTTGTTTGCTGCCTTGGACTTTTGTTCCCACTGCGCTGGAGACGCACTGAGGAAATCCACAAAGGCGCAACAAAGCAAACTCCAGCGGTTAAAGAATTGCCGTAACAAAGAAGAGGATGCCATGCATACCCAGGCAAACAATTCCTATGCAACAGGATGCCAATGCAGGTCTAATGCACCAGCTACGTAGGCAAAGAGGCGGGGAGGCGGGGCTTCTGCAGCGGAGACGACTCCAATTCGATCGTAATGGTCACTAGATGATAAAGGGAGGCGATTAGCAACCATTCAGAAGCAGAAAGTCAGGGTCTCAGGGTTCTGGTCGCCAGGCGACGCGTCGGGGTAGCGACAGCAGCCGACAGCTGCAGAGGCCGGCGACCGGGAGCTGCGGGCGACTGGAACAGCCCACCGATGCTCTGTCGCGACTGTTTCTCCGAGCCCAATTCTGAGCATCTCGAGCATCTGTCGTCCAGGAGCTGGCCGTGTTTCCATCTCTGCTTCTGCAGCTGGCCACGCCGCATTGCGAGAGGAGTTGGTTTTGTCGCAAGGCTGAAGCTCGTCGCTCTCCTCCGCAGCCCGCCAATGCCGTCTCCAGCGCAGCGCCACTTCAGGATGGTCCAGCAGCAGCAATTGCAGTCCCACGGCTCTTTTCGAAGCTGGCAACAGGGAGGATTGTTGCAATTGCCGCCGACTGTAGACAGCACAGCAAAATGGGAAATGTAGCGAAAAAGAGGCTTGAAAAGCAAAGGGAATGGAGGAAGAGGTGATGTCGATTCTCGTCAACTTACAATTGCGTGTCTGAGTGATTCGTGGGTGCTTCTCTTTCTCGTCCTGCTCCTTCTTGTTTGGCGATTTGGGTAGTTGTTTTTAATTTGATGTATTTTTTATTTTCTTTTCTCTTGGTCCAGCCGAGACGCGGGGAAGACGATGAAGATCGTAGGAAATCGCAGGTGTTGTGGTTGTTCCTGCCTTGACTCGGGTTGTGAAAGGAAAGCGGAAAGAGAGGCAACTGAAGCCGGGGGTTTTGCTGGAGCTCGACACCGCTTTGACTCAGCTCGTGAACCTGCCCAAAGCTTTTTTTCTGCGGTACAGGTATCACCAGGGCCAGGGTCACGGCTTACAAGTACAGTCTGCTTGGTCGGATGACACAGCGGTAACGAGCGAGAGAGAAGAGAACAAGGACTTGTCGGCAGCGTCAAGCGCCGAAGAAGCCAGGGGAGGAAGCGGCGAATCGGGGAACAGAGGTCGACGATATCGCGGCGATGAGGCAAGGGAACAAAATCGAGCGAGCGAAGGCTTCGACACTCCCAGAAAGGGCAGAAGGGGAGGGTAAAAAGAGTTGAGAGAGGAGAAGGAGGGAGCGCGCATCGGCCTCGACAGCTTGCGCGCGTTTGTCCTCGTTCGTCTCTGGCTTCTGCACCATCTCTCGGGCTTCAGGGGAGCCACCGACAGCCAGTGCCATCCAGAGGCGCCAATCGAGGGTCCTAGGTTCGTGATGCTAGGTGACCCTGGCCCCATTTCGCCTCTCCACAAGTGCATCTAACCAACCCTGGCCAGGCATCATGTCATGGCGATTGCAGGTCTCCTGCCGACCGGTCCTGCGGCCCCTGGTGAGCATGAAACACGGCACCTAAAGCTACCAAGCTACCCAGCGAGTCTTGATTCGACGCGACGGCCTCGACATATTGCTTCGCCACGGCACAGAGAGGAGAGCGGCGTAGTACTTGTATCACGAGCATATGTGCCGTGTACGGTACGTGTACATACAAGCACCACGGCAGATCTTTGCTTTCATGGTCTTGTTGGCTGGGTATGGTATTACTGTATCGGCCGCATCGGCATGACGGGTTGGTTGCTTTTGCAGGCACAGCGGACTTT